CATAATACATACATACAATCATAATACATACATACAATCATAATACATACATACAATCATAATACATACATACAATCATAATACATACATACAATCATAATACATACATACAATCATAATACATACATACAATCATAATACATACATACAATCATAATACATACATACAATCATAATACATACATACAATCATAATACATCTAAACATGTAAATATAATATAGTGGTTTCGCAGTTTCCGCCTGGCCCAAAATCTCGCACCGGCCCAAAATCGCGCACTGAGAGTTCCGCTGGCCCCGAATCTCTGTCACGTGGTATCCGCCATGTAGCCATCCCTCACGTGGCAAAGGGAAAAAACTTCCGTACAGGAAGAGTTGTTTTCCTTTCCTTTTGTCCTCAAGGGTTTTTAGAGAATAGTAGTATTCCAAGGATCCGAAGTACCGTACATACTTGAATTGAGAAATCTGATACTGAAAATCTCGCACTGGCCCCGAATCGCGCACTGGCCCCGAATCGCGCACTGGCCCAGACATGTCGCGCTCCGCGTTCACAAGCTCCAACCTGGCCACCATCTTCACACCCCCATGCAAACACCCAAACCCGTGGCCCACGCAGCGTCCAGCGCGGCCCGGCTCGCGGCACACGTCCTGGCAGCGGCCCTGGCCCCGCCGGCGGCGCCGGCGAAGCGCCGCCCGAAACCGGCCATGGACAGCGCCAACGCGCAGTTCTTCAGCCTGGTCCGGTCCGCCGTCATCGGCATGGCGCCCCGCCAGGTGGAGGCGCTCGTGGCCGCCAACACCGCTGCTGGGCGGTTCCGGCGCAACCTTGACATCGCGGCCCGCATCCGCCAGGACCCGCTCAAAAGGCGCTTTCTCAAGCGCAGCCTCTACCTGGCCTTGCTCGCGCTGCTAGCCGCCGAGGCGGACCGCAGCACCGTGGGCCTTGCGCTCCAGCTCTTCCGCGAGATGGCCGCGGCCGGCGGCGACCCGCACGAGCTCGCCGCGGCCGTGCCGCTGCTCTACGCGAGCTTCCACAACTGCGGCGACTTCACGCAGCTCCTCGGCTTGAAGGCCGTGTTCCAGGCCGCGATCTGCCGCGCGGACCCCGGCCCGGCGGCCGCCGCGGGCTACTACGCGTGCCACATGCACGTGCTCCTCAACACGGGCCAGACGGCGCTCGCCACGGCCCACTTCCACCGGTGCCTCGGCCACATGGCGGCGCCGGCCGGGCGCGCGGCGCTCTTCCGCCAGTGGCCGCTCGACAAGCACATCCGGGCGCTCGTGGCCAGCCAGGACTGCGGCGCCCTCGCGCACGTGCTCGACGAGGTGCTTGCGGCCGCGGCCGTGCGGCTGGTGCGGCCGGCCGTGTGGGCCGAGATCTTGGGCTTGGCGCTCTGGAAAAACAGCCTCGCCGTGGTCCGGTTCGTGTACACGCACGTGGTCATGCACGGCGTGGCGCCGCGGCTGCCCGGGGACGCGGCGCTAGACGCCCAGGCGCCGCCAGACAACGCGGTGTTGGGCTCGCTCAGCGGCGCCACGCTCGCGCAGATGCTCCACACGTTTGCCCTGCACGGCGACGTGGCCCTGTGCCTCCACCTCGTGGAGTGGCACTTTGTGCACAAGCCCATGCGCGGCGAGCGGGCCTTGACCAAGGACTTGTGCCTCCTGGTGATCCGCGCGTACTGCTTCCATCGCCCGGACGCGGGCGCCGCCGCGCAGCCCCACGAGGAGGACGCGTCCGTGAAGACGGTGCTCGAGGTCGTGGACGCGTTTGTGGCCAGGCGCCGCCACCGCTTCGACTACGCGGACCTTGCCGAGGCGTTCCTGTACACGCTCAGCACGTACCACGTGTTCGACGCCAACGTGGCGGCCGCCCGCAGCATCGAGACCTCGGCCCGGCCCTTGCCGCCCAGCGCGGGCCGCCCGGACGACCCGCTGGACCCGCCGGACGCCCCGCCGCTCCTCGAGAAGAAGTCCAACCGCAACGTGCACGAGTCTGCGCAGGGCAGCGTGCTCAAGAACACGGCCATCTTGCAGGACTTCGTCGCCGAGCACTGGCGGCACCTCGCGCGGCGCCTGTGCTCGCCAGCGACCGTGCAGATCTTCGTCAACTGTCTCCTCTGGCACCTCGCCACCCACCAGAACACGTCGGGCGTGGTGCTCGCCTTGCAGCTGATGAAGGCCGAGGACTCGCTCTTCGCGCAGAAATGGCTCGACGCGTCTCTGTACGACATCATCGCCCGCTCGGTGTCCGGGTCCCCGGCGGCCATGGCCACGGGCTTGGTGCTCTACGAGCACATGAAGCAGGCCCAGGCACCCGTGTCCGAGCAGAACTTCAGGCACCTCGTGCACTCGAGCTTGCGCGGCGACGCGTACAACCCGCTCCTCGAATACTACATGTATGAGTACTTGAGGCGGGGGGCCGGGCACGTGTGCCCCCGGCTCGTCTCCCGCATCCGTGCGTTCAAGAAGTTGAACGACGATGGGCGCGTCTTGCTCAGGTGCCTCGACAACTTCCGCCCGCTGGACCTCCCCGGACTCGATGCCTTGTGGGACGCGCACCTGTTCACACGCCGGTGCCCCGAGCTCCTATTGGCCGCCGACGACGACGACTACGCGCGGTTCTTCCACATTGACCAGCGCGACAAGGACATTCTCATGCTCGTCTTGGCCTAGGCTAGGCGGAGCGGGTCGCTGACAGCCATCTCCAAGTCGTGCGCACTGATCTCGACTTTTGTGGCCCCCAGAAACCTGAGCGACGGCGCGCGTCTTGCCACGTCGTCTTCGCCAAAGCTCCTCTCGCCCGCGGCCCCCGGAATCGACTCGTCCACCACGTTGGAGAAGCTCGACGAGATTGTGTCGTTGCAGAAGGAGCCAAGCATGGTGGAGTCCATGGCCATGCGCATGATGTTGTTCGCGTGGCACGCCAAGGGGTCCGCGGATGTGGCGCTGGCCTCTTTGTCGCCGTCTACTTGATGCTCGGGCTGCGGTTGCCCGCGGCCTGGTTCCACTTCTTGGCTGAGCAACGTGGGTGTGGGGAAGTGCCCACTGGCCCCGGCATCCCCTGAGCACAATGGGCCGCCACTGGGGTTTGTTCTCCGGGCTCGCGCAGAGGGCAATTCCACGGCATACTGGCTGATTTTCGCCTGGCTGTCTGCGAGAAGGTCGTTCAAAGGCCCATCGAACGAAATCACAAGGTTTTCCAGAGAGGCACACTGGGTTCTTGCGCTCTCATCGGCAAACAGCTCCTCGCTGACTCGCGGTCTCGGCATTGCGGGCAAGTCCCCTATATTCAACCTCTCGTTGATGTCAACTTCTTGCGGAATGGCCCGCACATACGCGTTTTTCGGTCCCGGGTAATTATAGTGACCATTCAGAATCATGGCTGCTGCTTTTGAAGAGTTTGCAGAAAGATAACCTGCCTGGGAGTCTTCGTGGGGCATGCCGATCCACGCGTATTTGAGGCAGCGATTACAATGTTTACTTATTGCCTAAAAGGGACGCCTGGCGAGACACAGCACATCAAGAATATAAAACAAAGGGCCCGTGCCTGAGCATGAACATACAGTACTGAGGCATCCAAAACGTGCCTGTAGAAGGATTCCGTGAGTCAAATGTGTTATTGTTGTGCTACCAGATATAAATGTTGCAGATGCGGTCTGCGAGCGCCCGTGGACAGGCGGGGCGGCGGAGGCGGCGCACGTGACCGCCGCGCACGTGCCGTCATCGTGCCTTTTCACGCAATGTGATTGGCTGGAACCCTAGCTGGGCCTTGAGCCGACCGGACGAAGACGGGCCGGCATGATGCTGGCACGGCAGAGTCCGTGTGGTTGTGATATTCGCCGCAATGCCCATTTTCTCGCAAAGAAAAAGTTTGACCTGTGGAATGGTGACAGCGACCATGAGCAGATGGTCCTCACTGCCCCTATACTTTTAGCCTGGAAGAAGACCAGGGTCAGGAGACATGTTCTCTCGTCAATAAAAAGAAATCCTGAGATATGCACTGGTGGTTATGCTTGAGAAGAAGGCTAATGATCAGCGCTGGTTCTTCGAAAAGGCTCCATGTTGGTGAGAAATGCGTTTAGGTTCCGGCGGAAAACGCATTCAGACGTCTTTTCCGGACGTTTTCTTTTCGGGCCGGTTTAGGCGCTCGTCGACGACAGAGTCGTTGCCGTGGACGGAGTCAACAGGGCACGGGAGCACCGAATTGGCACCGACTAGAAGAAAACATATGGCAAAAGTGGAGCTGAACACCGACGTGGTGACTCTATTTCTTTGCGTGGCTCTGACAAACATCTTGCGGGTTGGGTAGATTTGGCTGATTTGCTAACAAACAACTGCAAGAAAAACCGAGCGATGGTAATAAGCGGGGATGCCAGTATAAAGGGAATCGTGGAGCGATGAAAATCTCACTACTCATTTCCAGTGTGCATATTGCGGCGGACACGAGCATCTGACCAGGCCCGAAAAAGCGAGCTGCCACTGGCTGGCGGTGCGTAGTGTATGCAGGAGCGCTCCATACCAGACGGAGGGAAGCCACAGAGCTGTGATATCTCGGGGCTGCCACGAAGCACCGCTGCTTTGAAATAGACACATTCATTTTGACACGCCCGCGTTTGTTTTACTATCGGTTGTTGTTTGTGATTTGCAGTGCACTTTTTGTTACTGGCAGATCCAGTCCGAACCCGTAGAGCGACATTTTGCAATACTTGCGCGCGTTTTTAATTAATGGCAAGATTAGCATTAATCAGTACTAAGTCTGTGTGGAAACGCATGTCTCAGCATGATCACAATTTGGTGGTTATGAACCAGCCCCGGTTGTGCTTAATAATCACCTGCGTGCGTGATAATTGTTTTATTGTTCTAAGAAGAAGAAAAAGGAGTATGGAAAACAGGACTGGGCACGCACTCTGGCAGCTGGCATTTGGCAAGACACGAGCCACAGGTCATGGGTACGTTTTCTTGTTTTGGTGTGTGTTTTCAAAACGGCGGAATTCCGGAGTGATTCAGTCGAAACCAGCTGACTAGATCTCACAAATAATCGTGCAGCGTAGTCTTTTCTGAAGCTTATACGGCTGGGCTCGCATTATGACCACAGTGATTTTGACCACAGGCAAGGCCACGGACTCCTGCAAAGGTATTTTCTGTATCGGAGTTCTGGGTTTTCTGGTTTCATGTACACATTTGGTAGCACGTAGATTTAGGATTGGGAGGGTACAGCTGCATCTGCTTAGGTCGTACAACCATCCAATTCCTGAACCCCGAAAACGGAGCTAGAGTCACCTTTATAGCATGCGTACGTGTCTTAACTAAGCATTAACAAGCATCCACAAGGGGCGTTGGTATAAAGCAAGATCAGGCAGCGACATTTCCATGTGCTTTTTGAGCCATGTTTCGAAGCGCATCATCTTCATGTGTTCCAGCAGCATTCGAGAAGGACGGAACCAGGCAGATTGTGTCCCGGACTGAACCACGGATCATGGATTTTCTACACATCCTCCTGTCATGTGAGCTGTTGGGAACTGAAATCGACAGCACCAGAAAAGCATAGGATCAGAGCACCATAGGATCAGAACACCAGAGGACCAAAACACCAAAGGACCAGAAGGTCCAACCCACCACAGTAGCAAAGCACCACCGCACCAGACCCGTTTCTACATCGCCAAACCTGCTATGTACATATATTATACCGTTCTATTCACGCTAGAGCTGGCCGATCTTCTGGAACCCGCTGGGGTACGGCGTGCTCTCCTTTTCCTTGAGACGCTGGACCTGCAGCTCGTCCAACAAGTCGATTTTCACAAGCTCCTTCACCAACCGGAGCTTGTGGGCGGTGGCCACCGAAACCCGCTGGTAGACCACGGCGTTTCTGCGCCTGAGGCCCAACGCGGCTATATTTTTGCGCACCAGCGGCGGCATTCCAATAATGGATCTGAGCTGCTGGATGCGGTAGAACATCGACGAGGGCTTGGCGGCGGACAGAGACATGTTGGGGAGATAGGGGGTTTCGAAGAGGCCTGGCGATGTTTGGTGCAGGTGGAGTTTTTTTTCCGGGAGCACACACCCGTACCTCCGCACATCCTGGCGACCGGCAGGCCTTGGACACAACGGGCTGGGCCGAGGAAATAGTAGGCAGAGAAAATATTAGGCAGATGAATTAGGGGGCCGAGGATTTAGGGGGCCGAGGATTTAGTGGAGCAGAGGAATATTTCTGGTGTTATCAGAGAGCGGGGGTGGCCTTTTATAGCGGCATGGTTTTATTCTTCAGTTGGGTGGATTATGCGTGGCGCACCGGTGCACTATGTACGGTGATTTCAGTTTGTCTCTTAATCTATCAAACTTAAATTCAGCAGAATTTCTATATAAGCACCCAGTAAACGTTGCCAGAAAACAAAGACATACTCAATTTGGCAGGCCAAAATTGCTCGCCTACGAACGGTCTGACCGCCAGTCCCGTACTGGGTATATCACGTGACGGGTGATTGGTATAGTAGTGGAGGGATTCCAGACAGTCGGAGTGGCGGGATGCTACCGAGGGGCTGCCCGAAGCGAGGTATGAAGTGATATGCGAGGACGGAATGAAACGTAAAAACAGCGCTGTATTGAATCACTATGTGCTGACTTTGGAATGACTGTGTGCCGACTTTGTAGTGACATTGTAGACTAATGTAATATGGTGCGAGTAAATGGAGAATGCACCATTAGAAAACAGAAGAAAGAATGAGAACAGCGAATGGAATTTGATACAGCGTACAGTACAGAGGGTGCATTCAGGGCAAAAGTATTCTGTTTAATTCCGGGCGTGGGCAACGGCCCCGCGGATGGGTTTCATACTGGCCAATACAGCGACATACAGACCCGCTCATAAAGCCCAAAATTCAGTGATGCTCCATTCACCGATGTCACCACAGATCAACCAGCTCGAGTTGTGGTACTTCAAACCCCGGTACAACGTTTTCCAAGACACCGGATGAGCCGCCATGCAGTTGCAGAAATTAGACACGCGGTCATCGAAAGAAGGCAACACCCCATCCGAAAAACCGTCAACGGATTATTGCAGCTCACTACCAACCAGCTCTCGCCATGAAGCGCTTGTTCCTAGACGCGTTGACCTTGCACGTCTCCACCCTTGGGACAGGCTAGGAATGGGTGCGAAATTACCGTTTCCGCAAGACGCCCAACATTGGAGTCCGGGCAAAACCACCCCCAACAGACCATTTCAGGGTGTTCTGTGGTCTAGCGGTTTTCTGTTGATGTTCTTGCTTTGCTGATCCACGCAGAAGGCTCCCCAATATACGGGCGGCGGCACGTGACTTGCCTTGCAAAGACCAGTTGAAGGCTGACAAAACCCCCGGCTAGAATGCCATTTTTCTCCCCCATGAATCAGCTCAGGCTATATTGATAAGACCTTTTCATCGGGATCCAACATGCGTCCGCTCCGTTTTTGGTGGAGTGCACAGTCTGGGCAAGACAACCACGCGTTTGCCTGGAGCGATGGAACTACCCGGATCTGCAGACAAAGCCTGCCGGCAATTTCTGGCAAATAAGTAGTCCACAGCAAGGGCGACCTTGGAGTCCGGCAACGCAGCATGCTACAAGAACAACACAGAATCCATGTGCAAAAATGTGCCGTGGATGTTCGCCACGTTGCACTTGCACTCAGCACCAGGGGCCGAACCGAGCCTCGGGCATGAGCAGGGACGGTATATGCACCAGCACCACGATACACCAAACCATGCCCCACGGCCACCCACGCTAACTGCGGCTTATTGCGTCCGCTTCCCCTGGAAACCCCCACCCATCGTTTGGAACCTTGCCTGCGTGCCAGGCCATTTCTAATAAAACATCAAAAGCCCGCTGGCCACTCTTTTGCATGTATCCCCCACAGCCCGCTGCCGGCCCCCCACGCAGCACCGGTGCCCCCACGCCGGCCCCCCACGGCCCGATGAGCGGAACAAACACCAACACAACCCAGCACCAGCTCGAAGAAATTACCCGGGGACTAGCCGCGGTCGCACAGGGCGTGGCCGAAAAGACCCCGGTGCCTTTTTTGGCAAAACAAATCGCAGACGTGCGGCGGGGCATCGACGTGTTCGAACAGGCCCCCCGGGCCCTCGATGGCGTGCTCCAGCAGCACGTGTCCGGCATTGTCTCGCTGTACTTTGCCGCCAAAGCGCACGCCAGAACCACAGACCGGTGGGAGACCATCGCGGACGCGTTGGCGGACCTCGTCTACGTGTTGGCCAAGGTGCGGGGGTACAAGTCCGTGGCCAACGCGCTTCCCAGCGACGTGTACTTGTTGCCGCGGCTCGTCGAGATGGTGGAGGACCCAGGCACCGCCGGGAGGCCCGGCGAATGCTACTTCTTGCTCTTGTGGCTCTCGCGGCTTGTCCTCGTGCCGTTCCCGCTCGCCAGCGTGCAGACAGGGCTCGAGGCGCATCTCTTCCAGCTTGCCTCGGCCTTCCTTGCGCTCCACCGAACGGCCCTGAAAACACAGCTGGCGGCGCTGGTGTTGCTTGCGCTGCTAGTGACGCGCCCCGACTGCGGCTTGCTTCTCGATGAGTACACGGCCACCGTGGTGGTGGACTGGCCCGTGCTCCTGGAAAACGCCAAGTTGGGCCACTTGATGACGCTCAACCAGATGCTCAAGCGCGCAGCCAGCGGGCCCGTTGCGGGCCTCGCGCGGGCCGTGCACCGGGACGTGGTTATGCACGAGGTGTCGCTGGCCAAGCACGGCCAGCGGGCCGCGCAGATCAACACGATGAACGCGTTGTACGTCCTCAAGGTGGCGACGAAATGCGCCCGAGTGTTCGTGGCACGGGCCGAGTACGACGCCGTCGCTGCGCTCGTGAACGGCGCCACGGACCTCATGCAGCTGATGGGCGAGCTGTTCGACGCGGCGTTGCGCGAGTGCATGGCCAAGAACTTGGCCAAAACCACGGCGCACTTGGCCAAGCGGGCCACCAACTACGCGGCGCAGGTCGTCTCGCACATGCTCGGGCAGTTGCGGCTTGCGCCGTTGGCCGCGGGCGGGTATGATGCCGACATGCGCATCGAGCCCGCGGGGTTGTCGGTGCCCCGCTTCCACGCCGTGCTTCTCTACACGGGCTTCCTTGCATTGACGAAGGCGCTCCCGGCGCAGTTCGTGCCGGCGGTCTTCTCGCTAGCGCACCAGACGTGCTTCGTGTCGCGGCGCCATTACGCCTTTGTGCAGAGCGCCCAGCTCCGGGACGCGTCCTGCTTCTGCTTGTGGGCCGTGTTGCGGCTGCTTTCGGAGGAGCGGTTCCAGGCGCTTCAGGCGCAGTGCGCGGGCCTCGTGCCCACGGTGTTCTGCGACCTCATCCGGGTCTCGCTCTTCGACGAGGACTTCACCATGCGCAGATGCGGCATCGCGGTGCTCCAGGAGCTCGTGGGCCGCTTTGGCGGCGTCTTCTTGGGCCCCATGCTCGGCACCGGCGACGCGCACCGGCTCGGCGAGTTCACCGTTCTGTTTATCGAGCAGTTCGGCGCGGCCACCGTGGGCTCGATGGCTGACTCGCATGGGGTCATGGCGCTGTTGCGCCACTTGGGCTTCCTGCGCGAGTGGTTCGTGGCCCCGCTCGTCGACGAGATCTTGGCCGAGCTGTCCCCATACGAGCTCCAGAAGTTGGGCCTGGTCCATCTCGCCCAGACGCTTGCGGAAAATTACTCCACGCCGATCCAGCTTGAAGGGTGCCGTCGCGTGGACGAGGCCCACGTCGTCAACTGCTTGGTCGGCGCCTTGCAGCGTGGCAGCCACAGCGCCCTCTATGCTCTAGCGGAGCTAGAGACGTGCGGGTTGCTTGCGCCCGATACAGCCGAGTCCGTGGCCTTGCATGTCGAGAACATGACTCTAGCGCGCCACGGCCCGGTGGCGTGCGTGGGAGAATCGATCATGCACTGGCTCAACTGCTGCAAGCAAGAACGTCGGGGCCGCCTCACCGCCAGGTTGGGCCCGGTGCTCGCGGCCATCCACCGGCTCGATGCCTCCGCCGGTCTCGTGCTGGAACTCGAGGCCTTCTACACGCTCAGCCCCGTCTTGTCTGCAGACCAGTTCGACCATCTCTGCCACCAAATACGCTCCGGCAACCAGCTAGTGGCGGCCTCCGTCATGCGGGCGCGGCTCGACCACCAGCAATTGCACCGTGTGGGCGCCTGTCTTGCCGATAGGGCCGTGGACGCCGGGGTGCGGGCGACACTAGTCCGCACGCTCCAGCCCGACCACATAGGGGCCGCTGCGTTTGCGCTTTTGCGCCCCACGGTGGTCCTGCTCCTCGACGATTACACGATTTCCGAGCAAGGCGACATCGGGCTGAAGCCGCGGCTCGCGAGCGTCTTGTTTGTCGAGGCACACTGGCGTCTTTTCGAAGCGGATACGCCCGTCTTGCAGGCAAAGCTCTTGCGGCTCGCCGGCGAGACCATGGACCGGCTCCGAATCGCGGCGTTCCGCGTGCTTGTCCGCATCCACGGAGGCACGAGCCCCGCGGCCCACATGGCCCCGGACGGCGGCGGGTACGACGCCTATTTCGCAGCCTTGTTTGCGTTTTTCCAGGCGCAATGTGCGGCGCTGGACGATCTTGCCAACGCGTTCTGGAGCGGCATTGTCCACTCGGCCGCGGCGGCCACAGGCGCCAACACCATGATCAACCTGGCGTTCCGTCACGTGCTTCTGCACTTGAGAGACCGTGCCCAGCGGGAGCGTGCGTTCTCGGTTCTAGTGGCCCTTATGAAAGTGGCGCCTGGGACCAAGGTGCTGGCGCTCGATCGCCGGGCGCAAAAGACACTCCAGGCCGTGATGGGCCTTGTGGCCAAGCTCTTGGATGCGGCGCTAGAGATCCCCGACCTGGTCGCCGAGGCGCTCTTTGTGCGGGCATACAACCTCCATATCAACACCACGGCAACGGCCCGGATTGCACTGGCGATTCGGATCTTCCAGTATTTCGGCAGCGCGCCGGCTGCTGCGGCTCTCAGAGCACGGAGCCGCAAACGGCTCTGCTGGCTCTGCTCTTCGCATGCCAACGGGCAAGTGCGAGCTTTGGCGGCAGATGCGCTCTTTGAGATTGCCAACGACGTTGGTGCAAACTCCCCGGCCGTTGCGTTTCTTGACTCGGTCCCATGGGACGCCGACAAGCCCAGCGCTACAGTTGCCGGTCAGCTAGAAGATGTGTTTTGCAATATATAAGAGCCCGCGCCTCAGCACGGGGAGAGGCTTCTAGGAGAGGCGAGAAGAGGAGTGGAATTAGAAAAAAAGAGAAAAAAAATGTGAGAAAAGGTGAATCCATCATCGCAGACACTCACAAGCCGAGCATCAAGTTGTCGTCGTCGCTGTGCAAGGTGCCCCGGTCGAGATTGGTGACATAGCTCCACCGGCGTCTGTGCTCGGTTTGTGTGGCCGCCACGGCCCCAAAGTCCGGCCCCTCCATGGCCACTGAAGGCGTGACAGGTGCATTTGTGAAAACGCCTCCGCCCTGCTGCTTTTGTCTGTTCAAAAACTGGGAAAACATGGCGATCGAGACCTGCTATGTGTTTTGCTGTCGGCGGCTAATTTTTTGCAGCCGTGAACGAGGCTTTGTGGATGTTTTGCAGATACAACAAAATTCGGAACAGGCCGCTGTCAAACTTGATCCAGAGTCTCGTGGCTTTTCCGAGACTTTTTATGGATAAGAACAGTACTGTGTGCCGCCAATTGGTGTCGTTTGCGTGGCGTCGGAATTGGGTGTTTTGCTTGAAGACACTTTCGCGGTGAGTGGACGAAAAGTTTGGTTGCTTGAAGGTTTGTGAAATCGAAGGGTTGGTTCGCGAGAAAAAAAAAAGAGATCCTAACCAGAGAAAACCTTCGAGGTGTCCGACCTATATACCCGGGAAGGTTGCAATTCCTCTTTCGTCCCAAGCGCCGGGGTTCGCGACATTGAAAGGGGCGCTGCCGTTAGCATCCTGCACACAGGCTGTTCCCCGATGTGGGGTGCCGTAATTGGCGTCAGGTTTCTCCGCGCAGTCGGCCGCATCCTGGTGTGGGGACCTTATCTAGTGGTGTACGGGTGTCAGCTGTCGGTTTCATTGGCTGGCTCCATGGGACCGGGCAGGCCTGGAAGATGCGGCCGAAAGATAAGATTCCATGGAGATCACGTGGCAAAGTGCCCCTGACCTCTGCCAACATGAGTGGAAAAAAGAGAAGTTCAGGGCATCTGCAAATAATTCCGTATATGCGTCTGGCCCGCGAATATCAATTAAGTAGACTAATTAAGGTAGTTGTGGGGCCATGATGGTATGAGGAGTCTCTATGAACGTTGTATCTGGCTGAACCTATATAGACGTACTATATGGCTGAGCCTAATTCGAGGATCAAAATAGTTTATGTTGATGGTGCATCTGATGCCAGTTCGTCTTGTATTTATATATATCTATCTATATATATATATGTTTGATTACTGCCTCGAACCCGACAATGTATGTTTTTGAGATCAGAATCAATGATGAATTTGCTATATGATTGTATTGTGTAAACGCATTAAAAAATGCAATTTGAGAAAAATAAAAGTTTCAGTCAAGACAACAACCAGAATAGGAACAAATCCTCAAACAGGCGGTGAGTGGGGAATTGGTTCCTCAATACAGACATTTAAAAGCTAGACCAAAAGCGGGGCTGCCGCAATTTATGCCCTTGTCCACAATTCCAGCTTGTCGTTCATTAACTCAAGCTTTCAAACTCATACCAGTGGTGTACTAACTAGGCCATTTCTCAGAACTCATCTAATCCCGGCCTAGATTGATGCCTGTATATAGATACTCTCATTGGAAGTCTAGCTCCACTCTCATTGGAAGTCTAGCTCCACTCTCATTGGAAGTCTAGCTCCCCTCTTCATCTCTAGACATGTCCTCCAGAAAACTTATTTCTGAGTTCCCCATATAGGCCACAACTCAGCGTTTTACAGCTTCGCCTCACATATATTTGTGCAATTAGTGGTACTTCAATCTGCGGGCCCAGCCGCACTTTGCAGCAATACCATCAAAGAACAAAGACGAGCACTCCGAAATGTTCCAAATCTCTTTAAGAATGTTTTTTTTTTGTTCTTTCGGATTTCAAGGGCTTTTTTCCAGTCGAAGATTACATACGCTAAACCTGTTTATGCACCAGTCTGCCATCAGCTGTTATCGGTCCTATGATTAATGTAAGTCTTTCTGTTTCCATTAGCTTCTCTGGCTCCTTTTGCTTGTCACGCTCAGGCTCTGGGCCATACCTAAAGTCTAGCCAGCTGCTCCATTTGCTTATTGCTTCCTAAACATTCAGGGTTCCTGGACCTAAAATTCTCAAATATAATAGCCCCTCGCATGTCCTTCTAAACATAGATGTTTGTTTGGCCAGTGCTTCTTTAGCAAGGTCCAAACATTTGAGAATGGCAAGCTTCAATTACATCACAAAAAGACGAAATCCAAAGAAAACACCAGAAAATAGGTATCTTCATATAAGTGGTGATCCGGAATGGCTGGGTAATGCCACGTATCTCTTTCTAGGAGCGATTGTTGGACTTGATCTTCTGTATTGGGTTGGGTAAAATTGATTATATGTCTTGCTTCTAGATTCAGGAGTCAATAGTTCAATTAGGGCTGGACTCTACTCTGATGGCTTTGAGAAAAACACTCATGAATCCACTTTTTCCAAGTGAATTTTTTTGAAGGCTAAGGTCTCACAAGCGGACTGATGATTAACTTGATAGGAATAATCGCAAGCACGCGCATTGTTTGGAAAATAGACTGACATGTGGTCAGATCTGCATTTTCTTTTTGATTTGCCGAGGCCAGCGTAAAGCGGGCGTAGATTTCGCTTTTGTGACAGCGCATAAAGAATGGCCATATCGCTTTCTCTTTGTAAGTGTAAAAAACAGACATCGTCAAACGGAAGTCCACAGAGAAAACAAGAGAGTTACATACTTTTTGAATAGATGGCACGAGTTCTTGGGGATGACTTGAAAACTTTCATGCCCCTCATATACTTTATCCGAGCTAAGCTATAGTACACTAGCAAAAGAAGATCTTTCTCCACTCAACCCCTCATAAATATATTTACCGTGATGAAAGGTGGTCTGTCCCAATCCAAATTCTTTTACGCTGCTCTGGGATGAATTTCAAGAAAATGTTCTTACTTCCAACCTGTCTCTGAAAATCTTGCCTGAATTATATCCTGTTCAAATACGATGCCTGCAGTGACCTGCCTTTTTGCTATGAGACCGATTTAGTGTTCTGATAGGCGGCTTAAGTGAGCTTAGCAAAGGCTACTTTGTGTGGTTTTATGATGAGATAGTAATTTAATTCGTTCATGATACCCGTTTCGAAAAAGAATTGAGTCATATGACTTCAATCAAAAAATAACGTCTTGTTGTTCCTAAACAGCCTTGTTAAACTTGACTTTATTAAGGGAGTTACCTGCTCAGTATTTACATTAAAAACAGTCGAACCGCTACCCCTCGACATTTTTGATGATTTGTTTGACATATGACTCTTCTGCGCTTTGGATCAGAAAAAATCCCATTCCAAATTAATGCGATCCAAGGCAGAGTTATGGCTAGCTATGTTTCCCCACGTATGGTGCTTGTGACAAGTATATGGACCTCTATCTACTTGTGAACTCGAGTTTAGTGACATACGCTATTAGATGTGATGTGCGCAAATTGACAAACTCAAAATAAACTTTGAATTAAAACATTGCTTTAGAGCTGCGTTTCTCATGCTCTTACTATTTGATATACATATGTACTCGTTGAACACAGAAGGATGTATAGAACCGTGGACAATATTCCACACTTGAGTTCAAACCTTGTTTTTTAAAGACTTAATAAGCCACAAAATCACGCCCAAACCTGACTCACATCTCAAAGGGCACAAACTTTTGTGGGCCATACAAAGGAAAAAGAGTGGCCCTTTAGTAGCTTCAAACAAGAGAAACAAATATTTGAAAACCAAAAACATCAAAAAAAAGTCTGCAGAAAGCCAAAGTATTTGGCAAATATAAAACTTCATCACAGTTCTTCAATGTAAAGTGAACTTTTATGCAGTTGCTTGATAGTATATTATATATGAAGGATTTCATTCATTTTACCCACATATCAGTTGCTTTGCCTTGTAATGCCTCTCATACCCAAAAATGTGTTTTTTTTTTCTATTTGTTATTTTGATCCATGTTTTACACCGAGACGACCCACTAGTCTCAGCAACAATGACCAAAATCATTCCACAGAATACTTTGACGCCTACTTTGACTCGAATATCAAACTAGCCAACAGCGAAGTCTGAAATTTCCAAGAGCATAGATAGCTGCTCTTATCGTTGTGATGTGATGGAAGGGATATGCAATATGTCATTTATTACCTTTGAGGTATGCTACAGAAATTCTCGCTTATATTGAAGTAAGAGACCTTCAAGCCTTGACCCAAGCTGGGACGTCTCTAGCTTTTGCTAAATATCCTGTGAGCTTTAAATTATCCTTATTCTCGTTTCTTGAGGGTCAGATTCAGAAACATATAATATTGCATAAATCTGTACCAATGAGACAGAAATACTTTATGTCAAGTTTTTATACTTATAGAAGGACTTCTCGCAAAAACCCGAGTGTCAAATTGAAGAATAAGAGTACCTGGCTCATACCAAAATGTTCCGTAAACAGACCTTTGTTAAAAACGATGTCTTATAGTACCAGAAGGTGCGTCTGACTTTCGGACATAATGTAGTTGCTGAATCAGAAATCGTTGCTTAGAAGTTTTATCATCAAGCAGTAATGATATTTGATTTTTCTGATGAAACTGCCTGAGCGAGTGCAATTGTCTGATCTGTGAGATCAAAATAGACATATGCATGCTTCATAAACACATCTCCCAAAACCTGGTAACCTTCAAAGTATGCAAGGCCCAAAATACAGCTATCATCGTCATTCTTTAAGACCAAGTCTGCGTAAGATATCAGGATCTCATTGGCGCCAAAATTGAAAACCACATACTGGTCATCAGGCTGTGTACAACTTATCACTCTGTATGAAGTTCCATCCATCTCCACAACGGTGGCGTCAAAAATGATATCAAGCTCGTCCATCAATTCCTGTCCCACAAGTCCCAACGAAGTACCAGAATCAATGGAATACGGAGAATTTATCTCTATTTCTTTTTCTCCCATGTAAACGCTCTCTACATTTATGGACAAGTCGTTTCCACTATCGTAAACGGGATACTTTGATAAGCAGCCATCGTACTTCTCTGTATCGATACCACCAAAAATAACCACGCCTGAATCACTATTGGGGTTCAAATACAAAGAGTATGATGCTTTTGGGGTGATTCCAGCATTTTGTAAAGCCCAAGGAAAATTATCGTACTTCAGAGTGGCAACCTCCTGGGCCTTGTTTCCTATTCCTAATATTCCTGGGCCACTTGCATTTGATAAAGCAAATTGAAAACTATCAAGTATAGACTCTGACGTTCCAAACAGGAAGCTGTCCTTGTAGTATTCTCCCTGAGCCACACTGCCGTCAATATACATAATGCCGAATGGTATGTCGGTGTCTTCTGATGTTGTAGAAGTTTTTGCATCATATCCTGAAGAAGGCACCCATAAATCAGAGGAGCCAGTATCGATCACCACATAGTTGGACTGCTTGTTTGACCCCAAGTATACATTCAACATGTAGTAGATATCTTGAACATTATGGATCAGCACAGCAACTTCGTCCCTTTTGTTTTTACGTTTTCCATTCTGTGTCCAGAAGTCCCGGGCACTAAGGTCTCCGATTTTTTTTTCAATGCTGAAATCAAATTTCAATGGTGCGGGCGCTTCTGGCTTCTCAATTTCACTAATTGAGTAGCCGAAAACAGAAGCTGAAAGGCATAGTAAACTTAATAATCTGGTCATTGAGAGTAAATAGTAATAGATTAGAGGAATTGCATGTACTATGGCGCCTTTTTAAATAATGAATCAGGCCCGTTACACTTCTACATATTTGTGCATAAGCAAAACATGACCAGTTGCCAGATTTGGTGAATGAAGTCTCGAAGCATCCTGGTTCTTGACAAAATATTGACCGTGCATTTATTTGTACCACTTTTGTTATAAAAATTGACTAAGTGCATCCATCAAACACTTCAAATGACATCTTTAGCCTCAAGGCTTATAATCAGGGCCAAGTGTGCGCAATATCGCATAGTCGCGTCCGTATCCGGTAATTCCGTGAGACGTCTCAAGATGCCACAAGAAGCGTCTTTAAATTAGATGAGGGCCGCGGGCCGCATGCACCATGGCTTGGTTTTATACAGAACAAAAAGAAAGATATTTATACATGTGTAATTGCTTTATAGCTGACCTTACTGGGAAACAAACACATCTTCCTAGTTGAGGGCTTTTAATCTTGTCCTGATATGGCAAAAAAAAAATTTTTGTGCAACAGTAGACTAAGCAAAAGATCAAAAATAGAGCCCTAGCTAGTTCTCATTTTATAATTTTTGAACCTTTGCGTCTAAATTTAAACCTTGGTGGTTCTTTTATTCTTCATGGTATGTAATAACTGAAGCTTCGGCTTCGAATTACGTTAAATTAAAGGACAATGATATAGGTATCCGAAGCTGTCTCAAAAAATGTCAATTTTTCGCACCGCAAAATAAAAGACCGTTCAGTTGATCCAAATTATCCCAGCTTAGAGTAACTTAAATTTCTAATTTGTTTTTTCATTGATTTTGAGACTTGTAGTAGAGAATTATATCAGGATTGAATGGATTCGTAATAGAATGACTTGTGTCATGTGGTCCATTTGAAGCAGTATCATGGACCAAATGAAACTAGAAAAAGGGGACCAACTCACCTTTACCTATAGCTTTACGGCATGATTAGTTAAATCTTCAGTTTTGTTAAAAAATGAATTGCGATTTTGCTCATCAACGTATACTGCGTCTACATATATTTTGAAAACAATTATAAATAATGTCTATTGATATTTAAATACGTGTGATGACTCATTCGTAAATTCAAAGAATCATTCTGCTGTGAAAAAAATTGCTATAAGGTGCTTAAGCAATAACACAGGATGAGTACCAGCCAGTTGGGGTAGTAGCAGTCAACCAGTTGTCCTTGTTTGGGGCAGAGGAAGTCTTGTTAGAAGATTGAGGAGCAGCCATTTTGTCGAGTTGAGATGTTTGTTTGATTTAATGATGAGAAAAAATTTCAAACAGACAAATCCCAGCACATTTTATAGCTTTTGTGACACGAAGAAGATACACTCTACTGGGAAATAATGTTTTGTCTCCTGTGCAACGCGTCAGATGCACCTGCCGTTTTGGACCTTGACAATGCGCTTGCAACGGTAGCCCCCCTGTATCAAAACGCTTTTAACTGGATGGAAGGTTTCCGACGCAGCGAAGAAGATATTTCCGAGAAATTTGAGTTGAATCTACCATAATAGGTAAAATCATCTCCATCTAAAACGCCCAAATGTTGTTCTTAAATACTATCATTTCTTATGCAGGCTAACTCTGAAACATTTGTATTGTTGTTGATCAATCAGGCAGACAACACATTGTATGAGACAAGTAAAAAGACTTAAATAACCAAAAATTATTAAATAATTTATTCATAGTTGAATCGAAATCTTCAGAGTCGTGTATGACTAATGACAGATTGTGGGGCTTTGAACCAGCACTCAGCGATATATTCCTTCGACTATTGAAAAAACCAAGTGTTTGTATCACTAAAATGAGGTCTTTTGAATACTATCTGGATTTTATTGTAGATTGCCATCATTATTTTTGTACAGCTTGCCCGAGTTTTTTTTGCTGTTGGTGTCCAATACAAAGATAGGCAAACAAACATATGCGACCTCAGTTGGTTTCAGCAAGATGAGAATGTTTTGATTATGTTTCTTCTAAATATTGTAGTATATGGCAAAGAAAGGATTATTGGTTTCCATGGACTTGTTATATAGTCAGTCCAGTCTACAACTCTTCGCAGTATGCAAACGCCTTTGAAACATGATTCAATGGCATGAAGTCAAACTGACGCTTTTCCGGGGCTCTTCAGTTTTTGGTGAATTTCTACGCAGTAAGTGATGTTTTCTAAAAGTCTCGTTTTCTTTGCCCCAGAGTAATGAAAGATTTTAGAATAATTTGCAGTGTCTCGTCTGACTAAAAAGTCATCTTCGTTTTCTGTTCTTATATCTCAGTAAGTCATATTTCAGACTGACTTTTGGAAAGCGAAATTGTTGTCAAAGAGAGAAAAACTAAATGTTATGATATGTAACAGTAACAATGACAACATCAAAGTAAACCGGCTGTTCTTTAATCTCTCGCCTGGTTCAACTCAGCCACGACTAAGCCTTGCTCAAGAGTGAGAAAAAAGACGTATTTAAAATAGCCCCCGGCGTAGAAATGATGACTCACAAGATGAATCTATATTTTTTAATATTTATATTCACTTTAGCTTTGTCTTGTGAACTTATGACTTATTTCCACATGAAGTTTTCTCATGGCTTAGCTTTAAGTCAAGGTGCAACTCTTGCGCATCATTGCCGTTTACGGGGATATGAAACACGGCTTGGGAATAGGCTTGTCACTTGAAATGCTTTTGATTTTCTTTGCAATAATACTGCAATAAACTATCAAAACACCACTTTGATTTTCGTTATTCTCTTTGATTTTGACTGCACCACTCAAAATTTCACATCCAACTCCATCGCATCATCTTGGAATAGAAGACCGCACGTATAAGTGAGCTTAATTCCATCTGACTGATGTCGAAGAAGTTAGTAGGAGTGACTTTCGTTTAAAAAACTGGCTGTTTTTTAAATACTGTTCAAAAGTGCTTATCCATCGAGCTTTCTAACCGATAAAATTCGACGGTATAGTGGGTACTTGCTTGTCGGCGTTCAAGCTGATGACATGATCCATCAAAGAGCGAAGCGAGGGTTGATACAATAAGTAAAAGAAAGAAAGAAAAATCATTTTTAGAAACAAACAAACATATAAAATCTTAAAGAACGCTGCAATAATGGCCAGCCTATAGCACTACTCATTTTCTGAGTATGCACAAATGAACAGAGGGTACTAAGCAGCAACAATGTTAGATGCCAGCGAGTACTTCACTTGAGAAAGAGAAATAGTCTGATCAGTGAGGTCATAGTACACGTATGCATTTCTCAAGAAAATATCCCCCAAAATGAAGTAGCCTTCGTAGTACGAAAAGGCCAACAGACATGTGCCGTCACCGTTCGAGTAGACGGCATCGGTGTACGGAACTTTAATAGAGTTCTCTCCAAAATCAAAAGTGAGGTACTCGTCACTAGGCTGATTACAGCTGACGAGCCCGTTGCTACCAACGTTGAAAACATCGTTCAAGGTGCTCATCAATTCTTTGCTGACAAGTGCCAACGAGGTTCCAGAATCCAAAACATAAGGTGCATTCTCAGTGACCTGTTTTCCACCAACCTTGACAGTCTTGACGTCCAAAGACAAAGCATAGTCACTGGTGTCAATACTGTATTTCGTCAAGGAGCCCTCGTATTTTTCCGTGTCAATTCCCCCAAAAATTACAACACCTGTGCCGTGGTCCTCGCCTAAGTATAAAGAATAAGATGCCTTTGGCGTGATACCTGCCTTTTGCAAAGCCCATGGGAAGTTGTCATAAGTGTACCGAGTAGACTCCTGATCTTTGTCTGCGATACCAAAAACACCAAAACTGTCGGTACTCGCAGCCGCAAACTCAAACAGAGAGACATCAGGCAGGCCTGAATCAAAGGTCAAGGTGTCCTTGTAGTACTCACCTTTCGCAGAGGACCCATCGACGTACTCAATGCTGAAAGAGTGACCAGTATCCTTAGCAGTGCTTGAAGTCTTGTAATTGTAGTCACTGGTTGGTACCCAAAGATCAGATGAGCCGGTGTCAAGGAGCACGTTACTCTTTTGCCTGTTGGAGCCCAAGTACACATTCAAGAAATATGCGTAGTCGACGTTGCTAATCTTCTCGGAGTACGCACGCTTTGACATTTTAGGCGCGAACTTGTCTCTCCACTCACTGACAGTGAGATTTCCAACACTGCTCTGGATAGAAAAGTCAAGTGCCAAAGGAGCAGGGCTGTCTCTGGCCTGGAGCTCGGGCACAACCAAGCCTTGCACGAGAACAGCAGCGAGAGAGAGAAGAGTAAAGAGTTGAAGCATTGGGGATAGTTTTGATATCGACAATTAGTGATATTCATGAGGATTCTTGGGTGTCTTTATATACCTTGGTATTTGCACCTTTGGTTATTTGGCATGCGGTGAACCCCAGCTACACACAATACATTTGGGTATGATGACAGCAGACAACCGAGACCGTTTGGCTGTACGGCTCCAAACCCAAGAGCTTATCAAGTGCTTGCATGTATATGCACGGGGTCGGCGAGAAAACAAACTTCCATTCCTCAGATAAGGTATGTCACTACTTTCATGGGTTCGGATCTTGCAAATGAGCATCTAGGAAGCATATCTTTTTTAATAGCAAATATAACAGAAAACATGAGATCATGTTCTGTTCAAGTAGAGCTCTCCCGATCTTTGGGTGCAGAAAAATGCTAAATATTGCGCTTCAAACATTATGCATCTTTCGCCACGCGTTGAACAGTGAGACTGTCAACTTTACGCGCAGTATTTTGATCGAGGCTTTGAAAGCAGCATACAGGATCTGTTATTTTGAAGTTTCCCTTGATCAGACAACTATGACTTTACATGTCTTCTTTTGTTGTTCCTTACCTTCAGGCCAAAATTTCTAGCAGCCCTCATGTACAGTTGGTTATTCCTTTTGGAAAATTCTGATATTTCGGGCCACGGGTTCGAGTGTAGCAAATGCCGGGCAACATGACACAATCTGTCACACAAGAACGCAAAAGCTCTGTATGCAAAACAAATTGTTTGTACCATAAATGTCCAGTACTTCCTGACTACTGCCGCTACCGCTTTTACAGAGAAGAACCAAAATATGCAAACATCCTATGAAGAAGATATATTGATTTCCCTGGTGGATTACATATGATGGTTGGTGAGTGACAACAATACATCGCAACCATCGAAAGAAATTTGCACATATAAACCTCTATCACTTAGGATTTAAGGTTTATGGCCATAATTTAGTTTCAAAGCACACATTACTATTAATACTTGTTTGATTGTGAACAACACTTGAAGCCTACACAATAGTTAAGACGAGCTGCATGCTAATAAGGTGTGGCGCGAGTGGTGACCGGTTTAGGAAGACCATGAACCTTTGTCTGAGTTATTGTGTTACATATTGAAAAGCCCCTAATCTATGTATACTTTCTGAAAAAAAAACAAGGCTTCGTCTTCTTTATTACATACTGAAATCTGAGTTCTGGCAGAGATGCTTTGTCTCGGCCTGTGTATATGGCGGTGTCTTCTTCGAAAAGCGTCTATACTTGCTCTTTAAAATCACCGAATAAATCCGTGCCCGTGGTATTATCAACGATGGAAGTTCATGCCGGTCTTCAGATACCCCGCTTTCTTTTCCCAAATAGCAATCACCGATGTCAGAAGATGATACTTTTAACAATAGGGGCAAGGAATGGAAATTTATATACACTATGCTTTGTTTCCTCAAAATAGCATATCTTGTCAAGACAAAAAAATTCCCTTAACAAAATTAAATTGGTTCGTCACCACGATCTTCAAGGTGGCGAGGCGAGTCGCAGGAAGTGGGCTCCTTAAGGCCGCTACAGCCATCTGAGTTGAAGCGACTACTACAGGAGACCTATCCTAGGAGTCGATGACGTAATATCCAATACGTAAACAGAGACGTGCCATGAGGACTGTCCAGGCCGTGACTAACGGAAGGGGACGGGCCGAGCTAAGACACTTGGTACGTAGCTGGGAGCTGTTTAAAGGTTTTTCATATATATTCGTTATATAGTTTTGCCCCTTTAATCAGATGAATCTACCAAAAAAAAAAAAAAAAGGTGGCATTGACACAGGATAGATTTACTAGGATGACTCAATGCGAGATCCGCGGACCATTACTGGTATATTCGCACTGGTGTTTTTTAAACGATGTGGTGATAAAAATATGCAGACCGAATCTCATTCTCAATATTGAAATTCCAGTCTTTAAAAAACCTTCTCGAATAGGAAATTTTCCTCTGTGTCAACAAAAGATATATTACACAAATATCTTGGCATTTTCGTTCATACAAGTCACACACTAAGGGCTGATCCGAGTACCTCTTAAAAAGGATGTCCAAGTTTCCAAGAAAAGGCCAAACTCACGGTTTTGAACAAACTTTGTATATGCCTACATACATGCACACTAAGATTTCTTCCGGTCTGCCCGAAACAACATTTTTGCTTGATGTTGAACTTGTGCTTTGCGATTCCTTTAACTTTTGATCTTAGCCACACTTCTGCCATACTTCGATATGGTGGCTTGAGTTTGAATAAGCCCCGCAAAGCCTCCGAAACATTGACTTGAAAAATGCTTTTGCTTTCAAACTTCGTGGGCACAGCAAATATATCGAAGTAGACTTCTTTGAATCCTTCACTTTTTTTTCATTAGACAGGCTTACCGATATCTAAGACAAAAAATGACTTGATTTGTGTGCCAGCTGATAAAATAGACACTCCCGAGTTCCACAGCCAACACTATCAAGTAGAGTAGATACTGTTTATGAAACAATACTACAATGGAGCATTTAACTGAAAATTTTAAGAATTCAATCGTTAAATGAAATTAAGAAGCTCCGGATACTTTCTGCACCGGCTCAGCAAAACCTAGAATAGACCTTTAATCGTTTTTCATTATAATGTCCGCATTATAGTTTTTGTGTATGGAAGACGTTCACCTTGAAGTTTGGTGAAATATTATGAAGATTGTCTCATATACAGCTCAGTGAAAATTGGGTCTCTATCCATTTTAGAGTCACACCTCCACAAGCAAGTGAATGTGAAAAATACAAAAGGTGCGTAGCTTCCTCATCCCAATGAAATAACTGGTCAAGGCATCAATTAAATTGCATCAGCAAATTATTACAGGCCGAGCGCCAAATCCCGTTGAAAAATCCCAACTACTGTATTTCGGGTAGTAGTACAAAAAGGCCACGAGGCATTTGGTTCGAAAGCAGTTAAAATCTACCCAACAAGATCACTCACAAAAGTGTGTTGGGCGCCATTTCCTGAAGCATCATCTTCGACAATAGAAGAAGGCACAATAATCACAATGTGACTCGTTACTAAATTCAGTCAAGCATTGTGCAGGCGCAGAGCAATTGGGCTGTCTGTATAGTATCTTGGGTCCCGGAAATCCAATTCCGAAAGACATCCGATCTACCCGAGTGACAGGTATCGATTGAGTAACCCGAAACAACCTGTATGCTGAAACACATCCGCCTACCACAAGACATTCCGATCCGTGGCCTCAATGAGGGGTATACGGCAATCGCCAGGCACTGGCGGCGTTTTCATGAAGATAACGCTATTGTTTGTGTGTTCGTGCAGATAGCATTCTTTTTTGTATGGAGAAACGGTGATGCGATTGGCCGTTATCGCTATTATCGGCCTGCACACAGGCGCCACTCTATTCATATGCTTTGGCAGAGCTTCGCCTAGACTTGCTTGCTATCCGTGCCGTGGCATTTTACTATCTGAGAGCCGTACCGGTGAAGGCATAATATCAATTGCCGTTCATTGTAGCCTTTTGTGCCGCGTTCGGAAGCGGCGTTTTTGATTATCAAACCCTATCGATTATGATAATAATGGTGCCAATTATGCTCAGGTTGGCCCCAGCAATTCCGGTTCTATGTTTATTCCCCGCCCCAGAGCAATACTAACCCCTATTTTTTTAGAACCCACGCCTGTGATGTGTCTGACTCGACATGATACAAAAGACCCATTTTCATCTCAGCCTCAAACACTGTTGAATCTGTGTTTACTCCCGGTGCCTCTTCTGTCTTACCCTTCTTCAATTAAAACGCCCAATGCTCTCCACACTCGGGGCTCTATTTCCGTACTTACAACAACTTCTCTTCGAATCTCAACTCGTTGTTGATGGGCATTCCAACCAACAAACGCAACAAGTTCTCGATCGCCAATCTCTGTTTGTTCAAGCCGTTGATAGGCTTGAATCCTGGCTTTGAGAGAGGCGCCTTCAACCAGTAGCTCAACAACGTCAACACAGAGTAGAAGTTCTCGTAATTTTCCGTGCCCACCTTGCGGTAGGACACACGCTGGAAGAACTCGGTCATCACCACCAAGTCGATGATCAACGGCGTGGCTAAAAGCGAGTCCTCACATACGTTGTGGATGGAGATTTTGTTGTGGCCACCCAACATCAACTCCGAGTAGTATTCGTCCATGGCCACCTTCGAGTCGCCCACTGCTGGCAAGTACTTGATCACAATACAGTGGTCGACCTTGTTGCCGGATTTCTCGTTGTACAAGATCTCGTTGGACTCCACCATATCGTCGACGACCGACTGCTTGGAGATTTCCTTCGACCGGAACTGCTTGGGCGACGACAAGTTGTAACCGTCGTTGTTACCCAAGTGGTTGTACGAAGCAATGGAAATAGGTTTGATTCCGGCATCCACAAGGAACTGGGCCAACACAGACTTGATCTTGGTCTGCCCACTCTTGAAGTCGTCTCCACCAATGAAACTGCGGTGTTTCTCCGCCAACTCGATGGCTCCAGGCACAAACGTGTTTTGCGGCGATCCGTTGATGTATGGCACCTGGTCCAAGATACAGGCGACGGCAAAGATTGTCGAAGGCGACACTTCGGGATGGTTGGCCTTGACGGCCTTGATCAAATTTTCTGCCGTGTCGTTGACTCCAGGAATGATGTCCGCGTATCTCTCGGTGTTGGCGGTCCACAAAACAATGACCTTGTCCAAGTCGTTGTCCTGCTTGAACTTCTTGATATCGGCCCGGATTCTCTCGACATCGTCCCACTTGCGCTCGGTGCAGGGCTCGCCCTTGCTGTTGGTGTTGAAAATGTTGTCTGCTCTTTCCTTCTGGTTGATGGCAATGAAATCGGGGTAGTAGACGGATGGCAAGGGCGTGACCTTGGCCATGTCTCCGGCCAACTGTCTTTGCAAATCCACGTCCAACACTTTGGCGCGCTTCATGGCCTTATCCAAGGGCATTTTGGAAATGTCCCATCCGCCAACCACTAAATCGTTTGGGCTGACAAAGGGCAAAATCGAGTTGAAAGGTGCGTAGACGTCGTTGCCCTCTGCGTCGACTCCGAGTTTGATGGTGGAAGACTGCGTCACCAGCCCGTAGTAATTGGCCTCCACGGTCCCCTCCTTATTTTCGAAGCTGAGCTTGTTTTTGTTGGCCAAAACGGCGCCCACCAACGTGGTTCCATTGTTGCCTCCAAGGCCCACCAACATCAAGCCTGTTTTTGGGGTCTTCAAGTCGACCTTGAACTCATAGTCTGTGGCAGTGGGCGTCACAGAAAACGCGCCGCTTTCGGATTTTTCCACGAACGTCGACTCGTACTTGAATTTGGTGTACAAGGCGTTGTCCTTTGTGACCGAGTTGGTGTTGAATTGAACAGACATGATGGAGTATTAAGCTGGTGCTGGTAGAATGAATACTTGACTCAGGTGAAGAAAGTGGGGATTCCAAAGCATGGGATTTGCGTCCTTTATATACCCAGACAATGGGCCTGTGCAGCAACTGAACACTCTCCTATTCACAATGGGAAAGCCATACACGCATGCACAAGGTTATTACAGCCTGCATACAGGTGTGTTTTCGGCGAGATTTCGCCGAAAGGGACGGTGCACATGTAAATAGCGCTCAAGCTCAGCCCCGCGAGCCGGGCCCGGCGGGGTTCTTGCGCCTTGCTCAAAAAACGCGTGCTTTTTATTGGCCGAGGCCTGAGCCTATTTTGGAATTAAGGCCCAAGCGTGCCTTTTGTTGGGCTGCGTGTTGTGGTTTGTCGCGTTTTCGCCGAAACCACGGCCGGCTGCCGGGCCACTTGGTATATTTGCGTGGCAATGCCGGATACGTACTTTCCGTCCCAGCCCGGGCGGATGTGAATGGCGAAATCCGCGTTGTTCTGATTTTTGATTTTGCAATTTTTTTTTTGTTTGCGGCTCTGACGTTAAAAATGACAGGTTTCATGCCACTACCCTCATTTGATCATCAGTAGGTGAAGCAGGCTCAATCAGTTTTTTACTTAGGCACTGGAGATAAGCCTGTCTCAACTTATAGGAGCAAAAAGACAAGGTAATTGAACAGACTTCTTATTGGCCGAAAAGGAAACGCCTGTCATTTTGCCACGTACCCACCTAGGAAACACAACAGCAAACCAAAAGCTGCTGCCATGGTCCTGGTTTCCCTGCGGTGATTTACAGTTTGGCGTTATTTTAAAATTCCGTCAATTTCAATATGCCGTGGCGCTCATAGCGTGTCCCAATTGAAATAAACCCCCATAAAAGTGTCCAACGACATCAGACTCAGGCACAAGCGCTGCCGACTTGTGTCTGTTTTCATCCACCATCTGTCGACAAGAAAAATTTCCACCCTTCCTAAAAACACTGCATTATACCCCCAGAATCACAAGTCTTCAAAGAGCCGAAATGCTTTGTCGCTTCTTAATCTTTCAGCTGTGATGCACCATGATCTTGGCAATTCTGTCGTCACATAGATCCAATATTGCGCATACAATTACGCTGCCATTTTGAGGAAGGGCAGGAGAGTAAGTCCGACACTTTGCTTGTAGTCCCATACTTCGCTTATAGTCCCACACTTCACTTTTAGTCCGCCACTTTACTTGTAGTCGGCCACTTCAGAATTATGCATCCTATGCCTACGCGCGGCTTTAGCACCACACAAAACGGCCCATACCACAAGTATACAGAAAAGCGTGGATACGAGACCAGGCTCCTGATCTTTCATAATTTCTGAAAACACATCAAGAAGTGTTTTGTATATTTCTCCGAGAAAGTTCATTCTTTTGATCGTTGCTTTGCTTAATCTCTTGTATTTTAGGCGATCGGCATCTGCTCGTTTATTCTCTTTGGCAGTCAACTCTTCTAACCTTTAACATATATGGTCGATATCTGGAGTTCCAACCCAACCAAAAGCAAATTAGCCAGTTAAACCTGATAAACATGAGAAGTGTGGGGGCCGCCACGTCCAGGAAAAGAAAGCCCCAGTCGCTGCTCCCACTTTATACAACTTCCACAACTTCCCAGGACAGCGCCAATTTGTCAAGTCCAGAAGCTGGTGTCCTTCTAAATTTCTACAGAGAAATTGAGACTTCAAGTCACTCATCCATAGCGAGCCTCAGAGCGGTGCTTGGGCTTGGAAAGAAGTTGAATATAGGCTTTGGTGAAACCAACTTTGGAACATACCAAAACCCACACTACCGTGAAGCCCGCGCTGTGTATATACCCATTTCTAAAACCGCGGCTTGCAATTTCGGGGAACTAGCAGTGGAGGCGTTTTTCTTTCTCCGCTTTTACGTGGTTTTGGTACCTGTGAAGACCAATCTGTCTATACACTCATTTCTTCGTAAGAGATTCTCTCACTTGGACTCTTGGATAATGCCTATTCCGGACTTGGTGGCACTGTGTACGTTTTCTGCTATCTCGGTATTCATATCCTGGGCCGTTTGCTCCATTCTCATACCCTTGTGGATTTCGAGGTCTGTGGGCTTTTCGAGAAAAATATACGCACGTCCAGCTTTGGCCAAGACCGAATTCCAAAACACCAAACACGGCAACTACGACCCACTTGTGTTTGCGTTGGTCAAGCTTGCAATCAACTGCTACATCTACATGTACTACGCAACTTTTTCGCTCGAGATCTACGGAAATTTCAAATTGTTTCGTGGACTAATTGCCCTCCAGTTGGGGTTCTATAATTTGCACCTCTTGCGCATGGGAGTGTTTCCACTAATTTCTGGAGCCATCATTACAGCGACATCTTTCTATTCGCGTCTCAGAGATAAAAGAGACTAGGTCTGGCGTGTTGCAGGTAGAGTAGTGTGGCTTATTTCTGTTGATAAACAGCTTATTTACGAGTTTTCTTGTCCTTGGTTATCACTTTACATTTCTGATTGAGGACTGTTTCTGGACTAAAGTCGAATCATCTCACTCGGGCTCAAACACTGTCTGTTCTAGTCATTGCAATACGAAAGTGACCTTTTAGTTTCCAGAGTTGCCATTCAATACTAGACTAGCGTTTTATCAACAGTAAATCTAGTCAATCAAACAGAGGCCCAAGAAGCTGATCATAGCCTTACTGATTAACTGGGAGTCCAGACATTTAGTGTTTTGCGGGGGAAATGAGCAAAAGTAGCTTAAGAACCTTGGAAATGGTCCATTAATACGCCGCTCACTTATTATGATGAGGAAAATAATTTTTTTAACTAGGTATGGAAGTAGCATGCTATTGTCTGTGCCGGGGCTCTCATTTGAAATAATGATTGTAGTCTATGGCGATCATCATTTATTTTGATTCTTTGGTCAAATGCAAATATAGCCGTTACAAAACAAAATGAAATTTTAGTTTACATGATTTATGCTTTAGGTATTTATATATAGTTTTAATAGTGCTTTGATTATACTAAGGCCGAATACATTAGAAGTTTCGCTTCAAGCTCCGCTTGCGAGAGAGGTAAACCTAAACTTAAATGAGCGTCTTTCCTCGCCTCGCTTTATATTTGCGGTCAGAATACTGCTTGCACATTTAGCACAGCGAAACTCTCTGACAGAGGCTGCATAATTTGTGTTTGCGGCTCAACTATGATTTGACATCCTAACTATGCCTGAACTCTACGTGAAGTCATACCAATATACATTGTGCTCTACTTAAGCCGACAGCATACGAAACCGATATCATGTTCATATTACTTCGGGCTAGACTTTTGCATATTACGCCACTCTCATTTTTAATCAATAAGCTGAAGCTTCGACATGGCAGAGCAAAATGTGGCGTCAACTAATAAATAAGAGCAAAAGCATCACCTAATGAATAGAGGCACATGCAGGTGCCACCATAACCAAGCCCGCCGTGTTTCGGCGAAAATAAGTATGTGCGGCATATACGTAAACCTGCGTACAAGGCTACCGATCCACTGGTTTTTAGACTCAATGCTGAAGTTCATTACTACGGCCATGACCGAGGCACATTGGAGATTGATCTACTTGTAGAGCAGGATTCGCAAATTTTAGCCAGGTTCTGGAGCTGTTGTGATTGGAAACCATTCTCATGCCAGCTACTTTAATAAGATGTCAAGACGAGCCGCATCAGACAAGCCAAAGATATTGAAATCTACGAAGACTACAAACAACCTTTTCGTAACCCCTGTTTACAGCCTTCAATCCCGTGATACAAGAACTCTTGCAGTTGTTTTATGAAATGAGGCATTAGCCGATGGAGATTGATATTAAAGCTGGTGTGTGGTCCCATGAGCCGCGTTAATTTAGAAAGCAGGAACCAGGCAGGAAAACATAGATTGTTCGGCAGCAGAAAGTAATATAACAGTGGCTGTTGTCTGAATACAGCTGAGCATTTTAGGTTTGTGAAGGAGACACGTATAGTCCCTTGGTCTCTTTCGGGTGTTCCGCAGAAACATATACTGGTCTCTATAGCAGTAAAGTGTTTATACTGTAAAAGATGACTGGTACCGTCAATGGCCAATTTGAGTGAAACCTTCCAAACCTTCCTCGGTTCTGGAACCAAGTTTAGTGCATTTGTGTGCAAGGATGACTAGTTCATTCGTGATGCTGTGCTATTTGCCTTGTTGTCAGCATACTGCCACTGATCGCTTATATACATGTTATTCGTCAGAGAGCTCTTTCTGGATCTCGTATGCGGCAGATCCAAATAAGTGGTTACTTGGCAAAGTGGGGCTCTTGTTGCTCCCTGTGATGATATGTCTGATTTGCTTGGTTTGACAAATGTGAGTATCACACAACGGAAACAGTTTGGTGGCTGTATGAGCCATTCAGGCACCAGAATGGGTATTTTTCCAGTGCGCTCGGGTAGAGGCTTTTTCAAGCCTGTTTATGTTCCCATATTCCAACCCCTTAAAAATCCTTCACGTCCAACACCTTTAATCTCAGCAAGAGGATTACACCACTTCTCACCAGTGCCGCAGACTTCTGTGCACTAGCGGTACCACAGGTTTCGAGAGAGTATCAAGACTTGTGGAGGCCCGTTCATTGAAGAGCAGAAGCCTAGTTCCCTCAGTTTTCACCAGAATATCACCATCGTCGCCAGGATATTCTCGTCACTAGCAAGATATTTATCGTCACCAAAACTTCACTGTCGTCACCAAACCCTCACTTCACCAAAAGTTCGCCATTCTCACCGCACCACCTCGCCGAGCTTGCACTCGACTGAAAGCCCCTGCAACAACGTGCGTGCAGAGAAGTTCAAGTACACCGGCCCCAAAACACCCCCCTTCCATTTCTGGAGGCAGAAATCACCAGGCCCCGGAACCAGCGGCGCCTCGAGGGGCGAGACCTGCGCATGGAGCATTGGCACATCGCTGGTGTCCATCTGCTGCGTGCCCTGTTTGGTCATGGGAAGCGGCGATACTAGCACCATGAACGTCTTGCGGCGCTCGGTCTTGGAGGTCATGTTGATGTGGAACTCGCGGATGCCCGCCAACTCGCGGATGGTGGCGGCCTTGATTTTCACCCGGTGGTTTTTGCACTGCACCAAAACCACCACGTCCTGCCGGAGATCTAGCGCGTTGTTCTGGGCTGAAAACGGCTTGCACGCCAGGAGAAGTGAGCTTGCCGGCGGTTTTCTGATCGCTCCGTCGGCAGGCCTGTAGTGCGAGAGGTCCCAGCGCCCATAAAGATCGAGCCCATTGTCGCCGGCGCCGCCTGAGCGCACCAAGTCCGAAAAATGGAGCGACTGCTCAAGCAAGGCTTTTGCGGTGAGCTCGTAAAGCGTGCCGCGGAAAACGGTGCTGTTCATGGGCGTGCCTTTGAGCCGGCAGAAGTCGAGATACTCCTGGCAAGACTGCACTTCTTTGAGCGTGGCGAGGCCTCGACGGGGGAGGAATCGTAGCATTTTTCTTGGGCCTATGCAGAGGTGCGGGAGTGAAAATGCTAGTGCTGGTGGGCGCTGTTTTGTTGTTAACTTTGTTTTGGGGCTCTATTATGGAGCTGTAGGGAGTTCCTGTTCTGGTACTCTGTTCCAGTACGATTGTATGGAATTCCTGTTCCAGTACTATTATATGGAATTCCTGTTCCAGTACTATTATATGGATTTCCTGTTCTAGTACTCTGTTCCAGTACTATTGTATGGAATTCCTGTTCTATCACTCTGCTCTAGTACTATTGTATGGAGATGTTGTTTCAATACTCTGTTCTAGTGCTATCTAGTACTGTTGTATGGAATTCTTGTTCTAGTACTCTGTTCCGGTACTATTGTATGGAATTCAGTCCTAGTACTGTTGTCTGGAGTTCCTGTTCCGATATTCTTCCCTAATTTTTCTAGTATTCCTGTCCTGGATATCTTGTATGGAAATCTTGCATGTAATCTTTCTTCTGAGTAGTCCTAGTTCCTTCGATGTCCTAGGTTCTCGTTTCTACTTCTTTCTCGGTACCTAGTTTTGAACAATTAGTTCCGGCACTCTCCAATTCTGTTGTCAAATCCAAGTTTTGTGTTTTCTTCTCAGAGTCTCTCCTCCAGTTCTCTGCCAAAAAAAAAGTATCCTATATAGCCTCTCGCTCGGCGTGGTAAATCAGTATCTGCCCAGATTCACCCAACAGGCTTTGGTCAGACACCGCGTGGGTGTGCATACAGCAGGCTCTTGTCCATGTCTTCATAGCTTTCAAGATCTCAGAAACCTATACTACAACGCAGCAAGTCAGCGGGCAATATCAGGCTGAATCCGGACGATCCAAAACACAGAGACACTCCTCGCCCTTTTCCAAACCTGCCCACTTCTGTATATAATGCTCCTCTTCCTTTTGTTCTCTCTCGCGTCTCTAGTGGCTCTGCAAGAGTTCTCGATCTACACGCTAAATACCGTAACGTCGCAGGAAAGCGAGCTCGGATTGCTCTCCTATGATCCGGGCCAAAATAGTGCCCTTTTCCGGCCACATCTGGACCTTCCGAGCGCCAAGGGCTCGTACTCGGTCTGCGCACGTGACCTCGCCTGCTCGGCCCCATGTTTCGCCTATCAAGAAATCGGCGAAAACACGCCCCAAGGCCTTGGTGGCAAGTTCAAAGTGGCCGTGGGCGATGATGGGTCTGTTACATACATATCCTTCGAAAGGGGCGAAGATCCAGCCCATTTTGCATGTCTGGTGGCCCGTGTGGAAACGGCTCCAACGCCGAATTTGAACCCCTTCCATAGACAGGCAGCGCAGCAGAACAGGAAGGTTCAGACTCAGAAAGTCGTGCGCAAGAAAGTCGTTGAGAATGACAACGGCGAAAAAGTCGAGGTGGACGAGGAAACCGACGAGGTGGTGGATGTCGACAGTCGCTCGTGGGTGCAAAAAAACTGGATGTACATAGTGCCTCCATTGGTGCTCTTCTTGATTTTCAGTCCGGCGGAAAACAAGGATGGTGGGGCGTGATGAAGGGCATTTTCTTGGGGGTAACGAATTGACGTGTGGATCTGTGGAATACCGGGCATTTCTGACTGGCTAGTATGGAGTCCAATCCAGCCTGCCAAGGACGCTCGCCATGGCACATGGTCTTGGGAGCTTTTGAGTCTGGATACATGAGCAACTAGGATCTGTACTCAAACCGTGGCACATTCAGACGGAACGACAGAACCTCTTGGGATATTGTCAAAGGCAACTTTTTCTCATGACGGTAGTTGATGTTTTCGGGGTGGCACCGAAAAAGTAGTGGGGCGTTTTGCGGTTTCTATGCTGACTTCCAACGACGCAGCTCTTACCAACTGACACAGCGATCAGGCTTGATCGAATGAAGCCAGACACCGCAACCACAATACCAGGATGAAAAGCCGGCGGTCGATCGAACCGATGTTTTCGCTTTTTCTCTTCGTGGCTAAATGGTGTATGAACGACTGCTTGGGACTTGTGTTTTCAGCTGCTGCAGGACAGGACCAAGCAGTTGGGGCACGGCGTTCTTGGCCCGGCATCTTGGCCCAGGCTTACTAGTGACATGTAGGTATGATTGTGAAATCCTGCGGGAATCAGTCTCTGGGCATATCCGATGCAGCTATCGATTGTAGCGCAGGTACTGTCCAACTTGCTGCTAATGATTGGCACTGCTCGTGGTTTCTGCCATTCTGAACCCCCATTCTGCATAAAGAAGGACCTTGGATTTGACCACGGCCAGAATTCACATACAAGAGACAAACGGCGTTTGATCCACTGGGTCAGCCGCTCGCGTAGACATTTGCACTGGCCATACATGGCTCTCAACAATACATGGCTCTCCAATAAGAGATGATTATTCCAATAAGAGATGATTATTCCAATAAGAGATGATTATTCCAATAATACATGACTATTCCAATGATACATGACTATTCCAATAATACATGACTATTCCAATAATACATGACTATTCCAATAATACATGACTATTCCAATAATACATGACTATTCCAATAATACATGACTATTCCAATAATACATGACTATTCCAATAATACATGACTATTCCAATAATACATGACTATTCCAATAAATAGACTACTCTTTATTCCTTCTTCTTTCGTCAATTCCGCCCTATCAGCCCAAGGACAAATCCCAGTTCAGCGGCTTCTCAAACTTATCCATTTGACAACTCAAGTGGAAGCCGGCTCATAACCACAACTGTGTCACCTTGAAACTTTGGTGCCGTATAAACCACCAAAGGCCCGATTCTGGTGAAGAACATCTTGATTCACCCCAAACATTCGTGGCAGTTACAAAGAGGATGTTTCTGAAATACGACAAAAAGCTTTTGGTCAGAAGATTACATCCAAAGCCTTCTTGTTTGACCAAGACGGTCCACATTTATTAGATACAAGGTCTTCCAAGTGCACTGGGCTCAAGACTCTCGGAGCCATTTTCATGCCCTTTCAACCACAACCAAAACACACGTTCTCTTTCTCCAAGCTGCGTCCGCCTCTCCGCGCCCCGAAAATCCCCACCTTGCAATTCCCACCCATTTTGATAGACCCACCGTTTCTCTATTGGCCCTGGTGGTCTTGACCCGGTGTCCCTGTGCAGGACCCCTCGGTGAGCTTCTGCGCGAGAGCAGCGCGCCCCGCCGCACGTGACTACATGCAGACAGCCTATCAGCGACGGATGATTCTCATTTACTAACTGTTTGGTGAAGCGAGAGCGCCAGAGAGCCAATCGAAGAATTTTTATAGGGCGCATCCAGGTTTTTCATTCAGGCAAACGCTAGATAGCACCCCTAAAAAACCCCCCGGCATCAGGCTACATCCGCAATTGCAGCGCCCAAACCCACTGCTCATTGCAACCCGTCCTCTGTCTTTCACCGGCCTCATTCTTTGTTCCCATAGACCCCAGGCTCTTCTAGTGTGTACTCATTTGCACAGAAGTCCCGCCAACCGAGCATTTCTGCGGCCAACTCCTGAACAACCACAGGCCCCGCGGACCCTCTGCTCGACGCCAGCACAAGACAGCATTCCTCCGTCTGTATCTGGCCCCATCAGGTAGCAAACAAGCGCCATTTTCACATACCCCCGTCGAGATGTTGTCCAGATCCATGAGACTCTCGCAGGTGCTGGCCCGCCGCTTCTTGCGCGCGGCGCCCCGCTTGATGAACGACGTGTCCGTCACCGTGGACGGCAAGACCGTGCTGATAGAGGCCGGCTCGTCCATCATCCAGGCCGCCGACAAGGCCGGCGTGGTGATCCCCCGATACTGCTACCACGAGAAGTTGGCGATTGCCGGAAACTGCCGGATGTGTCTCGTAGACGTCGAGCGCATGCCCAAGTTGATTGCGTCGTGCGCCATGCCCGTGCAGAACGGCATGGTGGTGCACACCAACACCGAGAGGGTGCACAAGGCCCGCGAGGGCGTCACGGAGATGTTGTTGGAAAACCACCCGTTGGACTGCCCCGTGTGCGACCAGGGAGGCGAGTGTGACTTGCAGGAGCAGAGCCACCGCTACGGGTCGGACCGCGGCCGGTTTTCGGAGGTCATGGGTAAGCGTGCCGTGGAAAACAAGGCCATCGGGCCCTTGGTCAAGACGTCCATGAACAGATGCATCCACTGCACGCGGTGTGTGCGGTTCATGAACGACGTGGCGGGCGCCCCCGAGTTGGGCACTGCAGGCCGTGGAAACGACATGCAGATCGGCACGTACATCGAGCGCAACATCAACTCGGAGATGTCCGGAAACGTCATCGACTTGTGCCCCGTGGGGGCGTTGACGTCCAAGCCCTACGCCTTCAAGGCTCGTCCCTGGGAGTTGAAGCGCACGGAGACCATCGACGTCATGGACGCCGTGGGCTCCAACGTGCGCGTGGACGCGCGGGGCATCGAGGTCATGCGTGTCATGCCGCGCTTGAACGACGAGGTCAACGAGGAGTGGATCTCGGACAAGTCGCGCTTTGCCTGCGACGGCTTGAAGGCCCAGCGATTGACCGTGCCCTTGCTCAAGAACGGCGACGAGTTCCGCACCAGCACGTGGGACGACGCGCTCTCGGTGATCACCGCGGCGTACAAGAAAATCGCGCCGCAGGGCGACGAGTTCAAGGCCGTGGCCGGCGCGTTGGCGGACGCCGAGGCCATGGTGGCCTTGAAGGACTTGGCCAACCGCTTGGGCTCGGAGAACACCACCACCGACGTCAAGCAGGCCACCGGCGCGCACGGCGTGGACGTCAGGTCCAACTACCTCTTCAACTCGACCATCGACGGCATCGAGGACGCGGACCACATCTTGCTTGTGGGCACCAACCCCCGCCACGAGGCCGCGGTGTTGAACGCGCGGATCCGCAAGGTGTGGTTGCGCTCCGACTTGCACGTGGCGCACGTGGGCCAGCAGTTCGAGTCCACATTCGACGTTGAGGCCTTGGGCCACAGCGCCAAGGACTTGACGGCCGCGTTGGCCGGCGCCTACGGCAAGAAGTTGGCCGGCGCCAAGAAGCCGATGATCATCGTGGGCTCGGGCGTCGCCGAGTCCGACGACGCCAGCGCCATCTACCAGGATGTGGCCGCGTTTGCCTCCAAGCACCCCAACTTCAACACGGACACGTGGAACGGCGTCAACGTGTTGCACCGCGAGGCGGCCCGCGCCGCGGCGTTGGACCTCGGCTTCCAGAGCCTTGGGCCCGAGGCCACGCAGCCCAAGTTCGTGTACTTGCTCGGTGCTGATGAGTTCAAGCCCGGCGACATCCCCAAGAACGCGTTTGTCGTGTACCAGGGCCACCACGGAGACGCGGGCGCCGCGATGGCCGACGTCGTGTTGCCCGGTGCCGCGTACACGGAGAAAGCCGCCACGTACGTCAACACCGAGGGCAGGACGCAGGTCACGCGTGCCGCCACCAACGGTCCCGGCGCGGCCCGCGAGGACTGGAAGATCGTGCGTGCGTTGTCCGAGTACTTGGGCGAGGCCTTGCCCTACAACGACTTGTACGGGGTGAGGGAGCGTTTGGGCGAGATTGCGCCCCACTTTGTCAGACACGACGTGGTGGAGCCCGCCAGTGTGGAGGTGGCCAGCATCGGGCTCAAGGACATCTTGAACAGACACCACAAGGTGAAGGCGACGGGCGCGGCGTTGAAGAACCCCATCGACAACTTCTACTTCACGGACGTGATCTCGCGGTCGTCGCCCACGATGGCCAAGTGCGTGTCGTCGTTCGGGGCCAAGATCGACAAGATCAAGGACCCCAAGCCCGAGGTCAGCATTGCCTAAGCCGGCCTCCCCTTGCATGTGTGACGCCTCTGGAACAAGACACACCCCGTTTTTCTCACCTTATGTATAATTGAGCCCGAGGCTTGTCCTCTAGCGGCCAGGGCCCCGGCGCCCGGCTGCGAAAATATATCGATCCACGAACCCAGGGGCGTACTTTGTAGAGCTGCGGACTCCCGCTGCCGCCCGGCTTTTAACGCACGTTGCACGATTGGCTTTTGAAACATCAAGACCAGATTTGCGGGGTTGAATCCAGCTTCATGGGGACTGTCTTGGGGATGCTTTCCGTGATGAACATCTGTAGTAGATTTCCCAGTATTGAGACGACGGGGTTCAGACAGCTCTGTGCGAGACTGTCTTGTTTCTGAGGTTGCCGATTTTAAGACTGTCGGTTCTAAGGCTGTCGGTTCCAAGACTGTCAGTTTCAAAGACTGTTCGTATCCAGCTTCTCAATTATAAGACTGTTCGTATCCAGCTTCTCGATTCCAAGACTGTCAGTTTCGAGGACTGTACGTTTCTAGCTTCTCAATTCCAAGACTGTTTGCTTTTACTGCCTTTTCCAAGACAATTTGCTTCTACTTCCTTTCCTAAGACTTTCTCCTAACTTTCCCTGCCCAAAGCAGCAGACATGGCAAATTGGAGTATGTATTAGCCTGGCGCCGCTCACGTGACCGCCCGGTACTGCCGTGTGCAGGACCCGCCGTGCGAGAAGTGGTGGTAAAACGAGGCTCCCAACCCTCCACCAACCTTTGGAAACGGGGCACCAGGACAAGCCCCAGAACTGAAACGCCGAAAAAGCTCGCAAATCCAAAATCTGAAAAAGCAGAAGGCTCCAGCCAGTCTTCCATCGTCATCATTCAAATGGGCATTTCAGGGGCAAGCACTCTGTGTTGGGAGCAGCCGGCGCTCGAACGCATTTGTGCAAAAAAAAACCCCTTTTTTTGTGCCGCTGGACCCTGTCAAAATCAGGCGGATCTGGCGCCAGTGGCCAATTTGGTGATGTGACGAAATGCGCACCCAAACCCCCCAGTGCGAAGCCGCCACATTAAAATACAGAATCTTGCGAACCGCCAGGAAAAACTCATGAAGCGCGTGAGGTCGGGAGACTTTGCACAGCGCTGGCGCGCGGCACGTGCGTGCGCCCGCTGCCACAGGCTCAAGAGCAGGTGCGTATATGAGGACCCCGAGCACGCGTCGTGCCGGCGGTGCTATGCGTTGGAAATCGCGTGTTCTGTCGAGGCGGACCCCACGGCGCAGACGGCGCGGCGGCGGCCGGCGATGAAGCTCCCGGCCCGGACGCCGGACCAGATCTTGCGCAAGGTCCAGCGGCTCTTGGCCGACGCCGAGCGCGAGTTCTCCCGGATGCCGGGGGCGGACCACGAGGGGGAGAACGGCGAGGAGGTTTTGGAGGAGGGGGTTTAGGGTTGGGAGGGTCTGGGGAGGAAGTTCTGGGGGGAATCCTGGAGGGAATCCGGGAGGGATTTCTGGGTGGATCTCTGGAGGGATTTCTGGGGGGATTTCTGGACCGTTCGGCTTCTTCAAGACGTCCGGAGACTGAAACCCACCGCCTCCCAGACACATCTGCGGGGGTCTCCTCCCCAGCAAATCTCCATGCAGCCTCGGAAGCTCCACACCTTGCCCTTCGAAGAGACGATGGACCACACGTTCAAGAACCGTCAACAGATTGCCCGCGAGAGCGCCTGGAAAGCCCGCTCGATCCCGCGGCCGCCTCCTCGCTACTTGCCCTCTCTGCCCTGGTGCTGCGGCTCCAGCAGCGCATCGGCAAGTACAGCCGAGCCGGAGGATATGGCCCTGCCGAACACGCTGGCGATGCGCCCGACATTCGCCGGCCGCTTCCCGGGGGACTCGTTCTGACTGCCGCCCTCCTGGCGCCTCTGGCCCCGCCTCGTGTCTCCCATCCCGAGCACTTGCACAAGAACACGACTGTGTTCCAGCAGCCGCGGCCCGCCCAAGACGTGCTCTCGTCCTTGATTTCCGAGGCCGAGGCATGCGCCCGCTACGCGTGCTTCCACGAACGCATGGCCATATACTTTCCTGTGCTCACGTTCCCGGGGCATCTCCGGGACTTCCGCCAAGCCATGGCCGCGAGCCCGTTGCTCGTTCTTGCGTGTATTTATGTCACCACCATATGCGACCATGGCTTGTCCGAGGCACACCAAAACAGGCGCTTGGGCTCCCAGGTGCTCGAGTACTTGGACAAAGCCTTGGCCCAGACCATCTACGTCGAGGCTGCCGACCTCTCGTACCACATCGTGTTTGCGTGCATGATCCTCTCCCTCTGGGGCGTTCCGCCTTTGCGCGTGCACCAGTACAAGAGCCACATCGACTTGATCACCGCCTACAGCGTCGCTGTGTGCATAGATGCAGGGAACGTGTCGCTGGTCAACCCGCTGGCTGTGCTTTCTGATGACTCGGTGGAGCGCAACAACTTGCGCTCGTTCTTGGCCGTTTACTGCTCATGCGGCTCGCTCAACTTCTCCTTGCCCCGCTTCAACTTTGCCACCTGGTCCCCACGCCATAACTTGGCCATGGAACTTCTCTCCAGACCCCTGTCGGGGACCCTCCCGTCTCAGGGCGACAGGTTCTTGTGCTTCTACTCGCGTGTCATCCGCGTGGGGAAACAGCTTTCCGATTTCTTGACCGAAAGCGGCGTTTCTATGAACCTCTTGACCTCGGAGGAAGAGCGCGGTGGGCTAGCCGGCCTGTGCCCACCAGGGCCCCGCGCAAACTCGTTGCGGTTCCAGAAGCTTGTGGCGGACTTGTCTGTCTACGAGAAAAATTTAACGGACACTGTGAGCGAAAGTGGGATCTTGGGTGGCCTTACCCAAAGTGCTGTCGCGCCGGGTGAGCGATTCTGTTTGCTTCTCACATACTACCATCTTGTCATGATGATTCACGACAACTTGGTTAGCTGTTGTATTTACAACTTAACTGTTGACAATCAGGTCCAACCCCAAGGCATGTACTTCCCACAGCAAGACAAAGACTTGATTATGGAACATATCCGAAAATTCGGAGAGATCTGTGGGCGCATTCTAGGCTGTTTCATTGAGCTAAATGCTAGTGGCGTCACGGGATATCCCACGTTCTTCTACTACCGAGCTCTCACAGCGCTCATATCCTTAATTCGGCTCCTGATCTTGGTGAAGTCAGATATTCTGCAAGTATACTTTCCTGAAATCCAGTCTGTGAGATTCAGGTTACCCTGTCTTTATGCAGAGGTACTCAAGATAGTTGACTCTTCTAAAGAGCACTTTGATCTGCAAGTTTGTGAACGATTTTCAGATCTTCTTCAGAGGATTGGTCGCTGGGTACCCGTCGTGGCTGCGAACGATAATGAGTTATCGACAGATAGTAATGATGGCATTGACTTTCTCGAGCTCACTGATATAAGCAAGGGCCAGGAAGTCGAGAAATTTGCGGCTCGGCAAATGCTGAGAAACGATGACGGCAAGTTGACACCCATGGCAATCTCGGCGCTAATTGTGGACGCGGAAGATGAGCATGCGTCTCGTGGTCAAGACTTGATGTCTGATAATGCTCCTAAACCGGCAAGCTTTTCTATTAAAGAGATGTTCAAGGGAATCGACGAAGACATCATCCGTTACCTAAATCCGTTTGATACTCTAGATGCGGGTTTTTCATTCACGTTTGACTAGCATCAGTTAGTGGCTTGTGAATACATGTTATTGCCTTCTAACATTCTGACAATCTTTCCCAGTGCGAGGTATATATACAAAAACTCAAAATCAGAATCGGAAATTTTCAGTGTCCTCAGAAACCGTATGGGTGGTTCTTGCCCTTTTTGGTGCACTTTCTTCCTTTCCTTCGAGCTCGTACCGCAGTTTTCCGTCCCCAGAAGCCTCCGAACCATCAGCAGACTTTTCTTTGATGATTTTATAAAGACTGCCCAGGCTAGCCGTAGCACTTTGAGAAGAGGAAGACTTTTTGATTTTGGAATACTCCGCAATCTCAACCTTCTCTGGCTGCTCGTCGTTAGAGACCGCTGTCAAACCAAAGTCTGTCTCACCGCTAGAATTTGACACTGCATCTGTCACATTGGCACTGCCACTTTCGCTATCTTCGGCTTCAGATTCCAGTTCTTCCAGGTCAGCCTCGGACTCCTCCCCGTCTTCCAATGCACCCCAGGGATCCACCAGCAAACCCAGCGCCTGGCCCTTTTCGCCATATTGCACCTGGTAGCCCAGATTTGTGTATTCGATATCAAGCCCTGGAATAAGCAAGTTCAGGTACGACGGAGGTTTGCCCAACTCATGCATGACGGTAATCCACGGGGGCACTGCCGTCTCACTCTCCAGCATCCCCACCGCCAAGCGGAGCAGCAGGGAGATTTTTCCCGGGCGCATGCGTGCCACGTCATGATTATACTGGTCCGCCTTTTCTCGGCCCTCGCTGTAAAGTTCTCCATATGCTAACATGCGTGGCCGTGTCTGGTGCTTGAAAAACGCGTCGTGGAGTTTCTGGTAGTCGATGTCGAGCCGACCCATTTTCGGCTGCACGCGATCACGCTGCAGTTTCTTCAACGACTCTGGGTCGTGGTTGCGCATCTCCGCTATACCCGTGTTTTCGATGAACTTCGGGAGCTCAAACGGTGGTCTCTCCATTCCTCTCTTCGAAGACAAGTAGTCTTTTTTCTGCTGCCAGTGCAGAGGCACGGCCACATGGTTCAACGCCGTTTTCATATACACGGCCATGTACGGATCGGGTGCATCAGCATCGTGCCACTCGACGGCCTGGGGCCTTGTGGCAGACGCCTTCAAAACGGAGATGGGGATTTTTTCCCGGAGTCTCTTCTGACGTTTGGACATGGGTTTTCTGCCACTCGCTTCATCTGCGCTCTCGTCCGATGAGCTCATCTCGGAGGACGTGCTTTCTGCGTCTGACAAGGCCACTATCTGGCGCTGCGGTTCTGCTGGGGCCTCGAATTTGTGGAAGACGCTTGCGTATTGCGAAAGAAGAGAATCCAGGCTTTCTGCGGAGGTGGGCTGCGTGGACAGAGGATCTTTTAGCCGAGAAAATATGTCCATGATCTGGGTCTTCCTGTCGGCAGCGGTTTCCGCCTCGTCGCTACTTCTGTGTTCATGCTCAGAAGCGCTTCTGGTCGTGAAGTTTCTGCCCGTTTGTGATTCTTCTTTGTCTTCGGTAAGATCTTTTTCGTGATGTTCATGGGGTGTGTTTTCGGTCGCCAGAATTTCGACGGATGGACTCCCAGTAGATGGCTTCTCGATGGATGGCTTCTCGATGGATGGCTTCTCGATGGATGAGCTCTCGATGGGTCGACTCTCAATAGATGGCTTCTGGCTGGATGAACTTCCGGCGGAATTCCCCTCATCGTTAGCGTCCTTATTCAGAGAACCCTTGTGAGAAGAAGCAATATCTTCAGCGTCTTTCTCAATGGAACCCTCGTCGAGAGAGACATTTTCGGTATGGCCCTCCTTGATCAGGATTTCTCGCCTCGCTACATCTGCAGCACGGCTTGCATTGAGGTGGGCTGTTTTTTGAGAGCTTGGCTCTTCTTTCCTTTTTTCCAGAACTGTTTCTTGCTGAGTTTGTGGTGAAGTTTCTTGGGCCACGGCACCCTTCGTGTCCAGCACAGGACCTGGGACTTGCAGTAGATTTCCTGAATCTGGCTCTTTGATGTCCTCTGCCTCTAAGTCCTGATCTGGTGTCTTTTTAGTGGCCTGAGTATGATTTTCAGTATCCTTTTTATCGTCAGACCCCGTCAGCATGCTCTTTCCCGGGCTTTCTGGGGCTTGCTTAGTACCTGGAGAAGGGTCCGACAGCAGTGTCCTGGCCCCAGAATCGACCGACTCCTTGCTATTTGGCTCAAAGGGTTTTGACTCGACATTCCCAGCCTTTCGTAGCTTGAGACGCTCTCTCCTTATTTGGTTTTTTGATCTTTTCTGGCCCATATTAGAGTCTCAAGGTGAAGCCAGTGTGGTGCGAAGAGCTTCATATCTACATGCGCGCATGGACTTTTCTGTGAAGGTCCGTGAGGCCAAAAGTCTCCATACACCTTTACTACGGTGATGTGCCGGTATATTCCTGGGTGCAAGTGTAGCTCTGGTAAAATCCTTGTTGATTGGCTTTTTGATTGTGTGTGGAAATTCGTCTGAAAGCTCGTTGTACGTCGTCGCTCAGTTAGAATGGACTATATTCTTATATTCTTGTATGAACTTGCTTCGCAACAAGAGAAGTCCAGATCATGTGATGAAAGTTCATATTGAGCCACATCGCATATGAGCTTCTCTTAGGAACTGAGTCAGAACAGAAGATGTTTCGCCTGTGATTCACTGTGATCATAACTTTCGTGGAGTCTCTTTCACGACTTTTTTTACATAAGCTTCCATATATTATTTTACGCAGTTGTTTTCTGTTGATCTTTGACATAAGCACGATATGTTAGTCATTGTTCACATACTCTCCCATATAGGCTTCTCAGTATGATTTGAGGGTCATCAATCCATTTGGGCAATTTTGGGGCTGTAAGCCCAAAGTCAGTAGTGAAGTTCGATTGCGAACTCTATAGGTACATCGAGTAAATCAGGTCTGCTAGTATAACAGCTGTTCTTCTTCTCACCTAGTAGATTCTTTCTTTGATCGGGGCAAAAGTTCAATGGCTCATATTGAACTCCCTTGAAAACGCAAGTTACTCTGAACATCGCACTCTCGATCTGAAGATACAATCTAGTCTTACTATGCATTGATCTGACCTATGAGCTCGTCGATCTGCTCATACATTTTGGAGAGTTTGGTGGCTAGAGCTTTCTCGTCCTTTTCCATGGATGCTGTCAACTCGTGAACCTTTGCCTCGAGCGATTGCGCCACTTGGAGCGCCGTTTGCTTTTTCGGCTCGTCAGCTTCTACAGGTTCCGGAGCGGGATATGTGGCCCCGTTTTGAGATAGCGCGGGTGTTTTGAGACCGTGCACGTTAGTCTCCGACATTTTTACCCTGTTTAGTTGTAGGTCCCTGGTTGGACTGGGACGGTTCAATGAAGTGTTCGAACCTGTTCGAGATGCCTGGGATCTTAGACCTAAAAAACGTGGCTCTAGAACAAAAAACGTAAAAGGGAAACACCTATACCAGCGTTGTCTTGTTTCGAGACCGCCTGAATATTCTTGGGCAGATTTATATGATGCCTCCTATATAGATTCGATGCTAAGGTACTGCTTGCGCGAGCCTGACCACCAGTGCGATAATGTACTAAGACGTGCGTCTTTTTGAATTGCTATCAGAAAGCCAATTATGAAGACATTGACGTGGCTATTTGGTGGCCGCTATATCATACAGCCCAAAACTTTGATTTTTCTGGCGAATTTACCATTCGTGTAGACGAAAGAAAAAGTTCATTGATGCCAGTCGTGCGCTCCCAATCTTATGGCCAGCCACGCAGAACGATGGCAGTATAGCAGGCTCAAATGCGGTCTGCAATTTCCATTAAGGAAGAGTTTGACATTTTTTGCTTTACAATGTTTTCTTGAAAGAACTAGGGACTGATTACTGATGGTTCGGGTGGCTTGATATTGGGTATTATATGGCTCGATTTCTCATCCGTCTCGACGCGAATTATTGGCACCTCGCAGCCCTACAATAGAGAACTAAATGATTTTTGAATACGCTACTCGTGCACATTTTATGTTTTCGGTGTATGGGTACTCTGTGTGTCCTCATATAACAACATTGGCTTTCTTTCCAGTTTCAGCGATTGTGAGTGCTTCTCATTACTACCCTTTGACATTTTCCCGATATTCTTCCTCAATCCACCTGCAGCAGCTAGGAGCATAAGTGAAGCAAATGCAATAGTCCCGAAAGCTTCAAGAGACGTAAATTCTCTTTGTTTTCCTACGGGTTGCATGATCCTGGGCCTGGCTTTTCTTATATTTAACTAATTTTTATATCCAAATATTGCGCGTCTGGTCTGGCGCTGCTGCCTATTGCAAATACGCACAACTGATTAATCGGGCTGATCAATATAAGGGTGAAAACCCAAGCGCCTGAATTTGGTCTGAATCTCAATCGTGTTTGGAAGAGTGGTTTATCGTCGATATATGAATTTTTGTCTAGTTGTAGCTGCTAATGAAAAGATAATCGCAATCAATGAAATTAGCAGCCACAAAGTGAGACACTCAAGTCGTTCAGCTTTTGGGCACACGACATAGAAGCATGTTAGGAACTGATGTACTTCTATATATAGAATCAGCTACTTCAAGTTTATGGCTTTGGAAGTCCCAGCTATTTCTACTGAACAAATTGCCTACAGCTTTTTCTTGTCTCAATTATGGCTGTAATTAGAGCGATAAAAATAGTTCCTTTCCGAGAACCTAATTTTGATAATATCTCCCAATGTGCTCACACCAATACATTTCTTCACTTTTCAATCAAGATTCCTGACCATTACAGTGACATGAATGTACTAGCTTTAGTACCTAAATTCAATCACACAAAAACTACGGCAAAAATACGAGCCCACCAAGACAAACCCAAGTTCCAGCTGTATAGATATTCAGATGGACCACTATATCCTATATTTCATTGGCATTTTGAGTATGCAATTTGAGCATTTCATGATAATCTGCTTTTTATAAAGCATTGTAACGAGAATGACCATTGAAAAATCTTCATTGTCTGAAAGCCGACTACATTTGAAACTATTGACGAACTTCTTCACATAATGGGCACTGTAATTAACATTATGAACTGATTTGTTGAATGTTTTGATTGCTGTGACTTGAACAAAGTCAATGGTAATGACGAGCGCACTGTTGCTTGATGCACTATGTAACCTTTATGGTAGCAGTTTTAATGAGTTGGAACATTAGTGAGAGGTTGATAGATACTCGATTCTAATTGTTAATGAAACCAAAATATTTTTGACACAATTTCAATCACTTAGCCATATACGTGATACTGTTTTTCGCCATTTTGACTTTCAAATTCTTAGATTCTCTTCAGAAGAGCTTGAGCTATACAGATATTTCAAGAGCAAAAAAGCCCCCACTCTAATCTGCTTCGTATGTGCATCTCAAATTTTCCGGGACTAGGCCCCAGATTTCGCATGGGTGCAAAATGTGATAAGTCTCGCTATTTTTTCTCACAAGTGACTTTGTAATTTCCGAATTCCTCAAAAACCACCTCTTTGCAAGATTCGCTCAATGACGTTTAACTCAACTAGAATTTCCAGTGACAAGCCAACAGGACAATTGAAAGCCAATGTCAATTATGCTAGGGATTCCCAGGCACTGTGTCAGGAAAACAACACTCGGAACAGCAATGATGCTGACAAATTTGGCGCAAACATAGCAGGTTCATTCTACTCAACACAGACTGTTTGTTCTGGAGGAATTTCAGATACTGACTGGAAAATTCAAGGAAAAAAACGTAAAAAGCCTCATCGGAATTTCAAGACCAAGACAATAAGGACCCCCGAGCCTGCAAAGCAGCGCTCAGCAGAGAATCCCATCAAAATAACGAAGCCCATTATGCCTTCAATCAGATCCGGCAATCTTTTTTCAATCTTGGATACTATAGGAGAAGACGAATATCAGACTTTCTCCCCCAGAAGGCAAAGAAAAGATCTGTTGGAAGCTACGGATGACTTTGTGCTTTTGACTGCCACTGTGAAGCCGGGCCCAGAACCAGATTATGAATTGGAAAATTTCATCCGCAGTCGTTTTTCTCAAACAATGCCCAAAAGCTTCCAAAACCATATGAGGCCCTCTTTTGACCTTGATTTGGCTATTTCCATGGCGCCTGTTCTGGCAGACCCAGGCATACCAGAGTACACAGATTCTGATCAATGGCCCGTGACTATTCCAACTCAGCTGGAGATTTGAAAACTCATGTACCAATTCTCGTGAGATTTCAAACGATTTCTTATAGAATCAAAGCTCTTGCTCTATGCCAAGGTCTTGGCTGCTAAATTCAAGTCATGATCTCAGCATTAACGCTCCCTTATCCGAGAAACCAAACACTTCGAAAATTGTACTATGAATCAGAGGCTGCTAAATACAAGCTTGATCTTATTGCTTTGACAGATAACACCATTTGCTCAATCTATAGCTATTTTAAACGAACGCTGGATGTAAGCTTGGAACTTCCTACATCAATTTTTCCAGTCCTGGAGCAATTTCTCATATAGCTTCAGTATTCTGTAGCTTTACAAATAGTCATTCTTTGCCACTCAATATTTTCAGCGGGCAGAAGGAATATTATGCGCTTGTCTCCTTAATATGACGTTCAATCTTGTTGGCATGGCCAACGAAATAAATATATCGGCTAGTTCGAATTACTCGAGAAATAAAGACTCGGTCTTATTGAGAAAATTTCTTACTTTTGTAAGCAAGGCTGAAACATCAGAGACATTAAGGCAACCGAAGCATCTCCTTGTATTTCATGTATGCACGTCTATTCGCTGTTAAGTCATACTTTTTGATTGCAGTACAGATACAGATCCAGATATCTCGGTCCATGATTGTCTAAGAGGTCACCACACTCTTTGATTAGACTAGTCGGATTTCGATGAAACGAACCTCATGCTTGCCTCAACAATTTAAATATGCGTTTATTATTTCTTCCAGATTCGTTTTATTGGTGTGCGAATGGCGAGAGCACTCCATTCCCTTGTATTTCGCTCACCGCAAAGGCATGTTGTATACCATCTGGATGAGCAGGTCAACATAGATTCACAATCGCTCGTCGGTTCCTTTGTTTCCCAAGATTACCGTCCTTATGCGTTCAAATTTGCATTTAGCCATTTGGAGCAGCTTGCTAGTGTTGCGTTGTGTCGAGACTCTAGGCTATCTTTGGTTTCCCAAAGTGAGTTATTCTCGGAAATATGCCTATTTTCTGGTTTGCATTTTCTGCTCAGTTTCATGTATCATTGTTTTCAAACTGGCTATGAAGCTGCTCAAACCCGCCAAAAACCCCTTTGCTAGCAGTGAATCTGTACGCGCTAATAAACTAGGTAATTACTCCGGTTATATCGCGTCGGCACATCTCCGATTTCAGACAATTTATACATCGGCGTACTTTTTTTTCGTGGATGTGAACTTATCACTTATCTAGAAAGTGAATCACTCTGGTACATGGCCCACTTTGGAACATGATCCACTTAGGAACTCGTTTCAAGGCGGGTCGAAATGCTGCAACACCAGGTGACATGCCAGCAGAGCGCGGTGATTCTATCTCGCTCCACACTGCGTATCCAACGTTCAACTACACCCTTTTTTTTGAAAGAAGCTCCACACTTTTTTTGCTGCCCGTCTCGCCGCCCTCTTATCCCCAAGTCTTGACCACGGGGCTGCAGCCGGCATCTGCTCGAAATAAAAAGCCAAAAAAATAGGGGGACTTGATATAGCCCGTGGAGAATGAAACTCGCACCGCTGGCACTTGTATTAGCCGCCCTAGCACCTTTTGTGGCCGCCAACGCCGACCACGCCACCCCCTACGACTTGAAACTATATGACTCCCACATCCCCCAAGCGCTTGCGGACGCGCTCTTGGGCCCTGGAAACGGAAGAAACGCGTCGGAAAAGTCGTACGAGCGGTTATACATATCGAGCCCGGAAGGACCAGGGCGGCCCGCTCTGGACGCCCTGTATCTTTGCGAAATGCATCCGAAAGAGCCCCCCAGACCACACCCGCTGCTGGAAGCCCGGGAGGAAATTGCTGCGGAAACGCCGGCCGCCATTCTCGGCAACGCCATGGCTCTTATCCATGCCGCCCTACCCTCGGGAGTCTGCCTCTGGGCCTACGACTTGCGCGGCACCTACTGGACATACGCGCTTTGTAGCGGGGACAAAATCATCCAGTACCACGAAGGCGCGCCGCCACATGAGCGTGGCCTGCGGCACGTGCCGCTGCATCCCAGCACTGTGTTCGTATTGGGCCGCTTCAGCGACGCGTCCACGGCCGAGGTGCGGTTCCACAACCAAGCGCCTGCAGCCGAGTTCCGGGCGTACGAAAAGGCTGCTGGGCGGGCCGCGGTGCTCGTGGACGAGAAGGCCGCGCCGTACTCGCACCAGCGGGTGCAAAAGGCCGTGCTGCAGACCGTGACGGGCGGCTCTGTGTGCGACATGACGCTCCAGCCACGCACGGCCGAAGTCGTGTACCGGTGCGCCGAAAACGGCGGCCCGGACGCGGCCATCCTTGACGTGTTCGAGATCAAGACGTGCCACTACAAGATGCTCGTGCACGTGCCGGGCTTGTGTGAGTACGCGCCGTTCTCGCCGCACAAGAACACTTTGGACGCGGCCCTCGACGTCCCGTGCCAGCGCGTGCGGGACCCCCGGGAAGCACAGGTGCAGAGGTATGCGACGTTCGACGAGTACAGGTACAACATCGAGCTTCGAGAGCACGTGCCCTTCCCCGTGCGTGCCGACAATAGGCTCGACATTGCAGACCACTTCCTCGCGCCTGTGGGCCGCGGCTTCTACTTTGCCCACAGCCGGCGCGAGCTCGGCACGCCTAGCTCGTACTTCAACGAGCGCAATGTGGTACTCTTCAGCGGATGGTGCCTGTCCTTGACGGACTTGAACGCGCAGTTTGCCAAGGTCATCTTCCGGGCTGTGGGCTCGTCGCTTTTGGCCCCTAGTCCGCCCGAACTGGACGCCAAGACGCTTGAGTGGCTGCACTCGTTCGTCTTATGGTACGAAATCTACGACTACAAGGGCGACTTGCTTGCGGTGACGCGCCTCGAGCACGACGCGTCTGAGGACACTGCTACGCTCAAGGCCCAACTCCTCGATCCCGTCACGCTTCTAGATGTCGAGGGCGACATGCCTCGCATGTCAAGCTTTGAGCGGCCGGATTTCGAGGCGCCGTATGACGCATGGAACTTCGAGCTCTTCTCTGAGAAAAAGGCGCCGTTGAAACGCAAACGGGGAGGTAAAAAGAAAAAGCCTGCGGAAGGCGCGGCTGGTACGGGTCTGGTGCGGCAGATCATGGCCTACAATCGCGGAATGCTGGAAAACGCTCGTGTCATCATGGAGCTCGTGGACCAGACCAAGGGCAAAGTACTACAGGGTGACTACATCGAGAGTGGTGACTACGTCTTCGAAATCGAGAACGAGGAGGGGTTCCGCGAGCAAATGTCGGTGTCCCCCATGAACCCGGATCAGGATTTCATGGGTTTCACTGTGCGAGTGCTGTCTGGTGCGCCAATTGATCCCAAAGATGAGTCTTCCGCAGCAAAACATGATGGCCCGGCTCCAAAAGACAAGCAGCGAGTCATGGAAGAAGAAGCGGTAGCGAAGCGTCCCAAGACCGGAGCAATAAAGTTTGATTTTGACAAGTCTACGGCCAACGAAGTCGGAAGAGAGGCTGGTCAGGGAACTCCACAAAAAGAGAACCCAGGTCAAGAGTTCACCGAAGCAGAACAGATTGCGGTCACTGAGCGAGAGATCGATGAGCTTTAGGTGCTCGTGCCGCAGTAAGGAAATGCGGCTGCAGGAGACTGGGAGCTGAAAACTAATCATGGGAAATTTCAGAACCGACGCTGATGCCAAGAGCACACCAAAAAAAAAAACAGAGCGGGTGTAAATTCGTTTGATTCAATTTTATGGACATTCTTGCTGAAACCGGTGCCGGAGCATGTACCCGGAGCATGAGCCCGGAGCCCGTGCTCAGGTGTACGCGTGAAGCTTGTCCCACTGCGCGCTGCTGCGTACATGTGGACCCGGCCAGTGAAGCTACGAGAATTTTGCCAGCTATTGCGCGGCAAATACAAGGCAAGCACGCATCCCACTACCTACACCTGGCAGACTCGACCATAACTCTGGAATATTAAGCAAAGCCCATACCAGGCTTCCTGATTTGAATTTCGAAGTAGGATAGGAAACCCACGCAGTTGTTTTTTGCCGCAGTCAGCCAAGAATCATGGTGCTTTTATCTAGATACGTGCCTTCCGTGGCCCCCGCGTGCACAGTTGCCCGCCGGATGGCCACCCGAAGAAACATTTCTTTCTTGAAGAAGTTGCTTCTGTTGGACAGCAAAGAAAATGAGGATGCCGAGCGGAACATGTACTACTGGGATGAGTCGCCGTTCGAGGACATCCGCACGCGAGCAGCCTTTATCCGTGCTAGGGCCAAGTGCCCCGTCACGCAGAAACCGGTGAACTTCGTGTGTCCCCACTCTGGAATCCCCACACATCATGACCAGGCCGCCTGGGAGAATGATGTTGAGTACCATGAGAAAAAAAAGTACGAGTTGTTGAAAAAAGTCAACCTTTACGAACACGACTTGCGCTCGGGCCGAAAGTTCAACGAGTTCATCTTCCCCGGACCAGTGGAAAGAGACGTCATGACCTCGTTGGCTTCGTGGGACTCTTTCTTCTACACGAGAGACTTTAATCCGATGAATACCGAGTTCAACTTGGCCGCCGCCACGAAAGTGTTGACGTATCCCACGACCATTGCGTCTTTATTGCATAGATTCACTCCGTATGCATTGGAGCCCAAGGTCCCTCTTACCTTGGAGGGCTTGCGTTCGATGTCCGCCTTAAGATACTCCTTGTATTCGCCCTCGAAGAGCAAAGATGCGGACGCCATGTTCAAGGATCGCGCCATGCGTATTTTCATTGTGGGTGCCCGCATGGAAGCCATGCTTCCTGGGTACGTGTGGAAGCAATTTGGATACCTCTTTCCGGACACCAAGTTTGAGATCCACTTGATCGGGCCCCACTCGCATTTCGATAGCGAGTTGAAGCAATTCACGGCCACCGACAAGCCACACGGCAGACCGCTTGTCACACAGTACGACGAGCAGATCACTATACACCACCACACGAAATACTTCCATGAGATCTACAACACAGGAGATCTCTTCCCGTTCGACCCTTATTTAGACGTATTCTTTGCCTTCCATCCAGGTTTCAGAACGGCCGACGAGATTCACTGGGACAAGTCCTTGAAGGGCTTGCTTGAGTCCAAATGTGCAGTTTTTGTCACTGGTTATCACGAAAAGGATTTGAAGCGTGAGATGAAGTGGCTTGTGGAGCACCCCTTGTACGAGGAGACTGACATCTTGATGAACCCAGGCGCGAACATCTTTGGATCCACAAAGTTGGACTTGGTCGACTCAAATCCAACCGAAACATTCCAGGCAAATAGTGAGGTTTTCGCGTTCAGAGGTAAAAGATACCATGCGATTAAGACTTAACAACACTTGTATATACTTAACGACGAAAATGAATGCGATTTTTTTCCTTCCTCTCTCTGAGGTTAACGAGCGTCTTCGTTCGTATACCCTTCACTCCTTGGGTGTCAATCAGACAAGCGCATGGCCTAGGTGTAGGTGTTTAAAACTCAAAAAGCATCATCAAGTTCTGGCCATCCAAAGAACTGTCGGAATTGAGACATTGACATTAAGAGATCATCCCTTTAGAATTTGACGTGCCAACGCAAATCAGATGCTGTTTCGCATCGACTTCCAAACCTCAGCGAGTAACAGGGGATCATAAGAGTCTTTCATTTTCAAAAATGAATGAATAATGTGGAGCCCCTAGCTTGGATGAGTTTCTCGTTTCATGAATGCAGTTTTCATTCGATACCGCTCATATTATCAAGTATAGACTTGGCGTGGTTTCTTGAGCTCTTAAAGAGAAGATTTTGAGGAATATGTAAGCTCTGTTTAGCACGTAGGTGTCCTGCTTCAAAAAACTATTTTTCATACTTCCGCCTTCTTACTGAAGTGATGTTGGATCGAATAGTCAGCGGACCACCTTCAAAAGTCTGACCTATAGTCGAATTGGCACACTCAGATCACTTGTAATATGACTGCCACAATATCTTTTCCGGCCCCTCCATCCTAGAGGTTATGAGCTGGTGGAACTAATATTCATTCTGAAAGTACAAAGCAAAATTCGGCATTGTCGCCCCAGTTCAAAGTGAGTAATACTGCGATGTCGACTTAATGACTCCGTACAATGCGTGCGCGGATCGGGCAGCTATTTCGCAGCCATACTTTGTTACGCCGCCGACTGCAAAAAGTCAATTTTCCTATATAAACAGGTGTTCGCTCCACCTTTTGCAAACTCTCTTCTATCACTCCTTTCTTCACGACGATACGCTTCATCATGATTGCACAAGTGATTTTTTGCTTCAGACTCACCAATTGCGTTTCGGAAATCGCCGGGCTCTGCCTCACGGGCTATTTTCTTGTCGTGCTCCTTCTTGAACTCTCAGTCCAGGCAGAATCTGCCACCATGGACTTGAACGCTGTTCAAATCGAAGATTACTACTCTGGCTCCTTTGGGGCTAAACCTGAGATTCAGACTCGTAGTGGAAACACTACCTCTGATTTCATCTCTGTTCAAATTGCTGCTGCCTCTGCTGCCTTTCATCCCAAATATTCAGGGGTCACAGAAACAGACTGGTCATCTACTTTATCTCCCACAAGCGACGGTACTTTCTTGGAATTGTCCGATGGGGAAACTGGTGCTTCTTCCGTTCTTTCTTTTAACTCAGATTCTAAGCTTGGCTCCTCGGCTGGTTCTTCTATGAAGCCAGCTGTAGTTGTAGACTGCACTGAGACTGATGAGATCAAAAGAACGCAAGGAAACTTGATCCCGGACAATAATTCTATTTTCAATGAGGAATCTAAGATCTCCAAAGTAGACACCGCCGCTCTGCTGCCTGCCGCTAACCCAGATATTGACATGGAGTCTGGGTGGCAAGTTCAGGGGAGAAAGCGCAGAAATTGCCGCAAGAGGACTGGCACAAAAGTGGAGACAGTTTCTGGGACTTCTGGAAAGAAACTCACCAGTGAGCCAGAATCCCCTGTCTCAAAATCTCCTCTTTCTAATAATCCTTTTCTGGTTTTGGCCGACATCGATGAGAACGACTATCAGGAACCACGCCCAAGCAGACCACACAAGAAAGTTCCTGGAAATCTCAAGCTCTCTTCCCTTGAAAACGTAAGTCCTGGTAGTTCTGCGGCTATGGATCTGGCTGTGAACAACTACGAGGCTCTGATCAAAAATGTAGTCATGAATTCGATGGATGTTGCCTGTGAAAGTATTGATGAGAAAGATCTGGGACTCAGCCAGGTTTTGCTTGAGGATTCACCCCGAGACGCTGGAGAGGATTCACACATGGGCTTCAAACAAGTCGGAACCACCTTTGAAATGTCTGAAATTTTGGTATCTAATATTTCTGATGATGGTTGGAAAGTTCAAGGCAGAAAGCGCAGGAATTCTCGGAAAAGACCTGAACGGAGCGTCATTATGGCGACAACAACGGGATCAGTCCTGACTGATCAGAAGGGTTCTTTGGGGTCAAACCCATCAATGAGACAGCCCTCCTCTAATTTGAATCCTTTCCTGGTGTTGGCTGAAATAAGCGAAGAAGACTTTCAACAAGCCACACCAAGAAAATACTTATGTCTCAAAAACTGAGACAATTGCTGGCCACTGGATCAATGGACAGCACCGTGTTACTAATCTGTTAGCAACATTCTCGTAGACTGATGGATAACGGTTGAAACAGGCCGTAATTTCTATTTGTTTTGAAATCAAAAAAATCAAAAAATTAAAAAAAAAAATTAAAAAATCAAAAAAGATCAAAAAAAAATCAAAAATACATCGGTGTGGTCTTCGCCTCCTCGATGTTTTCTCCACTCATAAGATATATAGGAATAAACAGAACTCTAAATTTACAATTCACTAGCAAGTCTTGATGCTGGATCATAAGTAATACGGAGCTCTTCTCATATTCATAAAGGTTGCGAGTGTTTCTACATAATATTTCCGTGGTGAAGGTTTTTCTTGCAGGTTGTCTTGATAGTCTTTCTGTGTATGAGATTTCATCTTCGATTTGAGTTGCGGGGCAAATTTATTGATGAGAAGCGTAGATCTCTTGAGTTCAGGTAAAAATTTGTAGATCAGGGAATAGCACTTGAAAATTCAGAGAAAACTTTGACCAAATCGAAAGTATTACTTGTTTGCTTTTCGGAAAGGAGTCTCTCGTATTGTGGACTTGAAAGAGCATAACAAGCGTAGCAGAGTTCTCGCTCTCGGTACCTTTACTTCACGCGAGGTTTCGGCTGAACTGCATTTTCTCCTGGTGACCTGCCTCAATATAATTGTTTTTAACGGATACAATAATTCTTGATTCCGAAACCTCTGATTGAACCTTAAGTTTTTATCGACTAAAGATCCTTACATTTGGCACTTTTGAACATTGAATCATGCCCGCTATCTTCGTGATACTTTATCATAAGATCAACGCTTCATTAGAGTCTTTTCGAACTCAATTGGCCCACAGTCAAATCAATTTGAATATTGATACTGAATCCGGCTCTTAGATTTGAAAATACCTAAGCACCGTCGAATCAAGTATCTAGTGCAGAGAGCCAGTATATCAAGTACAGTCTTTTGTTTAAACATTGCATCTGAACACATTCAGATACTTGATTTCAGAATCTTCCCAAACAAAAAAAGACCACTGAAAACCAACAAGTTACATCAACAATATATTTATATAAATTCCCACCTCACTGGATAGGAAGTACTTTGGGAAACTTGTCCATACCAGCTACTATTACTCCTTCAGTTTCGTCTACCAGTAGGAGCATATCAGTAGGAAATTAAGAACTTTTAAATTTCTCTCAAACATACACCTACAGCAAAAACACAGCCGTTCCTTCGCAATTAAAATCATTTTCCATGGAATAAGAAGTAAATTGCATGCCTTCTCACATATGAAACATGAATACCCCAATAGAAATACTAAACCAACTGTACACACTCCTTATCTTTGAAAAGCTGGCCATGAAAGGTTCTCACTTTGTGAATTTGCCATTTGTATACTACGCAGTTATCACATCCAAAAAGATTGCAGCACCACAATTTCGCATATGGTCTCCCACTACACTACTCAGTGTGGCCCTATGCAGCTTAACTAACGTTGATCGGACGGGAAACAGTGCTTCCTGCATGGTATGGCCGCAACCGATAGATTTACCTGAAGAAACATCAAGAAGTCTCAAAGTAAACTTATTTAGTTTCTGTAGATCTCTTCCGCCTAAAAAATTGCGTCATCTCATATCTCAAATCATTTTTGACTTCAATGGTTAGAGCCGTGAATAACGGAAGGAGACGGACCGAGTTTCGATACTTGGTACGTAGCTGGAAGCTGTTTAAAGGTTTTTTGTTTTTCATAGTTATATAGCTTTGCTCCTTCAACCAGATGAATCTACTAAAACAATGTTGTACAGCTGAATTTACGACGTTGACAACTTGTGAGAAGAAGTTGACAGCATCGGTCATCTCATTAACAAAGAAGAGATGATGCACGGCATCAAACAAAAGGCGTGATTTGAAGGTTGTCACACTCTATGCTTAGAGCCTACATATCTTTGGATTCTAATAGAAATGGTAATAGGTTACAATATTTCAGAGGTTTTGTTCGCAATATTCATCTTGTCTTTTGTTCGAATACGTAGTGGACTCAGGTTCCAATAGACAATCTATGTTTCTTGCATGCTGTTAAGGCCGTGGCTGCTTCGGACCTAAAAAAGTATGACCCCTTTATCTCACTTTGAAAGAACATTTTAGCTCACCTTAGAATCAACTTCCTCTTAATATACCCAATTATTATTGTCGTAAGCAATTCAGACTCTGTGTAGTGTCTTCGTGTTATGCTACACACCAACAGACATAGATGCCGATCCGCGAATCGACAGCCTGATTTCGCAGCCATACTTTGTTAGGCCGCCGACTGCAAAAATGAATTTTTCCATATAAACGACGGTTCGCTCCTTTATTTCCAAGCACTCTTTTACTTCCCCATCTTTTACGAACAAACGCTTCATCATGATTGCACAAGTGATTTTTTGCTTCCATATCATCCATTGCGTTTCGGAAATCGCCGGGCTCTGCCTTACTGGTTATTTTCTTTTCGTGTTCCTTCTGACGCTTCCAGCTCAGCCTGAGTTTATCTTCATGAACTCTGCAACACTCTGTGATGGTCAAATTTTTTCATTCCCCAATGAAATTGCGATTTCTGGAGGTGAAACTGAGGAGACAACTGGAAATTCTGACTCTGGTTTCATCTCTGTTGAAAAAACTGTTTCTTCTGCTGTTTCTGCTGCTTCTGCCGCTTCTGCTGTTTTTGCTGCCAGTGAATTAACAGTCACAAACACCAACAGCATATCCGCCATTTCTCCATCTAGAGACGATAGCTTTTCTGGATTGTCCGACGGCGACACTGATGCTTCTTCTGCAGTTTCTCTTATCTCAGGCAGTAAGCTTGCCTCGGCTAATGTTCCTCAGGATTCAGCCGTAGCTGTGGAGACTGAAAAGATCTGCCAAGCTCAAATCTGTCAAGTCGGACTCAAGTCTCTCGCCAGTGGGAGATCGATGGACACAGCTGTAAACATTGCTCTGCTTCCTGCTGTCAACCCAGATGAATCTGGGTGGCAAGTCCAAGGTAGGAAGCGTAAAAACTCTCGCACAAGGACCGGGAAAACAAAAAACATGGAAATGCTGATTGTAATGGCTACTTCTGAGGAAACTCTTGCTCTTGAGCCAGAAAACGCTGTTCCCAAATCTGTGCTCTCCAATAATCCCTTCCTGGTTTTGGCCGACATCAATGAGGATGATTATCTGAAACCACGCCCAAGCGGATCATACAAGAAACTTCCTGAAAAGCTCGAACTCTCTTCTCTTGGAAAGGTGATTCCTGGTAGCTATGTGGCTATGGATCTGACTGTGGACAACTACGAGCCTCTGACCAAAATTTCAGTCACCAATTTGATGGAAAAACATCTTGGGCTCATCCAAGAGTTTTCCCAGAAATCGATTCAGGGCTCTCTTCAAGACGTGGGCGAGGAACAACATTTGGCCTCGAAACAAGTCGGACCTAATTGTGAGATGTCTGGTATTCTTGTTAATGATGCTCTCGACGATGGTTGGAATGTCCAAGGCAGAAAACGCAGGAACCCTCACCAAAGGCCTGAACCAAGCGTCTGTGGGCTAACGGCATTAGCAGCAATACTGACTGATCTAAGATGCCCTTTGAGATTAAAGTCATCAAAAACAAATTCCCTCGTTTCACGTAATCCTTTTCTGATCTTGACTGAAATCGGTGACGATGAATTCCACGGGTCTCTACCAAAAAGATGGATGAAGAATCCCTCCTTGTTGAACCGTAATATTTCTTGATACAGGTTAGAATAACATGCCGGGCGAAGCCTCTTATCAGGTTCATCGTCGAATGCAATGCAGACTCAACGACAGCCGAATTTCCCAGCATCAAAAAAAAAAAAAAAAATTCAGAAAACTAAAAAAATCAGAAAACTAAAAAAGTACATATAGTCTTGTCTAGTGAATGCAATAAAAAAATTTCAGAAAAACGAGGAGGTCACATGAACGAAATTTCCAGAACGTTCATGGTTGCGTCGAAACACCCGACATCAAGCGACTATTTAGAAGAGCCTCGTAGCTTCTTTGAGAATATGAAGCAAAGAAATCGAAGATAGAAATTGTGATGTCGTTTATTCCCTTGATGCTTATTAGTTTAATCAACCCTCAGGTATAAAACCTCCTTCAAAACAGCATTGTCAAGATCATTGTTGAGCCATCAGTGGGAAATATTTCTTCCCCAGAATCTGACATAAAATACTAAAAGTTCCTGAAGAAAACTCGGACCTGAAGTTTCGTCTAGAATCCAAAGCAACATGTTCTATTATTTGAAGGAGAAAATGCTGGTAGCTTGGTTGAAATTGCCCACAGTACCACATTTTACCCTTGCCAGAATTGATGAGGCAATTTATTCTAAGTGCCTTTTGCAGGGTTATCTAGGAAATCTAGTACATGAGGGATTCTCCACAGTAAAGAATTAATCTTGTTCATACTCCGACGAGGAAAATGACACTGTAGACTTTGACTTTACTCAAATCCAACAGCCAAATGTGCTCCGAGCTGTGTGGGGTGTAAGCTTCCACTGAGCCTAATTGTGAAACACTCGATCAATAAAGCAAAGTGAATATTCGACAACCAATTTGTTTCCCACTTTGAGGCCAACGCGAAGTAATACCAGAGTCATAACAGGTGAGCCGCACGTGCCATTTCTTCGAAGTTCAGGTATGAAAATTTGTTTGCTTGATGTTGGTCCCAACTAAAATACTGTTCGATATGGTGCTGATTTGATTTGAAGCCCGAATCCGTTTTAAGTCGAAATGAAAAGAAGTGGTAACATTCTCAATTTTCGCATTTTATGAGAGTTTTCTGTACTTACAAAGTATTTGAGCACGTTTTACTGTAACGTGTTTTCTAAATTAAAGTTACAAAATTCAGAAAAAGATGATACCCAAGCTCACACCTTGCAAACTTTCTACATTTCCAGACCCCTCCCAATAGCGAAGTAAATATAAATGTTAATAGCATATTGAGTGGTATTCTTCTCTATCTATTACACGTTAGCAAAAACCACCGGTGTATGCAGGCCGAACAGGTGTCAACCCCAGAAACTCCACGAACGACGTTTCTGATGTTCGTGGCCGCAATACCAAAACGCCGGCCTCAATCAAATAAAAACTTCCCACACTTAATTTGCAATGGATGAAAGCTTCGTCTTGAACCTACCGGTGAGTCACGTGGATAAATCCCTCGAAACCTCTGGTTGGGACAAAGAAAGCATGCGTGTAACTCTACGCCACACTCTAGCTCATATTCGCCATCTGATCTGGTCTTTCAGCCCCAAGCATGAGCTTCAGTCCCTGTCTTTACTGTTTTTGTATTTTTCCAAGGAAATATCTGACAGCTTGCTGCTTTCTGAAATCTTTTCTGTGAATGATCCTCGTGAACTTAGCGCTGTTCATGGGCTCTCGCTTGTTGCTGACTATACGGACCCTCCTGCTGTCACAAAGATACACACTGTTCCAGAATTGTTTGATGTGGAAGTTGTGTTTCAAAGGGTCTCAAGCTCTGGTGACATACAGAGGTGTTTCTCACGTGAATCTCTATTCTCTTCGGTGCTGAGTATTAAGGAACTAGTCGCCGTGAGATTCAACCTTGCGCCCGAGGACATAGAGATGCGCTACAAGGAACAGACTCTTGAAGAGAAAATGGATCTACGTGAAGTATTGAAACTAGACGTGCCCCCACTTTACATGGTCCAACTAGGCCTTCAAAGAACCACTGCTAGATGCCCAGTATACGTGGAAGCAAAGCAGCCACAGGATATTTCGCTCTCCTTCACAATGCATGTTGATCGAAACATTCTGATCCAGGAATTGATAGCGGAAATCGCTCGTCAAACGGCGGTCAGCGCTGACCAGCTAGAGCTTTACACAAGCCAGCACTGTTTCTCCAGAATGCACAGCAAAAACAACCTGGCACGGCTCCTGGAATTCATTGATTTGGAAGAAGCCCCTGAGACAGTGCCTGAAGTCAAGTATGTGGTCAAAACAGGGGTCGAAACGTCAGAATCCGAGCTCGAATCGCGAAATTCGGATGCCACCCCCACATCGGCGAAGCCAAGCGAGCCGAAACATGAAGCTGGGTGTGCCCAGCGAAAACCAGTACGCCCCTCTTCTGAGCTTTACCAGCTCGAATACAAGGGCCGGTCTTTTGAGTTCACCACCGCTGAATGCATACTTACACCAGACGGAAGTCTCTTGTTGAATGCACACGCCATGGCCAAACTCGCACTGCTTGGCATCAATTTTCCTGAGGGATCCCATTCTATGGGCTCTAACTCTGGTGCTCTAGATGGTACAACCTTCCAAACGCGCACGGAACCGCCAACGGTGATATCTTCAACTAGCAGCGAAACACGGTATTTCACAGACTCCTCAGCTCAGAATTCTGGCCATGTCATGCCGGAAATAACTGCCAGAAATGAGGACATCGAGACCCCGACAGTCGGGCCATCTAGCAACTCCAGTGATCCACCAGATGCAAGCCACAGCAATGTTACCATGGGACCAAACCAAGAGCCCGAGCGTGTAGTCGAAGAACCAGCCATACCATCCAGAGATATCGAGGATGAGATATTGGGTCTCCGGGAACGAGAAAATGGTTCTGCCTTGGGTGCTATCATTCATATCTTGAATGATAATAGAGCCTTCCTTTTGCAGCTGGTGTTACAAATCGGATTCACGATGTTTTTGATGGGCGGTGATCTCTTCTATGAGTTGCTTGACCCTATGATCTTCGCTATATTAGGGGTCGCGAGCGCTATGATTGCGTTCTTCATCTTTGGCATCGAAATCAGCGACTGGATCAACGAGAACGTCTTACTGCGAGGTAACGAAAACCTGCTCGATCACGCAATATTGAATTGTGTCTCGATCCTATTCAGGTCGGCAACGAGTATCCACGTGAGAACATGCAATGCTATCAGCCTACAATGTGTGAGAATCGCAGCACGACTACATAAAACCAGAATCGAAAGACTAGAGGAACAGGTCTTTGGAAATTCGTTCTTGAATGCCTTCAAATGTCTCCTTCTACAGAATATCCAGGCATTGTTCATGGGTGCCGCCACGATCTTTCCCTTTCTAGAGCATGACTTGGCTCGATTTTTCGAGGAGGTACATCGTCGTGAGGGAGAGGACCTCAGGAAAGTCATTCAGAAGATTTTGTGCAAGCTCAAGGCCTCTGAGAATCTGGCGAGATTGGTATCATTGGCACAGGCACAACTCAGAGTGCCCATCCACACACTCGCAGACGTGGATGCCCCACTTGTGCTGGGATTGGGGGCTTCTTCTGAAAACGAGGAAGACGAGGTCAGCACAGAAAGAGCCAGGTCTGAGGAAAATGAAGACTTGTTACGTTGCTACTTGCTGTTGAAGTGGCTCGAGCGGCACACAGATGCGCTGGAACTTCCGCTGATGTTGCGTCGGGAACGGCGACGGGAATAAAAGAAGATAGGGAGTGGTCAAAAGTTTGAGTATTCGAAAAGAAAAACAATCGAGTTCAAAATATATCACATGCCATCAAATGCCTCACCGTAAAAGATGAGAAATGGGATGGCTTGACAGTAGAAAAACCAGGATCGAATTCGAGTCTCAGTTTCTCTGTAGATGGTAAAGTGAGTGCATGCAGAATCTGAAAGGAAATAGGGAATTAGCAATGTCGGCAACTACAACGCAATGTCGCTGAACTGAGGAATTTTCCTAAGCACTCCATTCTCACATGGAACAATGGATTGTGGAATTGTGAAGACGGACTTAGATTGCCAAACACGGTGGAAACAAGTTCAAGCATGTTCCGGCACAGATTCTGAAAATTCGTTAAGAGGAACGAAAAATAAAAAAAAACACGAAGCTAATTTCGTTGAAACAAAACACTGAAATAGGGGGGCCGCGGACTTCGCGCCTTGCCAAAATACCACCTAGATAAGCCCGCTTAGACAGGCTGTTATTCCGGGATAAGAAGTAGTTCAGCTCCCATTCATTAAATTTGTTCTAGGTAGCTTGGGCCGTCCAAAGATAGAACAATGGAGATGATTTTATAGTTGTCTTATGCTTATTACCGGAATTGGCCAATGGAACGGATTGCATATCACACTCCACGACTCTCGTTTGTTTGTTTTTTTTCGCTCGCTAGCCGAGCCGCATGCTCCATCGCGGCTTCGCGACACTCACAGTTTCAAAAGTTGAAGCAGTCTCGAAACGCACGGATCTGCTTCTGAAGCAGAATACGATAAGACTGAAACATAATGTTGAGAACATATTGAGTGAAGCAAAACACAGCCTCTTCTTTCCTTTAAATCAAATTATTCATCAAGCTCGTTAGGTATAAACCCACAGGAAAAAGCTGGGCTGCCCAGCCATGGGATCATTTTTCATTGCAGGGCGCCAAAATGGCACATTGGCGCACGAAACTGCCGAGTCCTGTCTTATTTTAGACTCAGTGGTGAGAACCTCCGTTGCTATCATAAGAAATTCAGACCCCGGTCCTGCATGGAAAGACCCGGCAAGTGGACGGAAATGGTCAGAAGACCAGTGAACAAGGGGAACAAAATTCTCACAACCTTGCTCTGCTAAATTTCACGCTTGGCTCTCTTGCCATAGATAAGCCAAAGATCGTGGCTTTCACTTCTGGCGTGGTCTAGGCGGGTGTGGCGCCGTTCAGCACTGTGGCGTACTGATTTATTCTCAGCCCAGAGAATTCCTCATACCGCAGAAGCGTGTTGTGTGGTCTGTCGCATGGGTATTTCGCGGCAGCGACTACCGCATCTAGCCCAACCTCTCATTTTCTTCGACATCCCGCGCCTGGGCGCGGTACTAGGTGCAGACCTAACCTGTATGATGGGAAAATCTGGCATACGACAACGATGTATGCCGGTGTGTAACAAGGATATCAATTGTGGCGGTCCAGCTGTTTGGGTCAAGGCTGTTTGGGCGGGCAGCTCCGATAGCATGTAGGATTAACACTGTTGGCGCCCACGATATGCAGGCCACAACACGGTCTGGGAGCTACTTTAGGAAAGAGCGTCTTTGGCATGTGTCTTGCATGCACACCAGGCGTCCTTCAAAAATCGCCCTGCTGAAAATTCCGAATATCTGGCTGCGACGCCTTGGAAAAGTCTATATAAACCCCAGGCCCCTCCCTCTGTAATAGATACTTTTAATCATCATCTGATCTACCAACTACCAGTCTCTCGTTATAATGCAATACTCTATCATCGCCGTCCTTGCCGCTGTCGCCTCTGCTGTCTCTACCGTCACTGAGACTGACTCTTTCTCCCTTGTGACGAGACTGTCACTGACTGCCCAGCCACCATGTCTTCTTCTACTTACTCCTCGGCTTCTAACTGGACCACCTCTGCTTCCGTCTCCTCTTACGAGGGTGCCGGTAACAAGCAATACGCTGCTGGTGCCGTCGCTTTGGCTGCTGGTGCTTTGTTGGCTTTGTAAGTTGGTTGATTCATCTTAAATAGAGTTTTACAAAATATATGTACGGTTAGAAACACTGTTAGTAGGATTTCGTAGCTGATTTTGTCTTCTGATGAACTGTTGGTTGTGAGCCTTTCCGTCGAGGTGCATCAGTCACTTTCACGCAAAAGCCGACTTTTCTTGGCGGACAGTATGCGGTCTGCCTGCAGCTAGAGTCGTTTTGATTGGACAAAATACGGCACTTTCGATACGCCAACGCATGTTGTCCGATGAAGCCAAGGCGTTCCACTATGCTGTGTTCTCGGCTGTGAGCCAGATTCCTGAAGGAAGAGTGACCAGCTATGGGCACATTGCTTACTTGGTGGGAAAACCGCAAAATGCTCGCCAGGTGGGCTCGTCGATGAAAAATTACCAAACTATAAACGCGGTTTTGTTACGGGATGGCGTATCTTTTGAGCAATTACCGTGGTGGCGGGTCATCGCAAGCTCAGGCCAGATTGCCAAGAGAGAAGGCGAGCTCGAGCAGAAACGTCGCTTGCTTTTAGAAAAAGTGGAGGTGAACGGCATGTCCGTCAGCATGTCTGTCTATGGTTGGTTTCCTGACGATGTAAGTATATAGGTACTAGGATTCCAAGCCTTCCCTCATTGGTGATTTTTATGTTTATGGCTTTCCAACTTTATAACCTATTGGCTCTTTGAGCCGCGTTCGTAGTCCGAGGTTCAGCCCCCACGCCTGCCTTTGCCTCGCCGTGGCCTCCCCCCTCTTCTCGACTCTGTCCTCAGCAGATGCGATTGTCCATTGTTTCCAGACAGGGAATCGGTCTGGGCCTGCTCTAACTGTTGCACTCTCCTGCATTCCTCTTCCCACCACTTGGCAAACTCTTGTTCTTGCTGAATTTCTTGCAATGTCTGAGTAATCACAGGCTCTTTTTCCTCGGCTGACCGGGTGGCCTCCTCCAACATAATGGCCGAAAGTTTCGGCGCAGGTGCTTCTTTTTGGCCCAAAATAGGCAAAGCCTTTAGCTTTCCGTCGCTTTCTACCGCAGAAGCGGCCCCAATCTCCTCTGACTTGGTAATATTCCACGGATTACGGAATTCCTGTTGACTGTTGCTACCGCCACTTATGTTATTAGCAGATGAAGTCGTAGTGTCATTCCCGTGCCTTAATCTGCGTCTTTCTTTCTGCGAGAGCTTCATAGCCGGCGCAAACTTAATTCTGGTCTGTTTCTTTTCGGCATTCCAGGTCTCGCCTAGAGCAGGCCCGAGGACAGGACCTGTTGTAAATGGAGCTGAGTGTTTCCGAATAGCCCCACTTCCTGTTCTAGGGGCTGGTCCATCTCGAGCCAGATTTGCTGGCACATCAGAATCAGCGGCGCTGGAGCCTTCACTCTGCAGCAAAGTATCCAGCGACGCCGTTTCCCCACCCTTGTGGTTGGAAAGGCGACTTTTCGACTTTCTTCTGCGATTCCTGACGATCTCAAACTCCTCGTCATCGACCACTGCACACTCCTCTTCTCTCGTAGCAAATTGATCACTTTGTTTTGTGCCCGAAGCCCCAAGCTTATTGGGCAAGGCAGCAGTGGACGAAATACTGAGTCTGCGCACTTCCGAGAGCACATCTCCGCTTTCTCTATTTGACATTCTTCTGTTCAGCAGCTTGCGTCTTGCTTCTGCCGTGACTGCCCCATCTGTCTTTACATCGACCAAAGGCTCGAAGCTGGAGAAACCCTTTGCATCACTCATGAAAATCTCATTGAACTGAGCAAGATCTGCGGTGAAATTCTCCACGGTTATCTTGCTAGCGGGCCCAGACTTGCGACAGAACACGCTCCAATTGACTTCGCCATGATCACCCACAACAAACTCCGGGTGCTTGCACTTGTCAAGAAGCTGCATCTGGGCCTCGATTTTCTCCACAATGCTATCACTCAAGTCTAGGAGACTGTTGTCGAAAAGGACGACCTCGAGGTTATTGTACATATACCAGCAGCAGGCCATAAAAAGCTTTTTTGCGCCCATCCAATCTGCGTGGCCCACGAGAACAAGTACATTATCAATGCTTATGAACTCTTTGATTGCCAACTCGCATAGATGCTTGAGTTGAACAAGTAAGAGCTCATCTGCAATTTCGATCGTCTCTAACAAGAAGTTGACAAAGTCGTCGGAATCCCAGGAATCGGCCTCAGTGTCAAGAGCATAATCAAATACGTGCAAGTCGTGACAGCCTTGGAGATGCGCAAGAATCACCTTCATGTGGACGAGGCTGATCTCTTCCAAGCCGATGTATTTCATAACGGTGCTGTCTTCCCCAAAATCGTCATTGACATTGCCAGATTCCCATCGCCCTGAAAGAATCGTTTCGAAAAACGCACTTCGAGAGATAATCAGAGAGGAGCATGTCACTGATTCACCTCTGGATAGCATGATAGTCACATCTGCATTCAATTCCTTGTTCGAGTCCTGAAGCTGTGCAAGATATAGCTCGGTTTTGCCTACAGTCACGTCCATGTTGAACAACGTCATGAGCAGCAAAACGTCGCTTTTGACCCTGCGGGAAGCTCCTATGTTCACGTCATCTTTCTCAAACTCCAGCCAGACCTCGAGAAGCGTGTTCGTGTACACGAAATACACGAAAATCAATACCGCCAAAGGCTCGACCTCGGACAGAAATCGGATCACGCGCTTGGTCGCATCATAGGTGCCTTTGATTTTTTGATGGACGAAGTATTCGCCCTCCTCTTGGGGCAGGAAAATCTGCTCACAGAGCCTCGACCTCTTTCTGAAAATGTCAGTGTGGAACCCGATAGCGAAGTTGGGGAACTGCGCCAACTCGATTTTGCCGTCACAGAACTTTGCCCCCAGCCACTCATACGGGGCACAGGTTGGGGCCCCAGCAATACATGCCTTCAAGGCCTGGATGTGCGAGTCGATGGAGCGGGCCGGGATTCTTTGGAACACCGAATCCGAACACGGCTCCTTGTTTTTGTCACGGGAGTACTTCTGTAGTGTTCGCTTCCTGAGAAGATCGTTTGATTCCAGCTGCTCGTTCTTCTCATTGAACGTCGCCAAGCCGGCCTTCATTCTGCTCAAGAGGAGGAGCCTGTCGTCCTCCACAGCACTTTGCTCAGGCGCTGGCGGATACAAAAAGTCCGACACGTAGCAGTTGGTGTCGTGGTCCGTGTCGAGCAACTGGTCTTGCTTGCGGTACAAGTCAGGCTCGGCGAAAGGGCTCAAATACTCCATGTCCTCGAGAAAGTCGTTTTTCTGGAGCTTGAGGGGGAGGCTGTCGGCGTCGTCTCTGATGAAGGCGAAAGACGTGAAGGTGTCGTTGCATGTGGCGCGGAGCACGCGGTTGAGGCCCTCCACCTTCCTGAATTTCTTGTGGGCGGAAGGCACGAGACCCGCCATGCCGGTGGACGAGGGTCTTCTCTGTGGCACAGGCGGCAGGTTTGAGCGGAGATACACCGAGCCGTTCCTGGTGCATACAAGCAAGGACCCGTCTGCAGAATTGCCAATGTCCACGGCACGCATGCTGGGCTCGGAGGCCAGCCACGCGTACGAGTAGCGCGTCGAGCGGAGAGCTTTGATGTCGCGCGCTGGCAAGCCAAACGCAATGACATCGCCGCTGTCGAGCAACACGTGCACCGCCGCCGGGGTCTTCATCGCCACCTTCTTGACGGAGGGCGCGCGCGTGAGACACGTGGGCTTGAAGAAGTCGAAATGGGCCTCGGCACTTGCCCGCGGCGGGAGCCTCGGGAGCTTGGCCCGCTGCCCCATGTAGTAGACGAAGAGTTCGTTGGACACGGTCACCACGCACGTGCACGTCTCGCAGGTGGCCACAAGCTTGATCTCGTCCCGCATCGGCACCTCCTTTGGCTGCGGCACCACCACGCCGCTGTAGGACTTGCCATGGACGCGGTGGTCCGAGGCCTCGCCCGCGGCGGCCACGGCGATCTGGCCGACGTCGAGCCCCCAGAAGTATAGCGAGTGAGCCGAGTGGGCCACGGAGTGGATCTTGGACACGGCAACGCCGCGGATGTGCGCCGTCTTCCTGCGGAGGTCCCCCCCGGCAATCTCCACGGGCGAGTTCTCGTACACGTCCGCGATGGTCTTGAACGCGTTGTGCGGCGCGGCCGACGTGAAGCCCAACTGGTTGAGCGTGTTCTGGCCCCATGCATAGAGGGCCCCGGACGCAGTCAACACCACCGTGTGGCCGGAGGACACGGCGCACGCCGTCACCGCCAGCGCGCCTGCGGGGAGCACCACCTGCCTGAAGCGGCTGGCACTCGAGGCCTTGCCCTGCCCCAACCGGCCACGTGACCCGACGCCACACGAGTAGAGCGTGCCGTCGGTGGTGCCGAGCACCGCGTGGTGCGTGGACATCTCGACGAGCTGGACCCGGGGTCTTTGGAGGAGCGCCCGCCCGCCGGCGCCAGCCTCGGGCCGGTCGATCGGCACGGGCACACTGCGGTCGTGCGAGTCGCCCACGCCGAGGTTGCCATGGGCGTTGGCGCCAAGCACGTAGATGCCGGACCCGCCTCGCGTGTCACACCACCAGTCGTGGCCAACGTCTCTTAGGGAGGCGCGGGTGTTGTGGGCGTTGCCTCCGTGGGCAGTGCCGTTGTCCACGGGAGTCTCCGGAGCAGCGCGGCCATTCCCGCCAGGGCGGCCGTCCAGCCTGCGCGCGGCAAAGCGGCGTGCCAAGTGGAACCGCCCGTTTTCGTTGATGTACTGCGGCACCCAGAACAAGTCCTTGGTGTCGTTCTGGAGAAGCGCAAGCGGCGTGGCGCCGCTGCGGTCTTTTCTGCCGAGAAGGTCCTTCAAAACAGGCTGCGGCGCGCCGCCGGGGTCCAAAAACGCCATCAACACACTGAAGCACCGGAGCCGCTTGTGGTGGCAGATGTAGTGGAGGACGTTCCAGCCGTTTTCGAGGTCGGTGGCCCCCAAGCTGCTTCTGCTGTCCCCGGCCCGGAGCACCCGGCGGAAGCTCGCGGGGTCGTCGGCAAGCACGCATATATGTAGAAGCGTGCGGCCAAACACATCCCGCTGTCCGGCCACGTGTTTGCCCGCCCGGTGCAACGCCGCCCAGGGCCTGTTCTGAGCTTTCGGGCCATCCATGGGCCCGCGGTGCGAGGCGCCGTCTTGCGTGGATTGCGCAATGGGAGATTTTGCCATTTCAAGGGAACATCGGCGGGGTCCTCAGAAGGAGACGGGGGGTGTTGGGGTGCACGTGGGGGATGCCGGAGCAGGGTGTTTCCTGTTATCGGACTTCCGGTAATAAACCTCATCTGGCGATCACGGCGTACATGCAGGCAAACCGCTGTCTTATTAGCTTGTCGTTGGCGGAACACGAAAAGAACCGGGGCCGGCCAGAACCGGCGGCGCAAACCGCAAATACAGTGCTTGCCTATGTATGTCGCCGACAGAGCCTATGTCTGCTCCTGGATTCCTATAGCCCATGTGGTGCTGTATGGCTGGTCCAACAACAGGCGAGCAATGCGGGAAACGCCCTCTTCAATACGTAGAACACGAGGACGAAACAGCACAGTTGCAAACAGGCGCCTTCCGGCTCGGGTCGTCTGTTAGACGCTGCGCATGTGAATGCACAAGACCCTGGTCCTCCCAGGCCCGGGGCGACCCACCCCGCCCAGCTTCTGCACGCCAACAAAACTCCCGCGTTCACTCGCCTCAAGCCTCCATCTTCACCTCGTCTAAGCTCTCCGGAAAATCGAGCAAAGAATTGTCGTCTTGCTCTTCCTCCTCTGGCAAAACATATACACTGGTGAGCGGCTTCTTCTTGACCGACAGGATCTTGCCATTGGGCGGAAGACGCGGCCGGATGTTTCTTTGCTTCTGGGGCAACTCCTCGTCCTCTATCAAATATAGCTCGGACGCTGGAGATTGTTCGCTGACCTCGCCTTTCCGCTTCTGCTGTTTCACGTAGTTTGCCTCCGTTCGCTGTGCCAATCCCTGATAGAACATCTGCAAAATGCCGATCTGCTTACCCACGTCTTCCGTGCGAAGTTTGATCTGTTTCCATTCACGCAAGTCCTCGTACTTGGTTGTTTTGTTTATGGGCCCTGCATTGTTGAAGGAGTTGTGGAGCCTTGCGTGGAGAAGATACACTGGCACAGATGAAGACAACATGTTGAACTCCTTGTCAAGGCCCAATTCCTTGAAGCCAAAGAAGTCGTCGCCCAACTCACTGGTGAAGTCTCCGGTCGTGAACTGCTCACTATTGTCGTCAAAATTCTTCTCGTTGAACTTTTCCAAAGACGGCCGGAGCAACTCTTTCAAGAACCCAGAGAGCTTGCTCCGAAGGTCCTTGAGTTTGGCCTCCGTCTTTTTGACTTTCTCTTGCACAAACGTGAATAAATCATCAGGCTTCTCCACTCCGTTTTCGAGCAACGTTAGCAAAAGGGTTTCGGATGCGCTGACTGTATTTCGTGATGTGCTTTCACAATGCAACTTCATGGATTTGGCCAAGTTCAGCATATACCTTTCCGCAACCTGCGTGAGAGTATTGATCGCAAACTGTTCGGTAGTCTCAAACCCCGTATGCATCGCAATCTTAGCAATGCTCTTTCTCAAAGCAGCATACTGTACCTGAGGGCTGTAAATGTCATGGTTAGGTAGTTTGGATACCGGATCAATGTCAACTTCTCTTATGTGTTCGATCTCCGGTTGTCTCATCTGGGTTCTGTGCATGAACTGTTGAGTCTGCATTTGTCTGATCAACGATATCTTGAAGCAAATCCTCCGTATTTCCTGGACCTCGGTGATGTTCTGAGTGTACGCCTTGTTGAGCCCTTCATTTTGAGAAACGATCAAGCCAGATGCCTTGTTGATATCTTGTGCCTCTGGGTTCTCCACGAACGTTTCCGCCATACGGTTTTCATAGTTCTCTTGTGTGTGGTCGTCGATGCCTGGATATGGGATTTCAGGCACTCCGCCTGCAATGTCGTACTCCAACAAATATGGCTCGTCGTTGTCAAGCAATTTGTTTCCCTTGGAGACAACTTCCTTATTGTCCAAAAAGTGGTTGAAGTCGCTCATCTTCTTGGACTCGCGAACGATCGCCTCAGCATCCATCTTGAGCTTGAAGTCTTCATCAAAAAGTGCTGCCCTGCTCGAACAATAGTTAGCTCTCGATTTTGCTGTGAATACTTTCCACGCTTGAAGCTCTGCATCCTGTATATCATCGTTGTCTTCCTCCCTTTCGTCAGCATCGCCTTCATCGGCGTCTTCGTCTTCTTCATCGCCGTTTTCTTCATTAGTCGGTGCTAGACTCCCATTTTCTGAGATTATTGTATCAACTGGAGCCGGTGTGGCTGGGGTGCCGTTATAAGTGTTGGCCCCTGATCCCAGCTGGTCGGTTAATGCGGCTTCCGTATCCTCAGACTTGACGACTTCCTCTCTTCTCCTCATCTGTCCCTTCTTAGAAGACTTTCCTCCTTTGACGGTGGAAGACACCATATTCTCGGTGTCTCCGTCATCATCCTTCTCGATGTCTGACCGGTTTCTTATCACAATATCCGGAATAGACGGCGCAAGTTTTAGGGTGCGCTTTTGCATGGCCGAGGCATGGGCTCGTAAGAAATGTTTCGGGTCTGCATTGTACATCAAACAGTTGTTCCAAATAAGCATCAAGTCGTCGACAAACTCAGATTTGGACTGGTAAGCTAAAGACTTGAGCTTCTTTAGGACAGTGTTCAAGTCCATGGGCTTCTTGATAATGAGCCCGTAGTTAGGAGCCTCTCGTTTGGAAACCTTGTTCAAGAATGGCGTCGAATGCTCTGTGTACCCACGCAAATCTAAAAGGACCTTTTCACAGGCCTCATACAATTCCTCTTGCCCCACTCGGTCGTCATTGGCCCATTTGCCTCTGTTTTTCCGGATGTCCAAAAACAAGCTTCGCAACTCGAGGTCGGTCAAGCTGATGTTGTCCCTCTTATCTCTGATGGTATTGAGCAAATGCTTGAGAGAATGGGACGCCGCACCAAAGTTTATTTGGATTTCTGAACTGCCGCCCTCTGTGCTTTTCAGGTTCTCGATTTGCATGTCTGACTTTTCGAGTTTCCGGCGCTTGATGAGTGTTTCTCGATCGTACTCGAAGTTGTGATAGATTTTGTTGAAGTTTATGATTTGCAAGTCTCTATCTTCAAGCGATGCTGCGGCAGGCTCCATATCGTCAGAGGATATTTGAGTCTGGTAGGATTCAGCCTGTGAACCCTCGCTGGCCTTAGCCTGGAATAAATGGCTCGGTATGTGAAGAACAATGTGGTCCTCTTCAGAGCGCTCAAAGTTCTCATTGGCTTCAGAGACGGGATCTTGTTTTGAAGTTTCGAGCGCCGCTTTGGATGACTCTTCCTCATCGTCGTCTTCTTCTTCGTCATCGTAGTCATCTTCCTCGGCCCTCACCACTTTCTTGGGGTGCTCATGCGAAGAAGAATTAGAACCCACCTCCTCGCAAATTTGAGGTATATCCTCAAGCAGCTCTATTAGCTGGTAGTCCTCGGAAGAATGTTCGATATTGTACATTCTGCTATTGGTGACGTTGTGTGCGGATTGGGCGTAGAAAAAATCGATGGCCTTCTCCCAAAGCAAAAAACGCAAATTGAGAGCAAGTGCTCGGATCGGCTTGACGCCTTCCTCCAAAGCCTCCTGTTCCTCTTCTTGATTCAGCTTGTCCTCATTCGGCCAATCTATCTTGAGAGAGCAGTTGCCTTCAAGAAGCTCTCTCCATAACTCGAAGCTTCCAATGTCAAAAACATGCTTCACGATCTGGTACTGAAAGTTGTTGAGAACTTCCTTGAAGAACTCTTTCTGGTGTAGTTTCTTCGCAAGTTCAAACAACCGACGCAGGTCATTGGCCTGGAAAGTCGATAGTTTATCCATAGCCAGCAACACACGTGGAAATTCCAGCCGGAAAATGGGCGTCAGATAAACGCCGAACTAAGATTTCCGTGCAAGCTTGCAATTCTGCTTCCACCCACAGAATTATGCCAATCTATACGATCACCTGTTTCTTAGCCAAGATGATGCCTGGCTGTTTCGAGAGAACTCTGATACTGCGCACTGGCCTTGCACAATGTAGTCTCACCCGCTGAAAAAATAAACTGGCTTGGCAAATAATTATACGCGCAGCGCTGGGTCGCCAGAAGTCAAGGTGGGTTTGGCTGGGCGGACTGGTCTTGAGCTCTTTGGACCAACTTTGTAGTCTTGTTGACAGTAGCGCGATGTATGCAGGACACGCAATTGACAGAGCGCACGGGCGGCTTGGTACCAGAGAATACGTAGTGGGGACAGACCAATGGCGTTTAGTTCTGCGGCTAAGTAGCTGTGAAAACGTTGGGTTTGCAGTATATATATTGTATGTGCCATTGAAGGGCGCATGGTCTGACATTGTGCCGATCACGTGACCCGCCGTGGCGCGGCCAAGCATGTCTGGCAGACGAAGGAGAGTTTCCGTTCCCAGAGCGAACAAAGCAGTATGTTTCCCTGTTTGCTCGCAATTTGCGAGGCAGGAGATGGCTGCAAAAATTCGATGTGAGCCGGTTTATGCGGAGTGGGGCATCAGAGGAAACTACGAGGAAATCTGGCATGTCGGGCCCGCGGACAGCCCAGAGAAATCATCGGCACGTGTATATATGATGCAACTGTACATTAATCTATGAATAGGCACGGGATGTCCACGCAACAGACAGGCAGCCGCGGCCAGGCGGGGGCCGGGCGCCTGTGACAGCATGCTACTTCATCCCTCTCCGGGCCGAGGCCAGGCCGCCTAGACGGCGTACTTCTTCGTCCATTCGCGGGCCGTGGTCTCGTACTTCTGTCTGTCCACTTTGTATACGTGTGCAATCTCAGGCACCAACGGATCGTCGGGGTTGGCGTCGGTCAACAACGAGCAGATCGACAAGAGCACCTTGGAGATAGTGAGCGCAGGCGACCACTGGTCTTTCAAGATATCTAGACAGATCGAGCCGGAACCGTTGATGTTGGGGTGGTAGATCTTCGTCGTGAAGTTTACCTTGGGTGGTTTGAATGGGTAGTCGGTGGGGAAGTGGATCGAGAGGAAAAACACACCTCCGGCATATGGCGAGTCTGGGGGGCCCATGATGGATGCCTGCCAGTGGTACAAGTCGTCGCCCACGGGGCCGGCGGAGCAGGACGATGGCGGATCTCTGGAGCAGGTTAGTATTTCTTTTGAGGGGCCAGGACCTGCACGGTGGCGGTATCGGAGCAGAGGGGCTTGCAGGCCGTCGGCGGCAAACACAGGCTTTGTGGATTTCAGCGGCCGCCGACACAAAAGGGGTTCTAGATTTTCTGGAAGCCAGCTGTCACAAAGGCCGCCGGAGAGGAAAAGAAAAATAGCCCCGGAGATCGGCCCATATTTGTTACCCTTTTGTCTCTTGTTCCGTTCGAATTCTACGAGGACCTGATCTGGTACTTCAGTGGCCGTGGAGAAATCCATTTCTGACTTTGATGGGCTGCAAAAAAAAAATCACGTTTTTCATGACCTTCACTGGCACAAGTATGGCAGAAAGTTCGGGCAAAGGAGGCAAAAAGTGGGTTCAGAGTAAGCGCACAACACCGGCCATGGCTCGCCCCGGGCGGGCGGAAAAGCAAATCAAACATACCTTCCCAAGTCGAGCAATTCTTTGTTGATGCGTTTTAAAGACATGTCAGATGATTATATGGAGCTGGATTGGGAGAAAGAAAAAGCGAGGGCTTGGACGAGGAAGGAAATTTCCGCTTGCGGGTGCGCAGTGGCACCGTGGGTGGCGACTGCACACAGCGCGCCCATTCCAGCGGGTTCCACCGCACGACAGCAAGAGACCAGAGGGCCAGGTCACGTGCAAGGGCGGAGTCACACGAGTGAACACCACAGAGAGCCTGGTGGAATTTGCATCTGCTTGTTTTATCCTGCTACTGCTGGCGACGGCAGAAGTCGCAGATGGAGACAGGATCGGCCGGATGCTGTAGGTGGCTTTGCGCCGTCTCGGTACTCATTGCCAACTGCGAATATTATTATGGTTCCAGGGCTCGCTCACAGCGAACGGCTATATAGCTGAAGCATGAAATGCGAAACACTGGTGCTGAAGCTCCTGAGACATGGCGTGTCCTGGAGATAAACGATTTTGTGCTATGCCGTGACCGAGAAAACTGGGCCTTGGGCCCCGCAAAATCTGGACGGCCAGATTGGTGCGATTTATAATAATAGGCCCATGTTGAAGATATGGTTCCGCCCGGGCCCTAGCACGTGACCCTCTCGCTGCGGCTATCGGCCATTGCAGGCTGGGCTAATAAACCGTTCCAGTCGGCGAACGTTTGACTCCAGCTTCTGCCGATGATTAATTCCGGCATTGCAAATTGCAGTGGTACAATAGTCTACAAAAATCAGTGGAGAACTCAGCAGACACCGTGGAACTAATCCATATTCGGGGCACTGGTCCACTTTCATCGGGAGACTACATACAGGACCGATACATAGGATGGACAGAGAGATATCTTGTTTTCGAGATTTGCTGGCAAGTGTTTGGATGGGACAGGAGATCTGCTGATGCCCAAGAAAAATAAATACACAGATGTCATGTGACATTATTGGACAGCTATCCCCGTGTTCTGATGGACGGTGGGATGGCGCTTGTGTTTGTTGGACTCGGTGAAAAAACTGCATGCTAGAAGTCAACTTATTTACTCTGTGATGTTAATTGTCGGGCATTATAATACATACTTCGCTTAAAGAAAACTCAATTGTGCCAGATGTGAGGATAAAGAAGTAAGTTGGCATTCGGCGACTTTGAGATGCTCCAGGGTAACCGGCTTGATCACATTCACGAGCTCGAACAAACAGAATCATTTTTGTCATTTCAATATGTGCAATAATTCTTTCAAGTAAATTAAGTGCTTTACGAGGGAAGCTTTCTAAGGTGTGGTCTCAGAGGCAGAATACACGTGACGTGATCTTACAATCCATGGTGAGGCCGCTGACCTGGGGGCAATAAAAAAACCTGTGAACAGTATTTTGCACTCTTTCTTGCGGAAGCCGCTGATGACATGTTTCTTCATCAGAAACAGCAGTATATTGAGCGGATCAAGAAGACCAAGTATATGTATCCATGCAACATGCAAGAAGATACACAGAGTTTTTATCCGAAATTTTGGCGAGAGACTCCGGAAACACAGAGGAATGATACAAAACACAGACGAATAATTCGACATAGAAAATGGTCCAAACATAGAAGAATGATTCAAACATGGAAAAACAATCAAACATACAAAAATAATGAAACATACAAAAATCAAACAAAGAGAAAAACAGTCCAAAGATAGAAAAATAATTCCAAGAGAAAAAAGAGAAATGGGTTCGAATTTGCCTGAATATCTTGATACAGTCCTATGGCCCATCCAACACGTATAATAATATATGTTTCAGCTAGAGAAACTCGAATCACTATTTAGTAATTGGTTGCGGGTGAGCAGCCCAATTTCGGTTCCAAAAAAAAAAAAAATAGAAAAAAAAGGAAAAGAAAAAACAGATCCAGACGTCAAATCACTTGTTCTCAAAAATTAGCCATTGCCTCGCCCTCTTCTTCTGTACATGCACAATTTCGCCCGACCACCTCAGCGCTTAAAATCATGGTATAACCAACAAAAAAAAGCAGCCACGAAAACAATCTTCTTGTGAGCCTCACATGTTTAAGCCCTTCTACTTTTTTTATGGTACTCACCCTTCTGGCAGTACTGGAGCTTTTATGTTGTACCGGAGCTGTACTGTACTAGACTTGTCCTGCAGTTTTACTGAAGTTGTATCAGAACTACTAGGGTGACACCCGGGTCTTACCAAAACTTACTACATAGTTTCGCCAATTTTGCCTCCTCGACTTTAGCCGCTCTCACTCTGGCTGGAACGATTGACAGCCTCTTTTTCGAGCCCTCGAAATTCCCTTGACCCGCTGCCGCCGGGGCGATAAGCTACCGCGTCCTGCATACCACACCTACTTCCTTCTACGCGGGCCATCAAATGTTCATCAACATGGGTTATGGAGCACCCGCTGGGACACTGCATGTTCATGAATTTCGACTCCAAAGGCTCTTCCGGCACCGCGAAATCCAGCCGGAGTCCAGAATTTCAAACTCTAAAAACAGACGCCGCCAAAGTCCCGAATGCACGCCGTCCCAGCACGAATGGTCCCTCCGGCTCGCAATTAGTGACGGATTCTACAACAAGCGATATCCTGGGGATATACAAACAACGGCGGTCAAATTCTGCTTCCCTTGAAACACCCCCCTGCCCTGAAAATATGTACAAAATGGCAGTTCTGTCTACTTCAGACACACCCAAACAGCCCCCCGGCCAGTCCAGGTCCAGCTCGGCGGGACGCTCGGCACACAAATCGAAAGCAGGCTGTCTCACATGCAAATACCGCAAAAAGAAATGTGACGAGTCTAAACCGGTATGTCGGGACTGTCGCCGGTTCAACAAAGAGTGTGTCTGGATCGACCATCGCACCATGAACGGCACTGAGATCGAGAGCCTAAAGGCCCGTGTAAGAGAGAAGGAAAGTTCCCGCAAAATGAGAAAACGCGTACGTCTTCCAAAGATTGACCCTGGCTGTCTGTATGCGGAATCCCCGCTGTCATCGATGACGCCGGAAATGCCTCTTGATCCCGATGGCCTACATGTTCCGCAGATCGGCCAGCCCCAGAATGCTGGCTATGCCCTGCACCCGCTCTCGGATCTCCGGGGGTCTCCTGTGGGGATGGATCCGTCTTTTTCCGTGAGCTCAGAGCCCCGTGGTTCGATTTCCGCAATAGTTCAGCCACACAGCCCGTTTTCTAAGCTGCCTGTTATTCCCAACACTAACTTTAACATGGCGCCTTCCCGCAGCGGACCGGTATCTGCTTTGGATGTGCACCCCATTGAGTCTGATCCTATGAACGATGTTCTTCTGCCTTTTGAACACCTCGTGGAGCCAAGATCATCTGCGGCAGTCTTGGGATTTCTAAAAGAACTATCCGCGTTCAATTGGAACACCAGTGAGCAAAACGGGGGTCAGGTCGAAGAGCTCACTGATGCCAACCAGGAAAATGCAGAGTCATCTCTAAGATTTGAGTCCGAGGTCTCTCCTGGGCGAACCTTGCCGAACTTTAATATCCCCAGCTTCATCGAGCAAATCCAGACAATGAGCCACAATTTCCCCGCTCACATCGACAGCTTAGCCTCGAGCTTCAATGCGACGTTTTCTCCCAGCCCGCGCGCCTCATTATCGTTCTCACCCGAGCTTGACCAGTCGGGACTCCATTTATATAATTACTATCTGGAAGTGCTCTCGCAAAAAGTGTCGATCGCCCCATGCAGTCAAAACGAGTCCAACTCATACCAGCGAGTGTTTCTCCCCTTGGCACAGAAGGATAAAGGTGTACTTTACGGTTTGTTGGCGTGGGCTGGTTTTCATCTTGGCGGTCAATGGATGGCAGAGGGCACCAAGTATGCCGAATTGGCGCTAAAACATCTTTGCGCAGATATCTCATTCACCGAGGGTACCCAAAGAGTAGAGGATAGAAGGACAATAATTAACAAGCTAGCAGCCATTTTGATCTTGTGTGGCGCCGAAATCTGCCGCGGCGATGTGAAGTTCTGGTCCATTTACTTGCAATGGGGCTGGAAGTTGCTACGATCCAATGGTGGGATCTTGAACTTCAACAATAACAAGGAAGAGCACTGGCTCATTTCCAACTTTGCGTACCATGATCTTCTCGCAAGCTCGACCAGCGAGAGAGGAACCTACTTCCCCAATGAAACCTACTACAAGATATTTGCCGACCCAGACGGAATCTCTAGCGGAAACCTAAATCCTCTACTTGGTGTATCAAAGCCTCTTTACAAGATCATCGGCGACATCAGTAGCTTGTGCTTTGAAAGCAAGCAAATAATGGATCAGTATTATAGCCTATCCCGGAAGGTTCCTAAGCAAAGCGAAGCCACTTTGCGTTCTCCTGAGGAAACTGGTTCTTTGCATTCTTTCACAGAGACAACTTCTGAAGTCAGTGATCACTCAAAAGTTGCAGATTTGCTTAATTTCATCAGCAATAAAGCGCATGAATTGGAAATAACATTGAACAATGTCAAGCCTGATTCTTGCGATTTGCAGTCACTTTCGGACTCCGAGCTAGAGTCACAACTCACTATTTTCGAAACATTCCAACTAAGCTGCAAGTTATACCTTCGACAGGCGATCCTCCGGTTGAATCCGTCCGCATTAGAGTGCCAGATTCTAATGAACGATCTTATCAAATGCATAGATGTATTGATTGACACACCTATGCAGGCAAGTATTGTTTTCCCCGTGTTTATAGCTGGTCTATTCACGGTGACCGAAAGCGGAAAAGCCGCAATGAGAAAGCGATTCGAGAAACTCATTGTTGATTACGGGCCTTGGAATGTGGTCAGAGTTAAGTCGCTAGTTGAAAAAATCTGGGAGGAAAACCCGCATGGAGATCGTGTTGTGGATTGGAATACGATGTTAAACGACTTGAACTGGGATCTTAATTTCGCATGATTTGTTGAGCCCTATTTCCCAGCTGGGTTTTTGTTGGAACAAATCATCTCCATTTGCGCCTTTTAATTTTTATCTTTCGTTATTTTCGCATACTATTCTATTTCGAAGAGACAGATGTATCACAAAGATTTTTTTTTTGCCTCGCAATGCAAATCCTACTGTCATCACTTCTCCGCTTGATAATTACATGAGCCAAAAAAAAAAAAATGAAGCGCAATTTGCTTTTGTGTTTAGGTAGGCCCATAGCTGCGCAGACTTTCATACTAAGATGCTTATTTAAAATTGAGAATAATCTTTGGGTGCAAACCTTCCTTCCTGTCAAATGGCTACCAAACCAGATATTGCTACTAACTTCGCTTCTCAAAATTTACTCTCAGAAAATAAAAAGAAGTATGGGGATTTAAAAAGGCAACAAAAAACTATCAGCAGTCTGCCTAGAACACTCAGAGTCAATCGGCGCAACAAATACTCGGTTGTCAACCAAAACAGCACCAGCGCTAAATACAAAACAGGGTTTGTGCCAGTCAAGTCCCCCGGCTCAAAGCTGCTGTCATTTTCTGCACCAGTACTTCTCTCTTCACCCAAACGTGTACGACGTCGCCGTCGGCAAGCTTCTCGACAGTCTAGTTTAAGCGAGCGCACCTTCCGGAAGGACCCAAACGGCACACGATCCAAGATACGGGCGATCCCCATAGCAGTTGGTGGGGCTCTGATAAAAAAGTCAACTTGCAGCTTGAGGAAAGTCATGGCAGAAAAGATCCAGAAAACCACTGAAGTGTGGCTTCCCAGCTTAAAGATGTCAAATTTGACTCACTGGGAGCGGCCGTTTTCCAGACCACTGAATGCCATTGAACAGGTGTTGAACGATGAGATAGTGGAACCAACTTCAAGCTATTTATGTGGCTTCAGGCAATTTCTCAACTGCAAACTTGAATCGACTTTTGCAGGGAAGAGCCCAACTAATTCCAGATCGATACAAAATGCAGAGACCCCGCAAACTCTGGGCGAGGTTGTTGTTGAGGGCACCAACCAAGGTCAGCCTCGGGGGCCAACTCACAAAATTGATCATCAAGAGGAAACTGATGGCGACAAAAAGAGAGGACGCTCTAAGTTCAGAAGATTGGCCCAAGTTGGTACATATGCCAAGCTGTTTGTCCAGAAATTGAAGATCAAAAGTCTTATCGGGCGCGGTGGCAGCGATGACAATTTTGCTGAGATAGATGTCCCCAACATCCCCTCGCCCTCGAGCGATACTTTGAAAGCACTCAGAAGAAGCAAAGCCCCTATGGTCTTGTTATCGGCTTGCCTGTCTTTCCTGTTTGGGTTGCCGATTAGGCCTTACCCTCCTGCTAAACGTGGACCACAAATGATCATGACCCCAATTCTGACTTCGACGTACAACAATTTGTTACTCAGTCCAGGCAAAGAAATATATTTGGCGGATACGGCAGATTCCACCGACTTGCGATCGGAAAGAATGAAGCAGATTTTACGGGTTCGGTTCTCCATGAACAACGGCCAAGTGGTAGGTGATGGGAGAACAGTTTATAGGAAACCTTCCCATGGTCTGGCAGATCTGACGTCAGGTGGCATTCCTCTTACGCCAATGTCTTGCATTTTGGAACAAGACCCCGATTTTGAGTCTTTCATGTTGCCCCTCGACTCGGGTTATACTCTTCAGTCACCCGGATCAAACGAGGTTGACCATGGTTATATTCCAAAGTCCAGTGGCACATTCAGTGAGTTCGGATATCAGGTGGCTTAGTGCTGAACAAGGTGATCACTACATCTGTGCGGTACAAATTTTTATCGATTTAACATGCTATACAGGGATAAATGTGAATGAAACAGAAAGGCGGATATTTTACACAGATGAATCAGTCCTTCGACTTCTTCTTCTTCTTCTTTGGTGCTTCGTCATCGTCAGCCTTACGCTTCTTCTCCTTCTTGTCCTTCTTGTCCTTCTTGTCCTTCTTGTCTTTCTTCTCCTTCTTTTCTTTCTTTTCCTTCTTTGGCTCTTCGACAGCTTCCTCCTCTTCAGCGTCGACATCCATGGCGTCAGCACCACCCAAAGCCAAAGCTTGCTTGATGGCATCGGCGTTCTTCATTGGAGCGGCACCAGTGTCATAAAAGTTCAATCTGTCTTCAACCTGCTTTCTCAAGATTTGACCAAAAGCAGTAGTGGGCTCGTCGGAGTAGTTGTCGATTCTAGAAGCAATGGAACACTTGTTGGCCAAGTATCTGGAGATTCTACCCTTGTTCTTGGTAGCGGCCTTACCAATGAAAGAAGAGTGGTAGATCAATCCGTACTTTGGAGTGTTACCCTTCGTCTTCAAAGCTCTGAACAAAGCCTTCTCAGCACCCAAAATTTGAACAGTGGAGGCAGCCTGCTTCGACAAGTTGGTCAAGGAACCAGCGTGAGAGATCAATCTGGCACCAACAACCTCACCAATCAAAGTCGACAAGTTAGGAGCAACAGTGTGCATCTTGTCAGTCAAGTACTGGTACAATCTAGCTCTGTACTCAGAGATGGACACCACTCTCTCGGCAAAGGTGGAGACGTTAAGCATATCTAGCTCAGAAATGTCTTGACCCATGGAGATCTTGGCGTTGTCAATGATTCTTTGGGCGATGGAGAGGTCGTCGTTGAACAAGGCGGCAATGTCGTGGACATTCTCATCGGTCAAGTTGGCCTTGTCCTTGATGTAAAGGGCAAGCTTAGCATAGACGTAGTTGTCCGACGCAATCTTGGCCAACTCGGGGAAGTGCCATCCGTACCACTCCTTGACTCTCATGGAGAAAGTGTTGATGTCCTTGTCCAACTGGTCCAAAAGCGCAATGGCCTGGATGATGTGGTTGTCGTTCTTTTGAACCGAGAACTTTACCTTGGCTCTGGAAAAGGCGTGACCCAAACCCAACTGGGCTCTCTCGATGTCACCCTCCTGCAAGTCCTTCAAGAGCTTGGGGCCGTGGACACGGATGCCTCTCAAGAAGTCCTGGGCAATTTCGTTGGACAAGCAGTCGACGTATGGAAAGTGCTCCTTGATGGAGGGACCCAAGTTTTTGTCCGATACACCCAACGTGATTCTCTCCTTTTTGGAAGGCTTGGGCAAGTTCAACTCCAACACAGACTTCAAGTAGTCGCTGACCAAACCCTCGGAAATGTCGTTGGCGTTCTCCAAGGCCTGGGCAGCGCCCTTGAAGGGAGCAAACGAAACAAGCTCGATCATTTTAGAAAATTTGCCCAAGTCCAGCGAAGCCTCCTGGACCTCCTTCAGTCTGACCGCAATGTCATCCTGTTGGATCAACACCTTGAAGATGGCAAACCCAGTGGCCTCTTCGAAGAGGAGGTAGTCGATTCCAGCCATTGTTTGTCCGTGGTTAGGTTGTCTAATCTCAGAATAATGAGAAGAAAATTTCTTTGAGGGCATCATCGGGTGTGCACAGTAGGGCTCTTTCTCAACTGAGCTTTGTGTGCGCAACACGACTCCTCGCTGCCATTGAGAGCTCTAACTCGAAACAGGCAAGGGGCCAACTCTTCCTCGGAATCCAGCATTTGGGCACGGGAAATGGACCGGAGTAGCCGTGTGAGAAAACACGGGTCTGGCAGCGGAATTGGAGAAACGACCGTTTTCGGATATCTGCGCAGATATTTCTGTGCGGTTATCTTAGCATGGACCCGAGGCACCAGAAGTGCCGGATTCCAGACATCACAGTTGGACGGAATCGTGACCTCCGTGGGATTTGAATTTGGGGCATCAAGACACATAATTGTGTATGCTGGAAACTCCCAAAACAGAACGCACCTTTATTTTTGGCCCCAGATCACCTCCACGCCCCGCCATTTTGCAACCTGCTTGCTGGCCCGCCGCGGCCATATACAACAGGCCCGCGAGCCCCGGCAGGCCCGTACATCCCATCATATGACGAGCCCATTCCAGTGAGCCGTGTACATGACCTATTGCCGTGCTTAGTATGATGCTGCCATTCTTCCGGAGCGGCTTGGGAATCCGCTGCCGCTTAAATCCCCGTTCCCTCCAGCGCATGCAACCAGCTCGTAATGTCATCACGCCAAACATCGACTGGAAACCCATCAAAACCTCGGTCACGAATCTAGCGAAGGCCGAGAACCAGGGCAAGGCCCGTATTTTCCGAGGCGTGCTCTTGGGCCTCATGGTGGCAATGCCCGTCATCAGTTTCTGTTTGGGCTGCTGGCAGGTGAAAAGACTAAAATGGAAAGTGGAGCTTATTGAGCGGGCGGAGCACATGCTAGCCGAGCCCCCCTTGGAGGAGCTCCCGGCGCTTCTTGATCCTTCTGTGATCAAGGACTTTGAGTTCCGGAGATTCAAGGTCAGGGGCCATTTCAGCTACGAACAAGAGATGTTTTTGGGGCCCCGTCTCCGGAACGGCGAGGTGGGCTATTTGGTGGTCACGCCTTTCATCCGGGCCAGTGGGGGCAAGCCCATATTGATCGAGCGCGGCTGGATCCAGCAGGATTTGGTCATGCCCGAAAGACGCTCCCGGGGCTACTTGTCACACCTAGCGTTGCCTCAGGGCGAGATCACCATTGAGGGAATGTTGCGGGTAATGCCTACGAGGTCCGGTCTCCAGTATGAACATGAGCCTGGCTCGAGGCTATTCCACGTGCCCGATGTGAGCGCCATGGCCGAGCAAAGCGGCACGTTGCCCATCTACGCGCAAATGATGTACAACCTCCGAGACCAGCCTGACTGGGTCGGGCCCGACTCTGCCGAGACGCCCCAATCCGGATGGTCTCTATTCACGAAGAAAGCAGCGTCCCCCAAGGCCGGCCACTTGCCGGGCTCCGACCCCGACTCAACGCTCGAATGGCAAGAGTTCGAGTTCTACAACGAGGGCGTGCCGATCGCCGCCGTGCCGAACGTGACCTTCACCAACAACCACTTGCAGTATTTGGTGACGTGGTTCGGCGTGTCGGTCGCCAGCACGGTGTTATTGGTCTACATCTTCATGAAGAAAAAAGGCTTGAAGGGCGCGGACAAGATCATCCAGGCCAAGAAGGACGACATGAAGAAGCGTCTCTAGGCAGTCTTCCAGGCAGCGTGGTTCTGTTCTGGTCATTCATTGTACATAGCTTATTATACGCCTCCGAGGATGCTTGCGAGGCCAATGTACACCACCATGAGCATGAGGTCGCCGATCACTATGCTGGCGCCTCCCCAGTATATCAACGCCGAGTCGAGGAGCTGCTGCAACGCGGACGCCTGCGGGAAGACGGCGGAGGCCAAGGATAGCATTTTCGATATCGGGTGGTTTCTTGACGACACGCTGAGCACACCGTTAGACGACAAGACCAAGTAGTAGCCCGAGATGATGGAGATTTCGGCCGAGATGAAGACGGACATGAAAGAGCCTGCTTGCGGCCTGACGTCTCTCACGAACGCATGGGAAGAGGCAGCAAACCCTGAAAAATGGAGAAAGTGGTAGAGGAAGTTGGCAGTGTGCACGATGATCCGGAGGGCGAGGAACCGCGCCTTCACGCTCTTCTGCTGGTACTCGTGATATACGGCCAATTGCGTGGCGTGCGATGCGTTTTCGGGCATTTCCGGAAGGGCGTCTGGGTCCAGGCCCATGGTCTTCATCATTTCCGCAAAGAACTGGGATGTTTCGGGCACCGAGCCGTCGGGCCTAGCGTCGCTGGCGCCGGCACCCGAAAAGATCTTCTGCATGATAGCATCCATGTCTGCTTCCTCCGGCACAGGCCCGGCTCCGCCCGTTTGCAAAAGCAGCGAGATGTCCGGGACCTCCGGGTCGTCATGTGACAGCGATGGGTGGGACACCCCCAGCGAAAACGCCGGGGAGGCTGAGTTCTGTGTACTCCGAATGGTGTTTGGTGAGTCGCTCAGGGCATCTGGGGACGCCGAGCCTGGCGTCTTTTCGAGCACCGACTGGACCGAGGCCGAATTCACCGACAGGCCTTGGCTCAATATATTGGACAAGCGCTCGGTGGCCTTTCCTTGGGCCATTTTGGCCTGTCTCCGTTCACGCAAAAGCCGTCTCTTTTCGTCTGCTGAAAGCTCGCTCATATTAGGGTGTTTATGGGGCTGACGCCGTGGAAGACAGGCAGTCTGGAAGTGTTTTTCCTTGCTGAAGGAGTTGCCTGTTCAAGCAGAAGAGTTTTGCCTGAAACCCACTGCTTTTTGTTCCGTCTATAGCACTGGCCGGACATGCTCAATATGGCCATGGACAGACCAGGGCACCGGCGCACGTGTGTGCAGGACGCGCCCGGCATCGCTATGGCGGGTCTGCACACAGGGCCAAGAGGCAGGCCACCATGACTAGACGTCCACCAGCCTTCTCTCCGGGGCACGTTTGCATCTTAAAAACTCGCCCAATATTGCTGCTCTCATGGAAAGTCCGCCCAGTTATCAGGAGCAGCTCCGCCAGCAAAAAATCTTGGCGCTGATGGCAAATTTGGACTATCTATTGGTGATTGCCAGCCGCGAGCAGAAGTCTGTCCAGCAGGTGCGGTACGAGTTCATGCTCAAACTTCAAGAAGACGCATAAGATGGCATATTTATGAACGGAGGGCTTGGATTCAAAGGTTGCGAAATCAGTGTTTTGGAGCGGGTGTCTGGGGATGCTCTGCCGAAGTAGGGTATTACCGTCTAGTCTGATTCAGACTTGTTTGAAAAACACACTGGGGTAGTGGTTGCATGTGCTTTTGAATCTGAGCAAGAAAGTGCCGCTGAAGCAGGAAATACACCTATAGCCAACACATGCAACAGGCCATGGTTTTCCAATGTGAGATAGCCAATATGAGATGACCAGTATGAGACTGTGGATGTCGTACACCCAGAGAGCGAATGTAGTAAACCCAATGAGACAGCGAATGTAGTAAACCCAATGAGACAGCGAATGTAGTAAACCCAATGAGACAGCGAATACAAGACACCCAATATGTAGTGCAGCCAGTATATATGAGAGCTAGATGCAAGACAACCGATACGTAAAGTCAACAGGAAAGACATGCATGGCATGACCCAACGCTGACATGGTGCGTCTAAGTAATTGCAGGTATTGGAACACAGTCCAGCCACAGTCCATCAGTCTATAAGCCCAGGCAAGGGCAGACTCCACCCGCGGCCATATCTCGGCCTGGCCAGTCCAGCCAGAAATTACAAATGGCGACTGGCATGCGGTGCAAGGAGAAAAGCCCCAAGTCGAGGATGATGATCTATTGTCACCCCGGTTGAGGTCATCATGGCAGTCTCGAACCGACAGAATGCCGCGACGGCCATGTCGAAACCGGACGCTCTGCTTCGGCCCAGGCGCTTCGGTGATTTGGCGTCAATGGCACCGCAGCTCCATGCAATGAGCCTTCATTCAGATGGAGATCCGGAAACCCAGTAGAGAGGCCCTAAGACACGCGAAACGATGCCCCGTTCTCGCCAACACGCTGGAAAATCCCAGCGAAAGTATTAGCATAGTTGTGCGGAGCTGCAGCCCCTCCGGGCATGCCACAACACAGGACATCAGCCCATGTCCAGGCTAGATCCCCACACATACCCGAACAAACAGCCCGTTTAGGCATGCAGTACGAGGCGAGTGCCAACTCCTCTGATGCAATGTCGGACCCGTAAGCCCGTCTTCCATAACCCGTAATCCCGTCTTTTGTGGCCCCTGAGCCGTCTCCCGTATTTCCATACCCACGTCATTCACCGGAACGGCGGTCTGGAAGACATCCGGGCCGCCCGGGCCTTCTGCGCCTTTTGCGCTGCGAGGCTTGCCCTCTGTCGCGCCGAGGTGTGGGGCGCAGCACTGGCTGTTTTCTGTGTGCTGGGCGGCGCTGCAGCATCCCGGGACCGGGCTCGGGCAGGCACGTTCATAGTGTTTTTCCCGGACGGCTTTTGACCAGAACGGGCCGCGTCGTACCGCCGCGTATTGGCCGCGCCGGGAATCTCAAAAAGGCCCCGCATGTACCGAGGCTGCTGGTCGAGATTGGGCGGCGGCTGCGAGTGGCCGGGCGCCTCGATGAACGTGTCCGTGGCCGAAAACGAGTCGTCACGTGCCACGGGGATTTTGGGGGCCGTCGCCGCCGCCCGCTGCCTGGACAGCGGGCGTTGGGAAAAGAGGTCTCCGAGGTGCGGCCTGGAACGCGTCGCTGCAGCCTGCTGGGAGGCCTGGCGTTTCAAGTCCGCGTTCCTCCTTCTGGCCGCGTCGACTTTCGCCCGGAGCCCGGCGTTTTTCTGCTCGCTGCTCTGCTTCTGCTCCATGGCCTCGTACTGCTCTCGCGCAGGAATGCCGGGGAAGCTGTTGCAGAACATGTGCACCTGCAAGCCCAAAAAGAGACTGGCGAACGACTCGTTGAAGCTGTTCACGGCACTGTGCGTGGCGGCAAGACCCTCCATATTCTGCTGGAGGGCGGCAAAAGCATCGGCCATGGCCGCTAGCCGCGCCCTGTTTTCCGGCGCCTCGAGCGGGCGGATTTCCTTGGGATAGTGCACGTTGGGCGACGCGGCTATAGGGCCGATGGCACGGAAAACCCCCGAGGACCGGAGCAGCTTTCTTCGTAGTGCTTGCAGCCTGCCCGTGGGGGTGTGTGGATGCATAGGTGGTGGTGAAGTGTGAGTTGTGTGGGTGGCTGGGGTGATTTCTGGGTGCTTTGTGCTTCCAGATGCTTCCACGATTCTGTATCGCGCTGTATTTCGTTGTTTCTTGTTTTATTTTGTTGTATCTTGCTGTACCTAGTTGTATCTTTTGGAATCTTGTGGTATCTTGTGGTATCTTGTGGTATCTTGTGGTATCTTGTGATATCTTGTGATATCTTGTGATATCTTGTGATATCTTGTGATATCTTGTTGTATCTTGTATCTTGTTGTACCTAGTTGTATCTTGTTGTACCTAGCTGTACTCTTTGCACTATCCTGCAATGTATTAGAAACTTTTAGTGGCACTTCGTTCCCAATATATCCCGGTGTTTAAGTGCCTTTCTAAGATTAGCACGTGTTTTGTGTGTTGGGAGGTCACCTCTTGTGCTACTATGGTGACTTCTTGAGAGCGCGCGAGATGGCTCGATCGAGTGTTTACGTGTTTGGAGTCGTGTCCTGCAGGTGGAGCCGCCTGTGTTATGCCTCGCTCGCGTTTCTCGGGCGCGGGCCGGTCACGTGCTGCCAAAAGGACCCTCTCGTTTGCAGGGCTATGATGTTGTCGGGCAGATACGACGTCTGAGGCGGACTGGAGTTTGAGTCCTAGAATCAGCTGTAAAAACTGAAAGCAAGCCCAAAGTCAACTATCAGTAAATAATGTATTTGATCACAACTACACAACCCGTTGAGTTCCTATAGTCACTTGTATCTTCTCGAATGTAGCTGGTATATTATCATACGATATACTTTCACTAACCCCAACAAAGTACATTTCATTCACACCGCTCGTTCTGTTAACTTATCGTAGCACCAAGGATCCGGCCCAAAAACAAGTAATCAGCGCAAGTGAGTCTTCCAGGGACTACCGTGAGCACCCAAGAGCGGAGACTTCTCACAGAAGACCTGAGCCTCAGTTTCCATAGTAAGCCAGAAACATTCTGCTGCCGAGCTACGAATGCAGGCATGGCTCAAGAACGTCCATAGCTCCTGTGACTATGTACATACGATACCAGGGTAATCCCCGAGGATCGCGAGATTCACGAAGAGAACTGGGTGCCTAACTCGATCGCAACGGTCACCCAGGCTGTGCTCTCTTCGTGCTACATCAAAACCGTGAGCGTCTTGCATTGCTAGTCAAACACACGGGCATCACAATATGGCTGAGCCGCAAACTTTCACTTGTCGTCCTCGCCGATGATCTGCTGCCAGGTCTTGCCTTCCTGCACCAACAACTGGGCCAACTCGTCTCTGATCTTGGCAGGCAACCCGGGGCCTTTGTAGGCAAACGCAGTGTACAACTCAACAAAAGTGGCTCCAGCCTTGCCAAACTCCAACGCGTCTTTGCCCGAGGAAATGCCTCCGCATCCAATCAACACCAAGTCCGAGTCCTTGGTGTACTTCCGCAAGGTGCGCAATGCCTGGAGCGACAAGGGCTTGACCGGCTTCCCGGACAAGCCGCCGGCCTGCGAGATGAGCTGCTGGTCTGTCGTGTACAAGTCCAGGGGCCTTTGGACCGTGGTGTTGGAGATGATGATTCCGTCGACCTTGGCCGTCTTGGCCGAGTTGGCGATGGACTCGATCTCCGGCTCCGTCAAGTCCGGCGCCACCTTCACCAACACCGGCGGCTTGCGCCCGAGCTTGTTCTGCCCCACGCGCTCGCGCTCGCCCACCACGCGGGTCAACAAACTGGTGAGCTTCAGCTCGCTCTGCAAGTCTCTCAAGCCGGGCGTGTTGGGCGACGACACGTTCACAATCAACACGTCTGCATAGGGCCCGAGCCGCGACACGCCCTTGACGTAGTCCTCGACCTCGTCGCCGGCCTTGTTTTTGCCGAGATTGATCCCCAAGAGCTTGCCGTCCCGGAAAGCATTGGTCTGGCTGTCCTCGGCCACGTTGGAGAGGAAGCGGCGCGCCAAAGTGGCCACCACGTTGAAGTGGCCGGTGGAGTTGAAGCCGTAGCGGTTGATCACGGCGTCGTCACGGGGCAAGCGGAAGAACCGGGGCTGCGGGTTTCCTGGCTGTGGCTCAGGCGTGATGGAGCCGATTTCCACGTACGAGAACCCCGTGTCAAACAAGGAGTCGATGGCCTCGCCGTCCTTGTCCAAGCCAGCGGCAAGCCCGATGGGCGTGCGCAAACGGGTGCCGAAAACATCCACGCCAAGAACGGCCAGAAGCCCGTCCTCCGTCTTGCGGTCCTCGGCCGGCAACCTGGGAACAAGCCCGTACTTCATGAGCAGGACGCCGACTTTGTGGCCTGTCTCGGCGTCTGTGAACATGCGGATGAGGGGGCAAAAGACGTACTCGTGGATGCCGGCTCGGGCATCCAACACGTATATTCCAGCTGCTGTAGCTGCGCCGGCACCGGCAAGAAACAAGATGGACCTGGGGAAAACCGACGCCTGCAAGAGCGGCTTTCTAGCAGCAGGCACCGCCTGTTTGGCGCTGGGCCTTATAAACCTCCACATGACGTGCTTGGGCTCAAGAATGTGGGGGTGGACAAGAGAAGAAAAACCGAGCTGGAGCCCACCGGTGGCTCGGTTCGGCGCGTGTATGCAGTACGCCGGTCTTGGAACTGGTGTTTGTTGCCATGAAACGGCCCGGCCGGGGCAGGTTGGGAATCGGAGGCGCAGTGCCCTTTCGGGAACAGGTGGGACGGTTTTCCGGGCTTATTCTGGTCCTTGCTGGCGAATTGTATTTTTGGGCCCCGAAAGCGTTTCCGGGGCTATTCGTGCGATGCAGGCATTTTGTATGGTTCGGGTCAATTGGCTCGCAGTATGCGATTACAGGCCACTCAGCCGGCACCGGTACTGGTTGGATGCGCCGATTTTCCCGAAAAGCGGTTTGGAAAATTGTCCGGATCCACGAAGAGCTCAAACATTTCCCCAAGAGCTTGCCGAAGTAGGCATTCTCGAATACTTTGAAGACTGGCAGAAAAGAAGTGGCCTGCTCGGCATGAAGAGCTTGTCACGTGAGAGTCTTACCCAACAGCGAATGTGGGGGTCAGGCAGAAGGAGCAAAATCCCGATGGACATGCCGGGACGGCCTTCAGACAAACAGACTCATGACCCGGCCGAAGACCCCATAAGCAGATTTGGCTGCATTTCTTTGGGCCCTCCCAAATCCAGAAGCAGACCCGAGGCCTCGGCCGTGTTCCAGAATATACAGGACTACCAATAGATTCCTGCGCAGTACCTATTTAGATTTATAGCAAGCCCCATCTTGTATGTCTCCAGCTGTTAGAAGTTAATATACTAGGCTGATAAATGCTCACTTATAATAGAATAACAATAGCATTTGAGTTAAATTCATAGTTTCCTGTACTGTTTCTCTCTAGGAGAACCTATATTCAAAGGTCTAGTACCACCCTTCTTTGTAGTTAAATCTACCAGTTCGTAGATCTTTTGATAAAGATTCAACTATTATTGTTTCTTCCGTCTTAGGTTTTTCTAGCTATACCTATTGCTATATCTCCAGGTTCTGATCTTATCTTACCATACGCTGCTCTTGAAATATCTATGTGTTGAACTATCGATGTAATATTCTTATTTGTATTGTAGCATAATTATTGTCATAAGCCAATAGCTCTAATTTCTTTATCCTGTCAGGAAGAGAGTCCTTAGTGCTATTATTTCTACATCGCTACATTTGATTTATTATACAATACTTTTAGAATAAGTATAAGATTTAATATCATCAAATGTATTATGATGTCCCTGGACTACGAATGTTCCGTTACCTCCTTCCATCCCGAATTCTTCATGTTTCCCTTTTTCACTTAGGTCTCCAACTGTTTGCCATTACTTATGGCCGTTTCAATCTATTGTAAGTCTGTACATGCCACAGTGTAAAGCTTAGAAAGTAATTGAACCGTATCCGAGTGATAAGAGGTAAGTCAGAACCTGCCGCAGTCTTAAAAGGAGCTCGTTAACCTAACCATATTAAAGGTAGCCCCTGCCCCAATTTCACAAATGCTATTTTTCCGCTAGAGCTGGCCCCATTTCGGTGAGTATGATGCTTACATGACTTTGTATTAGGGTTCATATGTTCATGGTTAATATTCTCCTACATTTATTGACGAGGAATCAAGTAAATAAGACGGTGCACCAATGTAAACTTGACTATTGGCATTCAGATTTTGTGGATTGCTCCTGATAGTGGGGTCAGTGTTATCCAAGCCCATTCTCTCTTAGCTGCCCTTAGAATTGTGCGTGACAGTTTCCCATCATACGGCTCGCACCCAGTGATCGCATATGAATGCAAAAAAGGTCTACATATATATGTAGTTGGAATTAAGCACCTATCTTCTCGTGTCCTCTATTTAACCGGACTCTACAAATCCTTTAAAGAAGCTATCGTATATCTATATAATTGAAATTGAATCAGTCTTATATAGTAAGTATTCCACCACCTCCTTTCTATACACATCACTAGGTAGAATAAAACACCATAACATCCATTTGCTACAATCTCCGCGAAAGGCGCGAGTATCTTCCCTTTGAAATATCTTTAAATCAGAGGCTGTGAACTTACCTTGGTTATGTACATTATGATGATGATACTGACATGGAGGTCTTTGCGTGCGTTGGCATGCACACGTAAATTGACTAAAGGTCGGAGATTGGCCAGAAAGGTGTTTGCCTCCCGCGCCAGCTACTTTACGGAAAAGATGCTTTTCATTTTGTCAGTCTCATCCGGAGCCACAACACATCTCTCACCTGTATACCCGGGTCCACCCGCATTCAAGCTAAATGAACAGATGAACCCACCGACAATGGACGCACACGCCAGTCTTGCCCACACACGGGCTGCGGCTCCAGCAGCAAAACCGCCGGCCACCCGAAACAACATAGTTTTTCTCCGCTCCGCCACCCGGCAGCTGGGCTGGGCCCAAGAGAGAGAAGAGCCGGGACTGCATACACGCGTGGTCGCCCGTCCGGCCAGCACAACCACAGAAGGCCAAGCAATAAGCTGAAAACAAAGCAATATGCTGAAAGCAGCGACCCGGCCGGAGAGCAGATCCCAGGGCCAGGCCGCAAAGGCCCTTCTGTCCAGAAATAAGAAAAAAAAGAAAACAAACGACAGGCCGCTTCTCCCGGGCCTGCCCCAGTATTGGGTGCAAATCTGGCACACAGCAGTGCATCGCACCGCAGGATTTTTCAAGCGAGCCCCATCTCAGGACCAGGCCTTCTATCCAGACGCCTTCTCCCAGCAACCAGCCTCCCCAGCCGTCCCCCAAAAAGCGTTCCAGAATGCCCCAAATGGCTCCAACTGCAGGCTCGGCCCCGGCGCCCCACGCTGGCCCCAAGGCGCCCGCCAACACGGCCAAATACGAACGGGACCAGGGCAAGTTCCCCAAGAAGGTGCTGAAAGGCAAGTCGCGCAGAATCACCAGCGGTATCAAGAAAGTCGACCAGGAGTACAAGGAGTTCGTCAAGGCCGCGGCCGCCACGGACATGTTGTTGCAGGAAGAAGCCGGGTTTTTGGAGGCCGAGGGCCCCATGGAGAAGACGGCGCGGTTCCGGCAAGACGACATTGCGGACGCCGTCGACATCAGCACCGCCAACAAGAAGTTCGACCTCAGCCTCGTCGAGTTGGGGCCCTACACGCTCGACTACTCGCGCAACGGGCGCAGGTTGTTGCTCGGCGGCAGGAAGGGGCACGTGGCGTCCATCGACTGGCGCCTGGGGGCTCTTGACTGCGAGTTGTTCCTCAACGAGACCGTGCACGCGGTGCAGTACTTCCACAGCCACCAGTACTTTGCCGTGGCGCAGAAGAAGTACACGTTCATCTACGACCAGTCCGGCTTGGAGCTCCACCGGTTGAAGCAGCACCTGGAGCACACGCTCTTGGACTTCTTGCCGTACCACTTTCTCCTCGTGGGCGCCGGCCACTCGGCGTCGTTGAAGTACCACGACGTGTCCACCGGCGTGTTGGTCAGCGAGCTCCGAACGAAGCTCGGGCCCACGCAGGCCATGAAGCAGAACCCGTGGAACGCGGTCATGCACTTGGGCCACGGCAACGGCACGGTGTCCATGTGGTGCCCCACCATGAACCAGCCGGTGGTCAAGGTGCAGACCAACCGGGGGCCGGTGCGGGACCTCGCCGTCGACCGCGAGGGCCGGTACATGGCGGTCAGCGGCACGGACCGCAAGATCAAGCTCTGGGACTTGCGCAAGCTCCAGGAGTTGGACTCGTACCTGTCGCCCACGCCCGCCAACTCGCTCCAGTACTCGGACAACGGCTTGTTGTCGGTGGGCTGGGGCCCGCACGTGACCGTGTGGAAGGACACGCACAAGACCCACCAGAACAGCCCGTACATGACGCACTTGCTCCCGGGCAGCAAGGTGGAGAAGGTCAAGTACGTGCCCTTCGAGGACGTGTTGGGCGTGGGCCACAGCAAGGGCCTCTCGTCGTTGATCATCCCCGGGGCGGGCGAGGCCAACTACGACGCCATGGAGTTGAACCCCTACGAGTCCTCCAAGCAGAGGCAGGAGTCCGAGGTGCGCTCGTTGCTCAACAAGTTGCGGCCCGACACCATTTCCTTGGACCCCAGCTTCATCGGCACGGTGGACAAGAACGCCCGCAACGTGAGATTGTCCAAGAGCGACTTGGAGGCCGCGGAGCAGCAGGAGGGCAACGCGCAGCAGGCCCCCGGGGCGGCCGCCGCCCTGGGCCGTGCGCCGGAGCAGTCCAAGTTGAAGAACTACATGCGCAAGAAGCAGACCAACATCATGGACGCGCGCAAGATGCGGACCGAGCGCAACTTGCAGATGGAGGAGGAGCGCAAGGAGAAGTTGCGCATGAAGGAGATGGGTGTTCCGGACGAGAAGGACAGTCTCGGGCCGGCCTTGGGCCGCTTTGCCTGAGCAGGGCCAGCGTGCCCCATAGCCAGAGCCAGAGCCAGAGCCTGAGCCAAAGCCAAAGCCAAAGCCAAAGCCAAAGCCAAAGCCAAAGCCAAAGCCAAAGCCAAAGCCAAAGCCTGAGCCAGAACAAAACCCAAAACAAACAAAAAACTCAAAACTCAAATATCCTGTTGCTGTCAATGCTATGGAACCCGGCCCGGGCCTGTCCCACGCCGCGTCCGGTACGGGCCTACTCCCGGCCCTCGCCAAACGGCGCCCAGAGATTCTCCACCACCACGTGCTCTATGAGCAGCAAGTCCCACTGCAAGAGGCGCACCTCCTCTCGAAACGCGTCGTCCCGAACACGGTCGTTGATCTTGCGGAGTCGCTTGTTGGCCTTGAGCATCTCGCTGAGCCGTGCCTGGTGTCTCTGCAACTCCTGCTCCATGCCCATGGACTGCTGCGCCAACTGCACGTTGACATGGCGCCGCATCTCCTCGATCTTGACGAGCGGCGTGTCCTCGGCATAGATCTGCTCGATCGTCGCCTCCAAGTACAAGTGCACTGCGTCACGCTGGTGCTTGGCCAAGCACGTGAACTTCAGCTTGGCCCAGTCCCTGCCCAGGGCCGTCTGAGTGCCGATGCGCACCAACATCTCCATGACCAAGAGCACCTGCTCTTTGTCCTTGAAAATGGCGAGCCGCTCGAAATTGAGCAGGCGGTGGATGGACGCGAGACGGGCGTTGACCATGGCGTTTGTGCCGCGGACCCGGGCCTCGGACAAGTGCTGCAAAACCGTCTCGCCGAGCGCCTTGGCTTGGTTCTGCAAGAGCTCGCTGACCTGGTAGGTGTTGTGGCCATAGAGCTTTCTGGCCTTCTTGACGGCGGACACCTCATGGTCAAATGCAACGGGAGGCAGACACGACAAGAATTTGCACAAGAGTCTGTTGATCTTGCCGAGCGAACAGAGGTCTTCGATGGTGAACGTCTGAGTGTCTTGGACCAAGGCGAGCCATATTAGGCCCACCTTACAAAACGGAGCCGAGATTAAGTCGGAGAGCATTGCCTGTAGAATAGGATCCCAGCAGGCCGGTTTGGACTCGGAAACGTTTGTATAGAAATGTAATAGAAAAAGAGACCGGAAAGAAAGCCAGGGGAATTCCGAGCGCACAGGTTCTAGGGTGTGTATTTGTGTATCTATATGAGAACGTGGTGGGCCAACGCGACAAGGGCCCGGCTGGCGTGGGAACCACAAGGCGCCTGCCCAATGCACGCGCTACCTCGGCACCGCAATAAAAAAAGGGGGGTTGAGCTCCGAGCCGGCCTTGGTGCCAGCGCAGATTGTGCGCCTGGCGCCACAGTAAATCAGGCGTAGTCTAAAGGGAAGATGAAGATGAAAGGGCACCCAGCCATGCTCGCGCGCCCAAGATGAGCTCGCGGCCCTGGTATCAGTGGGGCCAGGCTGGGGCCGCTGTGAGCCTTGTTGCGAGAAGTGGCATATTCATCACGACATGAGGTCCGTGCAGAGCCACAAGCGTGGCGGTATGCGAACGTTACCAGCCATCGCAGAGACATTGTGGGGGAAGTAGAAGCCCAACCTGGTGTGGGGGCGTTCTCAACGATTATAGTGGTCGCGTGGGGATACTAGCAATTATTATAGCGGCAGTGTGGTGGCGACAGTGACCACTATGAGGGCAGTGTCAAGGCAGCCCCACAGCCGCCATAGAGCCAGCGAATAGAGGCAATGGATTCCCAAGTCAGAGTCAATGAGAGGAGCAAGGTGAGAGCATTTCGACGCCTGTGCTGGTGCCAGGACCAGTGCCAGAACTAGTCGCCGCTAGGCGGCCAGTGCTAGCACCTGCACGGCCCCACCCGAGAGCAGACATGCAGCAGCAGCACCACTAGTGCGAGGTTCGCGCAGAGATGGAGAAGCCCGAGTAGTCCACGGAGATGAGGTCCAGGAATATGGAGCCCGTGTTGCTGTTGCTGAAGCCGTGGTTGAGCTGCGCGAACGAGTCCAACTCGGCCCGCACAAAGTCCACGAGCGCAGCAAACTTGCCGCCCGACACGTCGTTGTGCCTCTCGACCTGCTGGAGCAAGTGCATCTCCTCGATGGTCTTGAGCCAGTCGATGCTCTTCTCCAAGCTGGGGCTGGCCGCGCACGCCTCCTCGCCCGCGGATTCCGGATCTTCGGGGCTCTTGTGGTGGTTCAAGACGGCGAGCCACAGGGTGGCGAGCTGCTCGTACGCCATGCTGCGCGTGTACTGGAACTCCTTGTTGGAGAAGTTGGGGAGCTCGTGCACCGCCGTGGCAATGGCGTCGAGTACGACGCACGCCCGGTGCAACGGCGAGTCCATGGGCGGGAGGAGGTCAAGCACAAAGTCCGAGATGCACGCGAGGAACTCCGTCAAGTGCGGCTTCACGCGGATGTACGAGTAGTCGCTCTCCATGTCGCACCGGTAGGGAAGCGCGGCCTTGATGCGGGCGGCCTTCTGCTGGATGAGCTCGATGGTGTCGGCCACGGACGACTTGGGCGCGACTTTGGTCACGGTGGGCACGATTTCCGGGTGGTGGGCCATAACCGTCTGGAGCAACGCCAGCACCGACGCATGGTCAAGCACCTCTATGAGCCTGTTGACGGGGAGGCTGAGCCCGGCGATGCCGGGTGGCTTCAGGCGCTTGAAGCGGGCGGCAGCCCCGGGCGTCACGTGCCGCCGGGCCTGGCCCTGTTTGGCCGGGCCGGGCTCGTCCTCGGCGCAGCGGCGCTTCTTGCCCACGATCTTGGTGGGACGGAAGGCGTCCTGCATACACACCGTTCGGGGTGTGGGTTCGGCGGGCATTTGGGGTGTGCAGCGGCGTGTGAAGAGGGGGGAGGTCTGGATGTTTTGCCTCTGCAAATATAGAGCGGATAGCGGGGAGTGTGTTTGTGTGCCCGGTCTGATTTGGGGCCGGCGTCGTTGTGTGGATCTGGGATGGCAAGGGTGGGATTTTGTGAGGTTTTGTGTGGAAGAGGAGTGAGAAGCTAGAGAATTTGGCGCTGGTTTCCAGTCGCACGCTGGGCGGAGCGGCGCGTGTCTGCAGGAACAGCCGTTTCTTTTCTTTGGTCGGGGTAGATCTGGTTAGGCGAGGGTGCGAGGGTTTGGAATGTTCGCTCTTGCCTTGTTATTTGATGAGCATGGTGTGTTGATTGTATGGTTGAGGAATGTTTTGTGTTTGATGAATATTGTATGTTTGATGAATATTGTATGTTTGATGACATAGTGTGTTTAATGACATTGTATGTTTGATGAATATTGTATGTTGATGAGTGTTGTATGTTTGATGACATTGTATGTTTGATGACATAGTGTGTTTGATGAATATTGTATGTTTGATGACATTGTGTGTTTGATGAATATTGTATGTTTAATGACATTGTATGTTTGATGAATATTGTATGTTGATGAGTGTTGTATGTTTGATGACATTG